CCTAAGCCAGGATGGTATGGAAATGGAATCCTGTGCCTGGCCCTTGCCCACCATGGGTCCCTCCTACCCAGAGAAGCCCTGGGCTGCCTGACTGGCAGTCTTGTTTGCTGTTGATCTGGCTCCTTGTGGGAGCTGGGGGAGGGTGTCCAGTTTGTAAGCTGAGGTGTGCCCTCTTCTTTGGCACTCGGCATGGTTTCTTGCAACAAGTTGGCATGTGTGGAGGCTGGGGCAGAGCAGCCCCGGCTGGGTGTGGCCTGGGGGGTGGGGGGCAGTGCCTACTGCCTCAGCTCACTGAGTGGCATTTAGCCACCTCTGCCCACACTTGGCAGGGAGTTAACCCCCGGCTCCCCAACCCACCCTCCTCCTCTTCTGAGTTCACTTGAGATTCTCCGAGAAAATTCCTCTGCCTCGTTCTTTCTCCTGTAGGCCAGTTCCTGGAGGGAGCCCCAGAAAATTCCCCGTGCCTTCAAGGGGCGGAGTCACGGGCTTGGTCAGTTCCCCGGGACATTCTGAGGCTGGACTGGGGAGAAAGGCCTTTTCAGAGAGGTGGCCATTTCTGTCCGTCCGTCGTTAGGTAAGCCAGTGTCTGCTGTACCTGGCAAAAAGTCCAGCCCGCCACCTGGGTGTGTCCCTTTCGGTGTCTGATGCCAGACACCTGCATGTTTACGTCAGGGTGATGGAGGGAAATTCCTACAAGAGTGACAGACAGGCGGCCTCGGGCATCTGTCAAGCAAGGGGACTCCAGAACATTGCCCAGGGCAGTTTACCAAATATTGGCCCTAGATCGGTGTGCTGTCCCCTCCTAGACTCAGAACTAAGATGACAGAGGGTGCAGAATGGCCCCTTGCTCCTGCTGCTGCTGGTCTCACACCGGCGAGGCCTGTGGGGCTTCTTAGCTGGTGCTCTCGCCACACCCCCCAGGCCCGCAGGCCGGCTCCCTGCTGAGAGAGGGGCCTCAGGGTCCGTTCACTGCTGCCGTGTGGCTGGGCAGTGAGCACAGGGGACAGGGGGTGGGACTCGGGCTCAGCAGCCTTTCCACAGAGGCTGCGCAGTGAGTCCCTTACCCTCTGCGTGTTTCTATTCCGATTGGAGCCAGCACCTCTTAAGTTACACTGCGGCCGGAGTGTTCCGGTCATGCCGTGTGCTCGCTGAAGTTATCCAGGGCCCCTGATCAGCTGGACCTAACCTGAAGCCCCGAGAACAGAAACCACACGGGTTTGTCCACAGAGGGATCTGAACATAGGGGAGGGTCAATGGGTGGGGGAGGGAAAAAGCCATGAGGGGTCACTTAGGCACACGGAGTTGCAGGAAATCGTCTCCACCCCTGGAGCTGGGGGAACAAAAGGAGAAGCTTGGGGGCCCAGGTTGGGGAGGAGGGCCCCCTGCCTGGCTGCTGGCAGTCCTTCGGAGTGCTACCAGTGATGCTGGGGGAGGGGCACTGCCCAGGGGTGGTGGTGGGAACAGCCCGGGGACAGAAGGGAAACCACTGAGCCACTCCAGCCTTCCCTCCTCTGTCTCGGGCCCCCTTGTGGTGGAACCTGACAGGAGCCCGGTGACAGAAAAGGGTTTGCAGAGTCCCAGCCCACACAACAGAGGACAGCACAGCGACACTGAGCGGCATTCGCTTTGCAAAGGGCACAGCGGACCACGAGGCTGTGTCCGGCCAACCCCAGCCGTGCGGGAGGCCCCCCGTGTTCCTGGGCCCTTTCCTGACCTCACCAGGCAAATCCCACTGCCCTTCCAGACCCGACAGAAATGCTACTTCCCGATACCCTCTGTTGCCTTTTAGTATTCAGACAAAACGTGTTTGCTGTGCATTCTGGGAGTTGTCATGGCCCCCTCTACCTGAGCACAGGAGCTCCCTGGGGCTGCTTCCAGAACTTTCAGCAAGTCATGCAAGTTACCATGCAGGCCACAGAGTTGGCCACCACCAGCTGGGCCATGGGGCTAGCATTCCAACTGAGCTTTACCCCTTTAAGAAGAGGCAGGTTTTTCTGTTTCCTGGCTCACCCCACCCCTCCTACCCGGCATCTGAAACCTGATCTAATCCCTTTGCACGCGGGTAATTTATTGGTCTATTGGGCTTTTCTTGGTGGCAAATTGCATTGTCTTTATTCCTGGGTTCGGGCTATGGAGCGGCTCACCGCATTCCTGAGCCTCCTTCTCAGGACCCGTCCCTCACACCCCCTCTGCGCACAGTAAAATAAGTTTTATTGGGCGTCTTTGTCATGCAAACAAGGCGGTAATAATCAGGCTATTATTCTGAAAGATTGGGCTTGATTAACAGTTCAAAGGAGGTCTCTGAAAGCAGCTAATGCCACTCTGGTGCATAAATATTTCCATCCTGCTGGGGCTGGTGCAGCTCGTAGTCCCGCTCCCTGCCTCCCTCTTTCTGTTTCTGAGAGGCACTGGGTTGCTATTTAAAGGACAATAACGAAGCCAGGCAAGCTGTGTGGTTGTGATTTGCTTCTCTGCTGTGTCTCCGGCCACGAGGGAGGCAGTCTGGAGCTCCACCGCCCCCAAATGTGAACTGTTACATTCGTGGGGTGCCGTTGAGTGAGGCGTGTGGGAAAGGATTCCAGCACGAACCTGAGGGGCCCCTGCTCTCGGGAGACTCCAGGGCAGGAGGTGGCACCTGAGTTGGGGTGTCGCGGATGACAGACAGCTCGGCCACACCCACAGAGCCGCCAGAGGGTGGGGCCACAGAAGGTGCTCAGGGAAGCTGAGGGGCTGTCTTCAATATACAGGATGCGGCATTTGAGCCTTTTCTGTGTGGCCCTACAGAAGGATCGAAGCCCCGTGGCAGGTCCTGGGAGCAGATGTGGGTCCACAGCTGGGGCATTCCAGAGCAGCAGGGACCAGCCCTGCCCTGGCACAGACTAGTAGCTAGAGGCCAGATGTCCACCCGGCAGGGGTGCTACACGGAGATTTCCTGCCCTGGAGGCTGGCCGGAGGTAGAAACCAGTGACCTCTGCCCCCAGGTTCTAAAACTCCATGGAGCATCTTGAGAAACCAGCCCAGAGCTTGGTCACAAAGTGATCCTTAGGGCTCTCGATAAAGTCAGTTGCAGAGAGGAGCAGAGGGCTCTGGCCCTCATTGCACGAGTCAGAAGCAAAGGGTCTGATGGTTGCCCAGGGTTCACTCCACACCCAGTAAGTCTGGGAGACCCGAGTATAGGCATTGCCTGCGCCCCACCCTTTACCCAGGCCAGCCACTGTCTTTGCAGCCTCTGGGTTCTCTCTTTGTCCCTCTGTAGCTAATCCTGAAAGTCCTGGGTCAAAACAAAGCAGGCACAATGGACTTCAAAGGAGCATCCGTCTCTGTGTGGTGCCCTTGCATTTTCCTGGGCGTCTAGAGTGCTGTCCTGGGTATGAGAGTTAGCAGAGGCTCCGAGAGCAGTCTCGGCCCGAGGACACAGTGGCCAAGATGGAAATGGAAGCCCAGGAGAAAGTCTTGCTTCCAATCAGGTTCCCGAATTCCCTGGCTCTGACCTTGTTGGTTGTCTTGGATCCATTGAGAGGCGGCAGAAAGGCCAGAAAGGGGCCCTTTGCCTTCTGCAGGGACCAGGCAGGAACGAGACAGCTGGCTGCCTTCTGTCACGCCGAAAGCACCAGGGTAGCTCCCCCTGCAAGGCCGGCTCTTCCTGCCTGCACCAGCCGTAACCAGATCCGTTTCCAGCTCTGACTTTCCTCTCCTTGCTTCTCGGACACTCACGTCAGAAAAAGCCAAGGTTTACTGCCTGGAATTCAGGTCTCATGCTCTTTATTAAAGACACTGAACATAAAAATCAGCGCCTCTGGGATCTCTTTGGCAGGTGACGCCACAGCTGAGAGCTTTTCCTTTTGATGCCGGGCCAGGTTCCACTCCGGTCCCTGCACTGGGGAGGCCTTTGGCCCGTGATTTAGTGGAGTGGACATGGAGCAGCAGGATGACTCCCCGGGGGTCAGGGGGCCCCCCATCTCAGCACCATGGGGACTGCCCAGCCCTGGCATCCCTGACGCCCTTCCCCAAGACCCCCAGGAAATGGCGGCCCTGTGCGTGTCCACTGTAGGCAGACAGGCCCTGAAGAGCTGCGTCGCCGCCTGGAGAGGTGGCAGAGGGCAACGGGAGTCATCAGTTTCAGTCCCAGAGTGTCCCTCTCAGTGGCCTCTTGCAAGCCATTCCCCCACCCTGATCTACAGCTTCTCCGTCCAGCATGGTTCTTGGGCTTCCTCCTACACTCCTAGATGTGCAAGGGCCACAGGTTTAAGCAGCCAGGGACACCTGGCAAGTCAGATGTGTTGAAGCCGTGATTCTCGGGCTATCACGAAGGTCTCAAGGCGCGTGAGTGACTAAAAGTTAACACAAAGCACTATTGAGGCGAATCCAGAGTCACCCCTTTCCGTTGCTTCCTAGCTTTCTCCCCTGAGCGGGGTAGCGAGGGATGGAGCCTCACAGACAAGCGGAGCGGCCCAGGCCCTCTGCCACCAGGGCTGATACAGTAGCATACTAGCCTGCATTCATTGCGTTCCCTCTAAATGCTAGCGCCTTCCTAAGCCCGTTAACACGTCGAGCAACCTCAGGGGTAGATACTGTTACCCACTTCCAGATGAGTATAAGGAGGCACAGAGACGTTAAGTGATTTGCACAAGGTCACACAGTGGCAAAGCTTGGGACACACACTGACACGGGGGCTTCATTCCCTGCCAAATTTCTGTCGCTTTTGCCAAGTTTTGGGGAGATGGCTGTCACAATGGTAACGGGTGGTCCGCGTGCTGCCCGGAAACACTGACCAGCCCTCTCCACAGGCCGGCTGCTGTGGGTCTGCGGGCCTGGCCCCTTGGGGTAACTTCCGGCTGCGCGGAAGAATCTGGACAGCCAAGAAGCGCTGAGCCTGCACTGACTGCTCCTTGGGGGGTTTTCCACCCTCTGCGCCTGTGCGGAGTGGGTGGTGCCGTTTCAGATGGGGTGTCCTGGTGCCTGCGCCCATGCTGACGGCGTGTCCCTCCCTTTCTCCGCAGCCACCTCCCCGTGCAAGATCCTCAAGTGCAACTCTGAGTTCTGGAGCGCCACTGCGGGCGGCCACTCCCCGGCCTCGGACGACGCCCCCGAGTTCTGCGCCGCGCTGCGCACCTACGCCCTGTGCACGCGGCGCACGGCCCGCACCTGCCGGGGCGACCTGGCCTACCACTCGGCCGTCCATGGCATCGAGGACCTCATGGGCCAGCACAACTGCTCCAAGGATGGCCCCACGTCCCAGCCGCGCCTGCGCACGCTGCCGCCCCCGGGGGACAGCCAGGAGCGCTCCGACAGCCCCGAGATCTGCCACTACGAGAAGAGCTTCCACAAGCACTCGGCCGCCCCCAATTACACGCACTGCGGCCTCTTTGGGGACCCGCACCTCAGGACTTTCACAGACCGCTTCCAGACCTGCAAGGTGCAGGGAGCCTGGCCACTCATCGACAATAATTACCTGAACGTCCAAGTCACCAACACACCCGTGCTCCCCGGCTCGGCCGCCACGGCCACCAGCAAGGTAAGAGACGGCTGAGGCTGGGGCGGCCCTGTGGGGTCCCATTACCCAGGCCCTGCTGTCACCAGGCCCAGCGTCACCCCCCTACCGACCCAGATGCCTTCTGCACCCACCATGTTCTTAGTTTCAGTAAATGAACAGATTATTTAGAAAAGAAAGTTCTAGAGGTCTTATCATTGCCTAGAGCGCAGTGTTCCTCAGACTGCTGGGCACCAGCACTAGGGGTTTGTGAAATCAGCTTTCTGGAGTCAGACACCAATAGGTATACGCCTTGTTTGTTTAGGTGGGCACGGTAACGTGAGTGGCACACACACAACGCAGTTTGGAGTGCACTGTACACGGGAAGGGTGTATGTCTGACGACCTCTGGTTTCCGTTGTGTGCGTGTGTGCATGCACGCGTGTGCACACCTGTGGCCACGTCCCCTCCACCCCGGTTCACCTCCCGCACTCTGCCTGCGGGTCTCCCAGGACCTCACGCGCTCAGCCAGAGGGAGGCTGGTGGACTCTCGGAGTCCAGGCAGCGGGGATACTTCTGCCTCCTCAGGGCTGAGGTTCCCAGGCTGGCAGTGGGTCTGTCTTCCCGGGAAGACCATGTTGCAAGGGCGCCAGGCTGACCCACGGGGGTGTTTCTGTTCCTTCCCCTCCCTCCTTGCCCCAGAGGACAGGGCGGTGACCCGGCAGCCAGGAAAACTCCTGCCACGTCCCGCTGTGCCAGCGGCCCTTGCATCGCCTGCGAGGGGGTCTCTTTCCGAGACCAGCTGCCGGGTAGGACACAAGCAGGTCTGCGCCCCATGGATGCCCTCGGCACCCTGCTTTGAAGCCTAGCGGTGGCGGAATTGTGGCCCGTGCGCTCTCTCCCCTGTCCCGTCCCAGCCCCCCGCTGCCATGTCAGGACCCCTCTGCTTCTCTGCAGCCCCTGCACCTACTCCCTCCCACCCTAGAGCCGGGATAAATGATGCAGGAAGCCTAGGGCCGCAGCTTCTATGTCCAGCAGCAAACACTGCGGGAGGGGACCCCGCCTGTGTGTCCCATCCTGGCAGGGCCACATAGGGAGCGACCTGCCCCTCCTGATACCAGGGTGGTATCAACACCAAAAGTGATAACAGGACCAAGAGAGGCATTGTGGTTAATGTCCCGCCAGGCTGGGCTGCGGCCCCTGTGACTGGAGGGTGACGTGGTGGAGCGAGAGATGTTAGGCCGCCTATGGCCGGAGCCTGCGGGCTGGGAAATGTTCCTGGGCTGGGAACCCCCGGGGAGCACCCTCAGCTCTCTGCTGACACACACGAGGGCCCTGAGCCTGCAGGCTGGGAAATGTTCCTGGGCTGGGAACCCCCGGGGAGCACCCTCAGCTCTCTGCTGACACACACAAGGGCCCTGAGCCCAGCGAAGCTGTCCAAACCCCACGTGGATTAATTACTCGTTCCTGCACTCCGTTCATTCACGTGGCTGCCTTTGTCCAGTGCCAGCTCTGTGGCAGGCTCACTGCTGGGCACTGTGGCTGCAGACCTGCCCCAGCAGGGGTGGGAGCACCCCCCTTCCTGTATCAGCTTCCAGAAGGACAGGGGGCCCTGAAGCAGAGCGGATCCACCCAGCCCCTCTCTGCTGCGTCCCTGTCAGCCAGGAGGCAGCACACAGCCTGCTAGAGGCCCGGAAGCGACAGGTCAGTGTCTGTGCACCAGTCTCGTGTCAGGGCAGATGGGGGCCTTGTGCACCTCGGTGGAGGCCTCGTGGCTGGTTTCCAGCGCCTGTGGCCGGCCCTGCCTGTCCTCGTGTGGGGGGGTCATTCACTGATGCAGCAAACATCCCCTGGACACTTCTCTTGTGCAGCGTCTGTGCTGAGGTGGCCTGTCCCACAGCTCCCGGGCTGACACAGGAGCTGGTGCTGGGGCAGCAGGATGCCGCGTGCTCTGACCAGAGCCTGGGGAAGGCCTGCAGTCCTTGCACCGAGCTTGCCCCCGAGGACGGGCGTGAGCAGCTGCAGAGGCCGAGCATGGGTCCAGCCTGGACCTGCAGGGAAGGGAGAAGCCAGGGGCCTTTCATCAAGCTGATGGGGACCTGGGGCTTTTTCAGCCCAGCGGGAGCCCTCTTGCCTGACACCATCGCCTCCACCTGCCCCTCGTGCGGTGCCCCACCAGGGCCCTTCGCTCTCTTCCCGTAATGGCTCTCTCCAGCCAGGTCCATTCTGTGGGTCTTGTGCAGAATCCAGGCAGCCATCTTCCCCGGGACCACCTCCCATGCCTGTCCCTGTCCAGCTGTGCTGGTGGCACCCATGGTACAGGCGAGGAAGCTGAGGCCTGGGGGCAGAGGTACGCGGGTCACACACTCTGCCACGCCGCATAATCCGTCTGCTTCCTCTGACCCCGCCCGAACGTGAGCTCCATGAGGACAGGGGTCTTGAACTGTTCCCACCCCTGTGTGGGTGCAGCCCCTGGTCCCAGGCCTGGCCTGTCGTGGGCACTCCACAAACAGTTGGCGAAGCCGGGTTCTGCCCTGTGCCCAACGCGGTGGGAGGGGAAGGGGGCAGCAGAGACGGGAGCGGCAGCCCCGCCCGTGGCCCCCTGGCAGCGAGCCGCCTGGCTTTCGACAGTCCCCTTCATGCTGTTACTTGTGGTTGAGTCCCCGGCGCTGGTGCCAAGAAGAGCCCAGCAGCCTGTCAGCCTTCCAGGAGACTGTCTCCACGAGAGGGCGGCTCGAGCAAACCCGCCTTTCCTGTTCCAGGGACACGGGTGGCACTTGGAAGGCAGCCCCCACCCCCCCACCCCCAGTGTCTGTGTGGCCCTGCGCACCAGGCAGGGACACCAGAGTCCCTCATCCTGCGCCCCCTCCTTCAGTGACGGGACCACCCAGTGCCCAGACCACCCTGGTTGGCCCACCGCCCAGTCCCCTGCAGGGGGCCTCCACATCAGGGCAGGAGCCCTGGATGGAGAGAAGGAAGCAGCAGGAGGTGGGACCACAGGAAGTCGCCGTTTTTACGGGCCAGGGATGGTGGAGTGGCGGCCGTTGCGTGCAGTTCGATGCAGAAGGCTCCAAGCGGGGTGGAGAGGCTGCGGCCCCCCTTAACACCCCACAGCACCCCACCGGGTGGCAGCGTGTCCCATGTAGACAGCAGAGTTCCAGGGGGCAGTGGCCTGAGAGGTTCTCTCCCAGGTCCACGCGTGTCTCCAGCCCGAGCAGTCCTCCGTGTTAGGGTCACAGAGGAAAGAGCAGGCAGACATCTCTGCCAGGATGATGAGGGAGGACTCACACTCGCTCCCCGGGCTGCTTGTCTCCCATCCTCCCCCCAGGCCTCCCACCCTGTGGGCTTGTGGCCAGGAAAGCCCAGGGACTGGAAACCGAGAGACTAATCCCAGCTCTGCTGCTAGCTGGCTGTGTGACCTTGGGCAAGTTGCTTTACCTCTCTGAGCCGCAGTTCCCTCGTCTATAAAGTGGAGGTAATGTCACCCTCCCCTGCAGTGTCCCACAAGACTAGAAGTAAGAGCTGTGGTACCCGGGACATTGATGCCATGAGTGTGCCCTTGTCCTCGGTTCTCGGGAGGACTAACCAGCCAGTCAGGGGCTCGGCCCAGCCCCGCCCTCGACTGTAGGCTGTGGTGCAAATGGGCCTCCTTGCTCAGGCCCTGGCCAGGGTTTTGCATTCAGTCTGGAGACCTTGTCTTCTTGCAAACCTGCACCTTCCTCCTCTCCCTCTGCCCCCAGCTCCCTTCCAAGGCCTGGGTTCAGGACCCCGGAGGGTAGCCTGGGAGGTCTCTGCTGGCCCCTGCCCGCCTGTGTGGACTTTGCCCCATCGGTGTTTCCTCTGGCACCGTCTTCTGTCCCACCTGCCCGTCTGTCTGGCCGTGGCTTGCAGTCCTTCAGGGATTCTGCGGAGGTCACCGGCCGCGGGAGAGATCGTGTTAGACGGTGGTGGACCGTATCAGTTTCCTGTTGCTGCTGTAACAAATACCATGACATAAGCGGTTCAAACAAACAGACCTTTGTTCTCTTGTGATTCTGGAGGTGAGAAGTCTGCAACAGGTCTTACCGGTGTCACCAAGGTGTCAGCGGGGGCCGGTCCTTCTGGAGGCTCCAGGGGACACTGTGCCTTGTCTCTTCCAGCCTCTGGTGGCTCCAGCATTCCTTAGCTTGTGGCCCTATCATTTGAGTCTGGAAACATAGCCTTCCTTCTGGGGTCCAATCTCCTCCGCTTCTGTCTCCTAAGGATACTTGTGATCGCACCGAGGGCCCACCCGGGTGGCCCGGGATGTCTCCATCTCGCAGGCCTGACCTGATCCCTCCGCAAAGCCATTGGCCCTGTGAGGTCACATTCACCGGTTGCAGGGATGAGGGCCAATATCTCGGGGCCACTATTCAGCCGGCTACACTGGATAATGACCTTTTACTTTTAATTAGCTGTGCTTTGCTCTCCATGGTTCCCCTTTCTATATAGCAAATGAACTGTTTTATTTTCCCCCCTCGGGGCATGATCTAAAGTTCCTATTCTAAGTCGGTGTTTTAGGTTAGAGTAAGTTTTAAAGGAAAATAGTAAGTGCCTAATTGCGCAGGTGGTGCTCAGCGGGGACCAGGGCGGGGAGGGGACGTGCTGGGGCCCGCCCGGGCTGCTGCCCTGCAGTCGCTGGCCCCGCGTAACCCCATCTCTGCTGCCCCCCTGCAGCTCACCATCATCTTCAAGAACTTCCAGGAGTGCGTGGACCAGAAGGTGTACCAGGCCGAGATGGACGAGCTCCCGGCCGCCTTTGCCGACGGCTCCAAGAACGGCGGAGACAAGCATGGGGCCAGCAGCCTGAAGATCACGGAGAAGGTGTCGGGCCAGCACGTGGAGATCCAGGCCAAGTACATCGGCACCACCATCGTGGTGCGCCAGGTGGGCCGCTACCTGACCTTTGCCGTCCGCATGCCGGAGGAGGTGGTCAACGCCGTGGAGGACCGGGACAGCCAGGGCCTCTACCTCTGCCTGCGGGGCTGCCCCCTCAACCAGCAGATCGACTTCCAGGCCCTCCGCACCCTCGAGGGCCCGGGCGCCCACCGGCCCCAGGCCGCCAGCCCTGCGCCCGCCGCCCCCGACACCTTCCCCTACGAGACAGCCGCGGCCAAGTGCAAGGAGAGGCTGCCCGTGGAGGACCTGTACTTCCAGGCCTGCGTCTTCGACCTGCTCACCACGGGGGACGTGAACTTCACGCTGGCCGCCTACTACGCCTTGGAGGACGTCAAGATGCTCCACTCCAACAAGGACAAGCTGCACCTGTACGAGAGGACGCGGGAGCCTCCCGGCCGGGCCGCCACGGCAGGGCTGTCCCCGGCCCCCCAGCTCCTCTCGGGCAGCCTCCTGCTCCTCGCCCTGCTCCCCGTGTTCCTGGAGGCCCCCGCCGCGTAGGACGGCGAGCAGGGCGTACTGCCTGTCCCCGAGCCGGCTGGCACCCGCAGGATGGCTGGTGGCTCCCCGGGGGCCCTCAGCCTCTGCAGGGGTCAGAAGCAGGGGCAGCGGCCGGCCAGTGAGCTGTGGGACGCATACCTCAGAGCTGCCTTGGGCTGTCCGCTGGCAAGGGCTGGGGGCGCGGGGCGGCCCTCACCCTCCCTAGGGCCCTGGACGGTTGTGGTGACCGACTGGTGCTGTGACGTCTGGGACAGTACAGCTGCTCCCCTCCGCCCTCCCCACAGTGTGAATGTGCAAAACCGAGCCCCTCAGGCTGCAGCCCGCCCCACCCGAGGCCCCGGGCGAGGTCGAGTCAGCTCCCCAGCCCCTGCCGTGCACTGAAGGCCCGCCCGCCCGCCCGCCATAGCGCACACTGACACTCACACACTCAGCACGGGCACGGCCGAGGCGTCCTCAAGGCCCATCCCCAGGCCGTGTGTGTCGCACATGCTCTGAGTGCTGCCACTCGTGGACGGAGGCCCTTCCCTGGCCCCTTCCTCCACTGCCCCCCGCGCCCCCGTACTTAGGAAGCCAAGTGGAGTTTCTAAATGTCTACAAGGAAAACTGCCCTTTGATTTCTGTTTCTTCCCCTCCAGCAGACGGCAAGAGCCCCTGGGCAGGGGGCTTGGCCAAAGGGCGTGGGCAGGAGACCGGTGGACGGGGCCAGCTGGCCTGCCCTGATCCTCTGCTCCCGCCCAGCTGCCCCCAGAGCCCTGCCCCCCGCCCCGTCCACCCAGGGCTGCATCTGGGAGAGCCGCAGGCTTGGCAAGGTCTGCCCCGTCCGGTCCCTTCCCTAAGCCCGGGGCCCTGCAGCCGGTGACCTGCAGCAGGGAGCCCAGGGACCTGCTGCCCGGCCCAGGGGCACCCTCCCAGAACCCCCACAGGCCTCATTGTCCGCGCCTGCCCCCTGGCGTCCACACAGCTCCTCTGCTGTCCCAGGGACCTCTCATACACTGGCCCAGGAGGCTGGGGCACGTCCCCACCTCCCCCTCCAAGAGGTCCCCTTTCTCTGCCAAACCAGGGTGGGCGGGTGGGGGGGTGAGGCCCCTGCTGGGTGTAGACAGCCCCGATGTTGGAAGGAAAAAGTGAAGCACTTTATTTTGGTTGTGTTTGCTCTCATGTTCTGCTTGGACGTGGGGACCCCTCACTGCGTCCTGTGTCTGTGACCGGTGTGGAGTGTCACCTCGTGTACATACTGTAAATTATTTATTAATGGCTAAATGCAAGTAAAGTTTGGGTTTTTGTTTTATTTTCCTTTGGACTATGTGTCGGGGTTTTGTTTCCTGAACCAGACTGGTTTCTTTGGGGGGGTGCAGAGTTGACTTTGGTGGTGGGTGTCCCCGACAGTGTATGGACAGTGTGTGTTTGGTGGGGGCAGCCAGCATGCGTGTGTGTGCGTGTGCGTGTGTGTGGTAAATGTGTGCAGAGGTGTAGCAGCTTACAACCCAAGTCCCTGCTTCTCTAAAGTTACTTTTATCCCTTTGATGAGCTGCCTTTGGGGCTGCAGGGGTCCAGGTCCTCGGGCCCCGGTGGAGCTGGAACAGTCTCAGGGACATACGGGCACATTGCGGAAGGACATGAGATGCCCCCAGGGGCGCGGTGGGGTGTGCTCCCTCTCAGCCGTCAGTCTGGAGCCCCAGACCCGGGACGGTCCCCTGCAGCCTGGTGGAAGAGGAACACTCACTGAGTCCACACACACCGCGAGTTGACTTGCCAGGGATTCCTTAGCAAGGGCAGGGCCCAGACGTACAGCGAGGTCCCTTCCTGCTCTTACCGCCAAATGCCACGGAGTCAGAGTAGCTGCCCAGTTAGGCCAGGCCACGGTACCGAACCCCCGCTTCCCTGTGTGACCTTGGGCGAGTCACTTAACCTCTCCGAGCCTGCATCCCTCCGTCTGTAGAGCGAGGAGTGCCCGTCACAGAGGGTTGCTGGAGACTCCAGGAGTTAATTCCTGGCCGGTACCCAGGCCAGGGCCCTGCTCAGTGAGTGTCCTGTGTCCCTCCCCAGCAGAAGTGGGTGGGTGAGAGGAGGGGAGAGACACACAGAACCATCGAGCCAGCAAGGGGAGGAACCGAGGGAGCATGCACCCTGGTCCCAACCTAAGAAGAAAGGCCAAAAGTCAGGGGAACTTTCTGGACCCCAACTCTTACACTACCAGAAAGAACTCAGTAGTCTAGACTTTGGGAGGAAGGAGCCAGCCTGGAAGGGACAAAACAAAGCCAGAACATACCCACGCGTCTTACCCGGTTGCCCTAACTGTCAGCACCCATGGACCTCCCCCCGCCCCCCAGAATAACTCCCAGGAGAGGCGCCACCAAGGTGGCAAAGCCATGGACACATGGCCAGCACAGAAGAACAGATGATCAAGAAGCCAGGGCACACAGTTGTTTTTTTTTTTTTAAAGAAACCTTGTTCACCATTCGACGAAAAGGCTCCATTCCTTGCCAGCAATACTCTCGGTTTGGACTTTGTTCAGGACCTTCCATTTCGGCGGAGATTCCTTTCCAAGGACCTGCTGCCAGTGCCCTCGTGAACATGGGAATTTGCATGTCATGTGAGTGTCGGAGTCTTCAGCTACACGCTTCCCGAGGAGCTGCCGTGCCGTGCACGGTGGGCTGGGTGGGAGCAGGACTCGGTGCCAGTTCGCTTGTGACCCGCCAGCCCCGGTAAACACATTTGCAGACGGCGGTGCGAGCCCCTCTCCATCCCCATTCGGGTTGGTGAACCAGAATTTATAAGGAGAAGACAGGAGAGAACGGGCTGTTTAAAAACAAACGAGGATCATTTCTAAGAAAGGGGGCAAACTCGGGGTGAGGAGAATTAGAACACGGGGGCAGGAGTGGGGCTCCTCAGGCGATGCCAGGGAGCGGCGCGGAGCGGGGGGTGGTCTCGGGCGGGCGGCGGGACGACTTGGCATCTAAGCTGGCTCTGCCCGGCGCTCGCTGTGTGGTCTGCCTTGGATTTTTTGAGCCTTAGATTCCTTATTTGTAAAATGGAATTATGAGTACCTACCTCCCAAGGTCATTCTAGAAATCCAATGAGCTCATGCTCATAAACCGCCTGGCACCTGGACCCTGGTGCAGCGCAGAGGCCTCCGGGGATGGCGGTCCCTTCCCTCTGCAACCGTGTGTGCGTGCGTGCGTGCGCGTGTGCGTGTGCATCTCCTTCATCGACGACTCTCCCCCTCACTTTGCTGGAGAGTACAGCAGACGACCTCGCATTCTCTGTGCAGAGACACGTCAGTCAACAGCGGGTTGTATCACTGTCCCATAGTGACAAGGATGCCCCTGGATGTGGGGAGAGGGGGACAAACTTCCCTCTCTGGTGGGGTCCGGGGGAATCTCTGACTCACTCACCCACAGGCATTTGGGGAGCCAGACATGCAAAGAGGGGGGGAGCATTCTACACAGAAGAGTGTGTTCCAAGAGCCTGGTGCCGTGGAAACAAAGAGATGGGCCTTATGATAGGGAGGGGACACATCACGGGACACAGGGGTCACAGAGAGGCCAGGCCCCACAGGCCTCACCAGCTGGGGCACAGCTTAGCATTTTTTTCCTTTATTGACTTTAGAAAGAGAGGAAGGGAGAGGGAGAGAGAGAGAAAAATTGATGAGAGAACATCGACTGGCCGCCTCCTGCATGCCCCCCACTGGGGATCGGGCGCACAACCTGGGCACGTGCCCTGACCGGGAACCGAACCGGTGACCTCTTGGTGCAGGGTCGACGCCCAACCCCTGAGCCACACCGGCCGGGTGACAACGTAGCCTTTTATCGCAGTTGCCATGAAGCCATTACAGGTTTGAGGATGGGAGCCATGTGCCCGACCTGGGTTTGAAGGAACTGCTGCAGCTGCCGGAGCCCGCTAGGCGCAGGACCGTCAGGAGAGAGGAAGTGAGCCGGGGGCGGTGGCACAAAGCCAGACCAAAGTGGGGTGGCCGTGGCCGAGCTGGAGCTGACACCAATGGCCGGCTTTGGGCCTAATAGGAGCAGGGTTTGGGGAGAGAATTTGAGAAGGGACGAGGCGGAGGTGGATGTCCTACTGCAGGGGTGCTCAGGAAGACGCATACGAGACATTACAAGAGGAGGGCACCCCGTCTGCTGTGACAATGTGCAGGCGCCGAAGTGTTCAGGGCTCGGTGGCCTCTGTTGGCCCAGGGAAGAAACCACCAGGAATGGGAACCCAAAGAGCAGGGTCCGAGGTGCTGCTCAGAGGAAACTAAGCTCGAGCTGAACTGTGACAATGACTAAGACCCAGCAGGCAGCTGGAGGTGACCAGGGAGGGGGAGGAGGCAGGGGCCCAGGGCAGAGCTCCCAGAACAGTCTGGCTGCAGTCGGGACGCTCAGGGGGACAGAGAAGTCCTGAGTGGCCAGCAGGGGCAGCTCACAGAGGGCCTCGTGCCCACAGTGAGGGCCGTGGGGGGCAGCCATGGGGTCTGGGCCTTGAGGCTCAGGATGGTCCTCTGGCCGCCACACAAGTGGGAGGGAGGAGGGGCTGGACCCAGAAGCAGGTGATGGTGGAGCAGGAGCTGCCCTTCAGCCCTGGAGGGCACAGTGCCCAGCTGCCGGGCTGGCTGATGCCCTAAGGAGGCCAGGACGTGGCTGGTCAGAGCGGCGCCCTGGCCTCCCCTTGCAGCCTCTACCCTAACCCTCCCCTGTCATGCCCCACTGTCTGCTGGGACAGGCTTTGGTCGTAGGCTCCACAGCCCAGGGGAGCGGCCTGCTGGGCAAGGGAGTGAGGGCTGAGCCTGGGGCCGGGAAGGCCATTTGTGGGTATCTGCTACCCTCTGCTGGACACTCCTGGAACCACATGCCCTCAGGGCCCTCGGTCAGGGAAAGGGAGCTGCGGATCCCCAAACACAGAGCAGACCCCACCTGTGGTGGCCTGTGTCACCTCCAACCAGCACCAGGATGTCCCAACACTGTTCTCTGACACTGATGGGTGCTGAGCCCCTCACGTGTCACCTCGGTGACCTCACTGACCCCGCCACATGCCTTTAACTGTAACTCTAGGGGCAGGGGTGGGGGCCGCACGCCCCAGGCCTGAGATACCAATACCAGCTCACACCACACGTCTCACCAAATGAGCCTGACCAAACATAGACTGATTTTTAAGTGGATGATTTGGTATGGCCCTCAAATGATGTTATAAATACCCGAATGGCCCTTGGCAGAAAAAAGGTTCCCCACCCCTGCCTAGAGGGACAGAATGCCAGACGGTTCCCGCTCTGGTCTGCCCAGTGCGGGGCGGCCCCTCCCGCAGCCCTCCCTCAGCTACCAGCACCCTGCCCCCCTCCCACACCTCCTGGGTCTCCTCTCTGGCCTTTTCACCTGACATTGTGTCCCCCGGTTTGCTTGTCTTGGGTCTGCGTCTAACTCACAGCCCGGAGGGCAGGGCCCCATCCTGGTTCGGCCTGTGTCCCCAGACCAAGGCCTGGCCCACAGCAGAGGTTCCGAATCTTGGTGAAGGTAAAAACGGTCTCTGTTTGGTCTCAGCTGTACCACCCCTTACCTGTGTCCCCCCGAAGGTTCAGGATGGGCCTCCCTCCGGGGGTTCGAGTCCCCCTAGAGCAAGCCTCATCCTTGGTCCCTCCAGGGTGCTGGGCTTGAACCCTAACTCTGGCTCTGGGTGAAGGCTGCTGGGACACAATGCCAAGCGGACCCACCCCCCAGGCCAGCAGGGTCAGTACCCCCTCCCAAACCTCCCTCCTCTCCCCCACCCGCTGTGCCCCAGACTGAGAGCAGTCACCCTCCTGGTGGGCCTGAGGGTTTAGAAACCTTTTCGTTTTACCTTTGAGCTCACTTAAAAACCACGCAAACCCTAGAAGCTGCTTCCTTTGTTTGCAAATGACAAGGCCATCTGCCAACCACACGCAGGGAAGGACCAAATGGGGGCAACACAGGGACCTTTCCTGCCCAGTCTTCAGACCATCCCGGTCCCGAGTCCACCACGGTGCCTGTAAACCCCCCCCAGGCAGCTGGCCCAAGGAGTGGACATTATTCTGTCTTTGAGGTGGAGAGCCCATAGGTCAAGGACTTGTCCCCATTCCCACACAAAGCCAGGTCACATGACCAGGGAACGGTGCCGGGAGCCTGATGTCCAGCCTAGGCCAGGGACCGCCAGGGCCCAGGGTTCTACAGGCCAGAGGGCTGGTCCAGGGCTTCAGTTAGCACCAACCTGGCCCTGCTCCTTTAAGAGTCCCGGGTTGGAACCCAGAGCCCAGCCTGGTCTGGCAAACCGCAGGGCCTTGCGTTTCATTAGGTGACCTTTCTGTTGGCACTAATTGAGGACCTGCCTCCGTGCCAGATGTGTGAGGCCCCGCCAGGGAGGAGGGAGGGGGCCTGGGCCCGCTTCTTCCAGTAAAAGGCAGGCGTTTTGGCAGGAGTCGGCCGGACGCTTCCTTGCGGTTGTAAATCGCAGTAAGCTGATTACTGCAGCACTTGTTCGCAAAGTTTCCCCAAGTCCGTCCAGCTGAGTGGCGCTCGCAACAGGGCGGCGAGGCTGTCGGCAGGAAGGGACCCCATTCTTCTTTGGGTCTTGTAACTTAAAAACGACCTGCCGTACAACCCAGGCTCCTTCGAGGACAGCCCACACTGCGGCCCGGTCTCCTGGACAGACCAGGGGTCCAGAGCTTCACAAAGATGGGAGTTTGCTTTCCACAGTCACTGAAGTCGCAGAAAGACCTGTGGGTCTGGCTGCCCGAGCCGCCCGAGCCACCCTCCTCTGCGCCTGCCCCGGGCCAAACTGCTGAGTGAACGTGTGTGTCAGTGTTTCCATTATAAAATGCTCTCTCCCTTCGAGAGTATATAACCCAACTGTTAAAATCACCCTCAAGGCTGCAGGCTGGCAGACACGGTGTTTTTATTTCCTATGGACAGAGGGGGCCGCGGGACCCGTGTGGACGGACGGGCACAGGTCTCCAGAGGCACCTTCAGGTCACCTGCAGCTCCTCGGGTCCTCTCCCCAGGGCAGGGACCAGGGCTGCAGACCAGAGCCGCTCCAGGGGACTGGGAACCTGTGACACTGGCTGCTCAGGGAAAACCCCAGAAACCCCGGTGAGGTCCCGGACCCAACACAGATGTCGAACCATCCCCAGGACTGCGACCGAGGGACGGAAGATGAGGTGCGTCGTCACAGCTCACGCAACGCAACGTGTTCACCCGATTCTAGAAATCCTTAGTGACACTTTTTAATATACAAGAATCAAAAGTACAGCAGTTTTACAATGTAGGAAAATTTAATACATACTATATAAACAACATTATTTACATCAGAAATCACTAGGACAGTGGCATTTTTCACAAATATAAATTAATTACTGTTTAGTCAACAGGTTTTAAAAGTCCACAATTTTACAATAAAGAAAAAAACATCTGCCCCCAAGCGAGGGGGCGCAGATGGACTAAAGCAGCCTGGACCTTTGGCCTGGCTCTCCTGGCCGGACGCGGCAGCCCCGACAAGCCGGAGGACCCCTGGGGCTGGGCCCCGGGCCAGCGGTCCTGCTGCCGAGTGGATTTTGGTCTGTGGGTATCAGTGTCTGTGCGTCTGCGCCGTACGTCCTGGCACAGCGTCAGACACCAGGCTGGTCTGCAGCACGGCGTGAGGAGGATTCTGGGCGCCCATGAAGGGCTCAGGGAATGACGGGAGAGGGAGCCGGGGCCCATCGGGTGGGCCCCATGGAGGGCCTGGCTGCTTCCATCCAGCAGCCATGGTGAGTCTGGGGTCCACGTGTCCTCTTCCAGGGTGACAGCAGACTGTTCATCCTTGTTGATGTTCGGGTTTCGGGTGAGGCTGACTCCCCTCCTCCTCACTCCCACTATTTCTCCCGTTAGGAAACCTTTCCCAGCTGGCTCCACGGAGACCAACCTCAGACTCCTGGGGCAGCTCCTCCCACCAAGGGAGAGAATTTCTACCTGTGCAAATTTTGGTTTTTAATCTCAGCATAGGGTGTTCATACTGACTAAGGTCAATGAGGAAATGCCTCCCTTCTCCCAAAGCACCCTTCAAACATTCAACACCTACAGCAGATGCTTTTACGGGGATACTGCAATTTTATAATCACTTTAACACTGATCGGCTGATGCTGCCTCTCCTACGTCGTATGGCACTCCAAGGCCTGCATGTGAACAAGACGTTCCCGCTCCTCACGATGAGACTCGGGGGTACCGCACATCTCCTAAACCACCACGAGCTCCGACGAGTACTGAACGCAGGGCTGACTGCTCTGGCCTCTGCAGGAAAGGCAGCCGTGCCTCCCGGAGGCCACGACCCAACCCCACTTCCCCGGGGGAAGACATGGGGCTCACCCCCTGCCCGCCCGCCACCATCACTCAAGGACCTGGCCAGGCAACCCCACCTCCCTCTGTCCTGGGCGGCCCCACACGGGCAGTGAGTGCCGTCAGCAAGAAGCTGAGCCTGTGGCGGCAAAGCAGAGACCTGATCTCCGTTCTCCCGCGGAGCAGGCGGGCACCGCACGGCCCAGTGGATGACCAGCCGGGCCTCCTATGCAGTCCTTGGGCTCCCTCAGGGCATCATGGTGCAGCCTAGGGAGAAGAGCCCCAAGTAGCAGGAGGTACATGAGGTGGTGACCCACTGACTCACAGGACGAGCTGAGGACCCAGACCCCTCTAGGACCCCGCACTGGCCAGCCCAGGGGTGCTCTGCAGCAGGGAGCATCGGCCACCAGAGCCCTGCTTCCCTGGGGGACGCCACTTGGGGTTAGCAAAGGCATCGATGGTGCTGCCCAGGGTACCAGGCAAGTGAGTGACAGTGATTTCACGAAGTCCCCACAGGTCAGTTCAGGGAGGCTAATGCCGTGTGCGCCCAGTGGGAGGGTTTTCACCAGCTCTGAGCCGGACACCTACAGGAACACTGTATGTTCAAGTCAGTTACGCTGTCTCCATCCAGAGAGGCCTTCGGATACGTACGCTAACAATACTGGCAAGCTCTACTTAAAGTGAATGAAACCAGGCCCCAGGAGCAGTAAATGAAAGGAGCCTGCTCAGTGGATGCGACCACCTGGCTGCCCAGTCCTGACTCACTGTCTGCAGCTAGTCCTCGGACGCCCCTATCGTGGGGGAGCTCCTAGGGTCTGTGCTTCAGCTTCAGGTCTAGTGTCAGGGCAGCTAGTCCTCGGACGCCCCTATCGTGGGGGAGCTCCTGGGGTCTGTGCTTCAGCTTCAGGTCTAGTGTCAGGGCAGCTAGTCCTCGGACACTCCTATCGTGGGGGAGCTCCTGGGGTCTGTGCTTCAGCTTCAGGTCTAGTGTCAGGGCAGCTAGTCCTCGGACACTCCTATCGTGGGGGAGCTCCTGGGGTCTGTGCTTCAGCTGCTCTCATTCTGAACACGATGCAGGTCTAGTATCAGGGCAGCCTGCTCACCACGGGTGACAACTTACTTTTCATCCGTCCCCCCAGGAGTCAGAGGTGACGGTGTCGTCCACTTTCCTGGAGCTGTGCAAAGGGACCTAAAGCGCAACCGGCACGTGCTGACCTAGTGCAACACGGAGCTCCCAGCTGGGGAACCTGCCCCCACCTGCCGAGTGCCCCACTGGCGCCCGCTCTGCTGCCCGCCTCTCCAGGCTCTGGGCTTTTCTGCTTCTCGTCGGGCTTCAGAAATCCACCAGGGACCACAGTTTCTGGCCACTCCCAACCAAGTCAGACCCGTGCTGATTCTGCTGACCCCCACTACACAAACGGCAGCCGTTCGGACCCAGGTCTCCCTGGCACAGCAGGCACAGGAGGCCCACTCGGAAGGACCACACCTTCAAAATGTGGACAGTGTGGGAAAAATTAGTGTTTGTAGGGAAGGGGCCATTGTGAGTTGTTCCCCTCTCTATCCCCCCACCCCCCGCAACACAGGTGTCACATGACGCCCAAGGGTATCACTTCTCCCAAGAACACAGTTGAGGGGTGTACCTGCTCCCCCCTTAAAGCCCCCACCCGCTCATCCCCACGCCCACTCCCCGTCAGCAGCATCGTCACGTCCTGTGAACAAAGTCACGCACTGCCAGCAGGTCCCGGCAGCCGCATGCACACATTCCTCCCCCGACCCACCGAGTCCTGGGTGCAGTGACCCTGGCAATGAAACATTCACGACTACGACCTTCCTTCTTCGCTGGGGAAGCACAGCCCGTGAAGCTGGGACACAAAAGTCACCTCTTCTCCTAGCACCCAGCAGAGTGGGAGGCCGGAACCAGGCTGCAACGGCGTGGTGCCAGAGCGCAGGAGTGGTGACCACACCGCGGCGACCGAACGGAAGCCCCCACTCCCAGAAGCGCCCCTCCCCCGCCACGCTGCCGGCAGCAGCATGTCCAGAAACTCCACTTACTGGCCTAGATCACTGGCTCCCGTTGGATCAGACCGAAAACATCCAGGTGCTTAATGACTCTTGCTCTCCCCTTTCTTCCAAGCTGTCCTTTATGTTTTCCGAATATTCCAGTTATAATCTGGGTTGTTTTTCTGTTCTAGTGACCTCTCCAAAGGAGACCTATGATCCAGGGGTGACTTGGAGTCATGAGGAGATTTCTGAGAAGGGGGCGAGCGAGGATCTGACACTGCAGGGTGCAGCGGGGGCAGAGGCTGTTTGTACTCCCCCAATTTGTCTGTGTGGAAAGAGCGGTAATGGTCTGAGGGTCCCTGGCCATGGTAGCCCATAGGGGGGCGGTGATCAGACATTCGTCGGAAATCCTGCTGGTGGTAATTCTGAGGCCTAAATTCATCAGATCTCCTCCGCTTGGAGTCATGGTGGTGCCTGAAACAGAGACGCAAGGATTAGCCGGGAGACCACGCCGGTTCCCCTCCCTGTCTTCCCGCCCAGTGCTCCGCACACACTCATACTCAAGGACACCTCCAAAGACTCACAGCAAGTGCTCACACTGCCAGGAGTCCGAAGCAAAACACAAGTAATCTCAAAGGGCTATTCTGCACTTACTGGCAAAACGCACCCTTTGAAATGACATGAGCGTCATCAAGGCTCAATGCAACAGCAACCTACTGAAACCACTGATGGATTTGGACACTCACACTCTCTGCAGAACTGGCAAGGTCTACACAAGTGCTCAAATTCTATGACCCAGCCCAGGAGAGAAAGAGCCACAGAAATTATTCTGTAATTTATTAGCAATAGCAAAAGCCATAATCAACCTAAATATTCAACAATAGGTGAATTATTTTAAAAACTGGACCCAGGCTGGTGTGGCTCAGTGGCTGAGCATTGTCCCATGCACTGAAAGGTTGCCGGTCTGCTTCCCAGTCAGGGCACATGCCCGGATTGCGGGCTCGATCCCTGGTAGGGGGCGTGCAGGAGGCAGCCAATTGATGTTCTGCTCACACATAGATGTTTCTCTTTCCCTCTCCCTCTTCCTGCCTCTCTAAAAATCAATACAAATATATTTTTAATTGGCGCAGTGCAAATAATATTATTTTACTTAGGACCTATGTAAACTGCTTGTTATCCTACTATAAAAGAACTGGTACAAATAAGTCTAGAACAAAAAGACAAACAACCCAACTCAGAAGTGGGTGAAGACCTCAGTAACTATCCTCTCAGAGCAGACGTACAAATGGCCACTAAGCACGTGGAGAGATGCTCGATATCCTAGTGAACATTAACCATCAGAGAAATGCAAGTCAAAACCACATGAGATCCCCTTTCACACCCACCAGGATGGCTCTACTCAAAAAAAACAGAAAATGAGTACTGGCAAAGACGTGGGAAACTGGAACCCTCACACACTGCTGGTAGGAATGAAAGACGGTTCCGCCTCTGTGCACCACCTAGTACCATACGACAGCAGCACTAGTTCTGGTAGCCGAAAGGCAGAAACAGCTCAGATGTCCGATGTCCGACAACGGGCGAATGGACAAACAGTATGACACATACATACAGTGGGATACTGCCGGCCATGAAAAGCAGTGAAGTCTGTCTGATACGTGCCGCAGCGTGGACGAGCCTCTAAAACCACTATGCTGTGTTCAAAGAAGGCAGTCACAAAGGCCACATTTTGTATGATTCCATTCACGCAAGATATCCACAATAAGTAAACCCACAGAAACAGAACACACACTGGTCACTGCCAGGGGCAGTGGAGAAGGCAAAATGGAGAGGGACTGTGCTTCATGGTTCGGGGTTTTCTCGGGGGTGACAAAGTGTTTTGAAACTTGACAGAGGTGGTGGTCATACTGAACAGGGAATACACTAAATTTCACTAAGCGGTTCCATTTTAAAAGAGTGAACTCATGCTATATGAATTTCACCTCAGTAACGAGAGAGAAAAATAGAAAGATGGGGGTGATTCCGTGCCAGTCAAATGGAGGAACGGAGACCAGATGTACCCTCCTGCATGAAACACTCAGAAAGAGACAACGTGCATGCAGCTGGGTTTTCCAGACGTCACGGGAAGTAGGGCAACAAATAACAGCGCTTCCTGAGGAGCGGGAAGCAGGTGGGATGGGCCCTGTGAGCCCCTCCCGGCCTTCCCTCCGCAGGTCCCAGGCCCGCACGGGGAAGGGAGGCCCAGAAGCCCAGCAGGCGTGCTGCGTGGAGCGCCCAGGGCGGGAACAGAACCACGACCGCTGGACTGCACAGGCCGATGCCCAGGAAGGCGCTACAGAGGTTCCCCTCCAGCACGCAGTGAGCTGGCTCCGCGGGTGCCACGTGAGGAAACGAGAGAACCAAATGGCTCCTTAACCCAGAGAACAAAAGTTACAACCTACAACCTGGCTTTCAGCACCTCCCACCTATCCCCTCTGTTCACCTCTGGGTGTCCTTTCCTGGGTGCCCATCAAGGCCTGGGCCTAACCCATCGCCCTGCTTAGCTGACTCTTCAGGGCCCAAATCTAGAATCAGCAGCCTCACCTCCTCCTCAGCCCTCAAGAAAAACACACCAGTCCCTGCTACCCAGCATCCAACTCGCATGTCAGCTGCCCACACTATGACCCCGCCCAGCACTGCAAAGGCGCTGTGAAGGCACCAACCTCTACGCAAACTCGGGGCCGCGCCTGGGCCCACGATGAGCACATTATCAGCTCTGCACCTGATAAACACAGTAATGCACATGTTGCTCATCCCCCCTAGGAATAGGAAAGCTCCCAGCAGAAGCCAGCTCCTGGTGTCCCAGAGCCTTTGCGTACCTGTCATAGTAATCTCGGTGTCCCCGGTGGTCTCGGTCACTGCTGTACGGGTCATAGGGCCTCTTTCTGGACAGATTGTTGGGCCGGTAGCTCCCGGAACGGTGGCTGTCCATGTGTCGCCGGTCCCCGTAGTGGTGGTCCTTGTACCAGTGCTGCTCATACTGGTGGTGCCTGTCACTGCCCCAGGGCGGATTGCTGCCGCCGTAGCTGAACTTCCTCTCCCTCTGCCAGTCTCCTCGATCTGCAGGAGAAGAAGGGACGGCCTCAGCACGGCAAGGAGGACTGAGTTTCACTTCCCCCGAAAGGCTGACACATGTCGTAAACAGGCATTAAATTTCCTCCTTTTTGCTGCTGCGAACATACTAGTGCTGAGTCCTAACATTCTTCCCCCCAAACTGTGAGGCAAAAGAGAATCCGCCTCCTTCTGAAATCTTAAGAACGATTGCTTTTTATTTTCCGCCCACTTACCTTCCCATCTGGGGCAGACCATACAAACGAAATGTCACTCAAAAGACAACATTAATTCAGAAAATAGCACTGCTGAATTCACAGCTGCAAAGTAATAAACTGCATGTCTGAAGTTTATCTACCCGCTAGTACCATAAGCTGTTCCGGGTCTCTGAGAAGTTGACTCCAAACTACACTTGCCGCCCACACCAAAATAAGGACCTCCTCCTCTAAAACCAATCCTCTATCTTTGGAGTGGGGTCAACACTCTGACTCTCAAGGACAGAGCCAAAGTAAAATTTGCTTTAGCTTTTGTATCCTCCATTTTCCCCTGCAGGGCAGAACCATGCTTATTTGAGTCAAACAAGGCAGTGAGAACACAGAGGTCCAGGCAGGGACGCCTCAGTGAGATGTCCACTCAGGACCCAGGAGTGTGATTTTACTTGGAAAACAGGGTCTTTGCAGATATAACTAAAGATTTCAAGATGAGGTTGTCTTGGATTTAGGTCCAGCCCTAAATCCAAGGACAGATACCCTTTCGAGGGAAAGGCAGGAGATCTGAGGTCCAGAGACCCCAAGGAAGGCCATACGGAGATGGAGCAGAGACTGGGGTGACGCAGCCACCAGCCAGGAGAGAAGCAGGGAACAGATTCCCCCTAGAGCCTCCAGAAGGAACCAACTTGCTGACACCTTGATGTCAGAGTCCAGCCTCCAGACTGTGAGAAAGTAATTCCTGCTGTTTTAAGGCACCAGTCTGTGACCCTTGGTGACAGCAGCCTGGGAAAACGAGCACAGAGACTAACCAGAAGGAGCTCTGTGGCCTCGTGGGAAATTCCATCTTCTATCTGCAACTGTGTTAAGAACAAAGACATGCCACCAAATAAATGCCTCTGCTCACTGCTGTTCTTCTGCATTTTTCTACGGAGCCAAAGAATAACACCACCAAGGAAACTACGGGCTTGGAAATTTACACCATTAAAATACCGTCCAGTCAACCAGAGGCTTACGTCCATTGTTGATCCAGGAGGGATCAGGCCAGAGGACTGAGGGGAAGAAACTTTTGACTCTTCTACCTAAGAATTAACAAACACATTGAGATTCCTCCACAATGTGAGAGGGTCACCTGATGATGACTTCAGACCAAACGGAAGGTCAGATTTCAGACAGGGCGTCAATGCAGTGGCACAGTGCAGATGCGCGAAACCCAAGCCAGTGCCATTCATTCCCAGAGAAATACAGTGCTTCCCTTTCTTCTGGACCCTCCGTGAGGTGAGTCGTTGGTGAGAAGTGCTGAGCTAGTAAGGACATGGGTGAGGAACCCAGGGCTTAAATAAAGAGTACAGTCAGCTTACTGAGAAGAGCTACTTCAAAGGATCAGAATATAACATCGGTGACATCACAGGAACAACACAAGACAGCGTAATCCCAGGAAAAAGTCGGTACAACGAACACAACCTAAGCACATGGAAACAGTCCCCAGCCACCGGTACAGGCGACACCTTTCCCCTTCCATAAAATGGTGATCGGCTCATTTGAAGCTTTTTATATTAGAAGACGTTGACATTCTGCTTCCAAGTGGTGAAGAGTAGCTTGCAGCAGAAATTACACGCTGCCAAGAACATCGAGAAAGGCGAGATAAACAAAAAAAGAACCTGTTTAAAACCACCACAGAGCAGCCAGAGCCACCGGGACCGGAAGGAACGAGATTCCAGGGCTGGCTCTGCAGCCGCTGGGAGCTGTGCATTCTGACCTCAGGCAAGGGTGGGTGTGCAGCTTTTCCCAGGCTGAGGACACCACCGCAGAAACAGACCCCAGCAGAGAACTGGCTACAGTGTGTCCTTCACATCGTTCTCTAGCTTCCGCAAACACAGTATTCCAAAATTGACTAGGGAAAACAGTTTGCTGGTTCCTTGAACATGTTAACATAGAATTGCCATATGACCCAGCAATTCCACACCTGGATATACACCTAAAGAATGGAAGACAGGCACTCAACTCCTTGTACACAGTTTCCACAGCAGTATCATTCACAATAGCCAAAAGTAGAAACAAAACCAAATGTCCATCAGCCGATAATGAATAAACAAACTGTGGTGTCCATACCATTGAACGATATTCAGTCACAAAAACGAATGAAGTATTGACATTTTTACAAACATGGATGAACCTTGAAAATAGTATGCCAAGTGAAAAAATTCAACACATATCATATGTTTCCATTTATAAGAAGAGTCCAGAATACGTGAGTCCAGGGAGACAGAATACAGATTGGCGCCTACAGGGGCTGGGGAGGAGGGCAGGATGGGGAGAAACTTAATAGGTATGGGATTTCCGTTTGGGGTAATGGAAATGTTTTGGAATGAGATAAAAGTAGTGGTTGTACAACATTATGAATGTTCTAAATGCCATTAAACTGGTCATTGAAAATGATTAAGTTCATGTTATATATGAGTTGCCACTTTTTTCCCTCCATTTTTTAATTGATTTTTTTAGGGAGAGGAAGGGAGATAGAAGCATCGATGTAAGAGATACAGCTGCCTCCTGCACACCCCCACTGGGGATCGAGCCTGCAACCCGGGCATGTGCCCTGACCAGGAATCCAACTGGGACCTCTCAGTCCAGGGGAGGGTGCTCCATCCACTGAGCCACACTTGCTGGGCCCTCCATTTCTTAAACCTGTAAAGCCAACCCATTCTTTTTAACTGATGATGATAATAGAGTACAAACATCCTATTATTCATCTAACCTTTCTCCTATTAATGGGCCTTCAAGTTATTTCCAGATTTTTGCCATTATAAGGCTGAACTAGACCTCATGTGTTTTCATTTCTGCAGGTCAGACTCCCAGAAACAGAGCCTACATATTCAGATATTTCAGATTAGGCTGTGGAAAGATTGCAGCAAATTTATACTCAGCTACTTGTGTATATATCACACGTTAATTTTTGCTGATCTGAATGGGTAAAAAAAACTCAGATTATTGCTTTAATTTACATTCCCTAGTAGCGATGTTACCAGCTTGTCACACTGGCCATTTGAATTTCCTCTGCTGTATGAATTCCCTCTTCCTAACCTTTGCTCATTGTTCTTTAAGAAAATAACAAAGACTCATCCAGCTTTACTTTTTCAACCTAAGCCTAACATCCCACATTTAAACAATGTCAAGCTTACCAAGCTGCCAGCACACACATGCACAGGGAGAGAACACCCTCAATTATATTAACCAGAAATGGGTCACCACAGACCCAGTAAATGTTTCAATACTAAGTACTCAGAAGAAACTAAAACAACACCATTTTTCTATTTGGTTATCCTTTTGTTATCAATTTACAAAGGCTCTTTCAATAGCAACAGTTTTAATCATTTAGCTGTCACGTATAACGTAAACTGTTTTCCTCAGACTATCACCTGGCTCTTGTTTACGGGGCTGTGTTCTTTTCAGAGCTGGAGGAGCATCCTTTTGGATCTTTATTTCATGTGTTATCTCATTCAGGAAAAAAGAAGGCGAATACAGTGATGCCCGAGAATAAAGCACAAAGGGCCAGCTGCTGTCTCTGGAAAATAAACGATTCTTCTTTGTCACCTCTTTTAACAAGTCACTTCATGACCTACCTGCATTACTAAAGTGCCTCTTGTTGGGGTGATTGTAGTTGTCTCTTGGGTGTCCGTGCATCTGTGGGCCATGGGAGGCAGGCAAGTGAGACTTCTGAGGGTGAAGGCTGTGCGGGGTGTGGGCCTGAGACATCAGGGAATCCCGGCTGGAGCCTGAGGCCTCCGGTCGAAAGGGCTTCTTACCACCCATCACGTCATCTTTCTTCTTTTGCTCCTACAGAGTAAAAGGAAAGAGACTTTCAAGATTCCAGGCTGAATTCTCAAGACCGGTATGAAGATCATCACTTCCAACAGTCCCCTCTTGCCCCGCTCGGCTTCTGACCTGCCATTTAGTACCTTCTTTCCAAAACAACCTCACCAATTCCTGAGCTCCCACAGCATGAACAGCCTCGGAGCTCCACCCGCTGCTCCGACCTACTAGGCCAAGTGCACAGACTGCTAGATGTCCCCGCAGGGCCATGGGACAGGTGCCCAGGCTCTGGGCGTTCTCAGACACTCCTCTTCCATGTAAAACCAGGACCACCAACTTCCTTGGGCTAACTAGAACAGAGAGCCCCTGACTAGTCCAGTGGAAACCAGTTCCTATTCCGAAGTCATCAAGTTGAACATCTAAATGTTTGAGTCGTTTCAGTTCGCCACACAAGCAAAATATTCGCTATACAAACGTCATAAATACAGAAAGAAATTTAAAAATGTATAGTGATTTAAAATCTCACCAACAAGAAATTAATGTAAAAAATTTGGTCTATGTCTTTCTAAGCCTGTTTGTTTATTTTAATCCTTACCCGAGGATATTTTTCCATCTATCTTCAAATAAGAGTGGGAGGGAGGGTGGGGGGGGGAGGACGAAGGAAGAGGGAGAGAGGAAAGAAGGAAGGGAGGGAGGAAGAGAGAGAGAGGAGAGAGAAGAGAAAGAGAGAGGGAAGGAGGGAGGGGAGAGGGGAGAGAGAGAAACATCGACATGAGAGGGACACATCAACTGGCTACCTCCCCTCCCGCACCACCCTGACCAGGGTTGGGGACAAACAGCAACCGAGATACACGCCCTTGACCAGAATCGAACTCCCAAATCTTTGGTCCGTGGGCCAACCCTCTAACTGCTAAGCCAAACCAGCCAGGGCCATTTTGTGTTTTCTAATGTATATGCATATTTTAATAATATTATTTGGTATTATTTTTTCACTTAATGTATTGTGAAAATCTCACATGAATACTTATTTCCAATAAATTATACTTATGGTTGAATAATATTCCCCAAAATGGATATACCATGATTTATTTCATCTATTTCTTAGTATTGAACCTTCATTTCCACTACAAACATGTTTAAATCCTAATTACCTCCTTAAACTAAATTCTTAGAGGCAAACTGTACATCTCCATCTGTGCAGATCTTCCTGAACTGTCCTGCGGAAAGGCTGTGAGCATGCAGACGCCACCTGCAGGTCACTGCTCCTGCCCCTCCGTGCACACTAGCTTCCAGCGCCCTTCACACGCCACGTCCAATTTCCCACGCTCGTCCCAACTCACTCTTCCCAACCTCTCCACTCTGTCCCGGGGCCTTTCCCGGCTATACTTTCAAAGACTTTCAAAGCATTTCAAAGATATAATGCTTAAAATGGAAACTAACATTTAGCAATGTCAGTACAGCTTGCTGAATTTACTGCTGTGTATGTAGCATATCCTTCCATGTAAATTATAGTACTAGTTACTTCCGGGTGCTGCTCTGCAGCTCAACCCAGTGCTGAGCACCTGCCCTGCACTGGCACTGCACCAGGTGCGAAGACACAGCGGAGGACAGAGACATAAACCCCACAGCATTGCCAGGGCACTGCTGTGCTGCCACCACCACGGGGAGGCGGCTTCTTGGCACCTTCTCCTGCTTGCTCACACGGGAGCAGTTGAGACCCTATGTATAAATGCCGGAAGGACACCAAGCTCTCATGGCCCAGAATCCTGTCACAATACATGTGCACGGGAAAGAAAAGCCTGGTGAATAAGTGAGTCCAGAACAGAAGAACACAGGGAGGGTAACAACCCCTTATCAGAATTCAACTCTGTCTAAAAGAGCCAACAAATATACCAGCTACTTTCCCACCGGGCTTCAGGTTGGCTACCAGTGCAGCGTGCTGAGAAACCACACGGCAGCCATGAAGGAAGGGCGCACAGGACCAGGCAGGATGGGCCTGGGCCCTGCACCCCTCCCCGACCACGCCTCCATCCCTAGGTAGGGCAGAGCCCCCGTGATCCTGCGATCATCCCCCAGGGGAAACAGTAATCAAGGGATGTTCCTGCAGAACTGGTGTTTGTCTGTTTGAATGAACTGGGGTATTTGTAGTTTACCTCCTCTTCTTGAGATCTTTTCTTATGAGCCATCTTGTACAACTTGTGTAACTTTCGAGCATCAAATTCTGTAAACTTGGAAACAAAAATCCATAGGTTCCTAAAAAAAAAAAAAAAAGTTCTGGTGATTATTGAATTTAAAAAATAACTCTTCATTCTCTTTTGATTGATGGCAAGCTACTGAGTGTTGCTGTGGAATACTTCCCAAGTGCAGAAATCAGATTACAGAAAGAAAACTCTTCGTGAAGGTCTTTGCGTCAGTAACATGTCTACACGCTGCTGTCAGGGATTTGCCGCGGTCTGGAGGCCGGTCCTGTCTCTCTGCTAAAACCCACCTACCAAGTGCACTGCGCCAGCACCCCGGCCCTCGGCTTGCCCTGCCCTCCGCACTTCTGCACTCTGCCGAGCAGGCCCTCATCACCTCCACCTCACAGCCCGGCACCCACGTGCAGCAGGCGTCACTGGGGCTGCCCCTTGTCTGCTTCCAGACGCCAGCAAGGCCTGTAATTTTCCCCATGAAACCCTAAGGGACTCCCCCCTCCATCGCACTGCACCCCACCCGCACAGCGTTCCTGTCAGCGGGGAGGGACAAGTGTCCAGGACACAGTGGCACGGGCACGCCCCTGAGCCGGGAAAGGAGTGTCACAGCCACGGACTCCTTCTGAGAGCGGTCTCACCCCGCCAGGCTCTGCCGCTCACTAGCACACCTGCTGCACATGCAGAAAGCCATTTCCCGTTCTAACGTCTGCTAAAATAGGGCTTCAGTCATCTTAACCAACTGCTTTCAAACCTAACAACCTCCCAGTGCCCTCACTGGCCCACTTCGAGCCTTTGCTGAAGGCTGAGACACTCTTCATCTAAGTCCGCTCTGGTTTCCTAAGACCAGGTCAAGGGCACCTGCCTGCTCTCAGAAGACGTCCCTCCTGACTCCTCCTCTGCACACACCTCCTCCTTCTAAAACTCCTACTATACTTGCAGTTACCACTTCACCACGGACAGTTTCTCAGGAGTGAGCAAGGACCTGCCTATGCACTACTGCCAGCCAGGACCACAGTGCCTGGTGCCTTCAAACACAGACAGGCTTTGCCTGGCCAGTGTGGCTCAGTGGCTGATAGTCGACCCTGCACCAAGAGGTCACTGGTTCCTGATCAGGGCACATGCCCGGGCTGTGGGCTCCATCCCCAATGGGGGACGCGCAGGACGCAGCCAATCAATGTTCTCTCTCGTCAATGTTTCTTTTTCTCTTCCTTTCCCTTCCTCTCGCTCTTAAAAAATAAATAAATAAAATAAACACAGGCCCAGTGCACACAAGAAGCCCAGCCTGTGGCTCTACGCACCAGGAGTTTCTGTCATCTTCCAACAGGGATGGAGTCTGGTTAAAGAACGTCGGATGGCTAGCTATGGGAAGTTGGCACCAGTGTAAAGGGGAAGAGTGACATTTTAAAACTTAACCAAAAAAAGTTTTTATGAGTGTGAAACATCTTATAGATTGCATCATGACAGACGGTTTTATTAAAACCATGTTTCACTCCAAAATCAATCCACTGACACTGGACATACTATACAAAGATGAGTATGTTAACCATGAAGTATATGAGGTCAAAGTAACTATGGATCATGGCGAGAGAGTAATGTTGCAATTGTCTATGAGAAAAAAACAGCAAATTTCTCAAAATGTCCAAAGGGAATATATTATCAATAAGTCATAATGCCTTACAAATTAAAGTTCTGCATTATATGAATTAGTCCAAATTATTGCTCGAGTTATTTCATTATCATAGTTGGGTGACTTTAACCTATTTCCCCCGCTATGTTAGTAGAAAGCTAACCAGTAACTTATTACATCTGAGTATCAACCTCAGATGAGTCAAGCAGTAAAACTAGATGATTTCTGTGGCTTCATTTACAGGCTAGGTCTTTATTCTAAGAACAGGCCAGCAAACCCAGTCGCACTGTCTTAGTCTCACCAATTAATGACATCATCCAATGCACTCAGAAGACTGGTCTCAGTGGAATGGCCTAGGTCAAGAAAGTAAACTGAAGCCTGTTGGCAAAAGATGGCTTTTGGTGGGAAAAAAATGTTTCCCTAGGAGGAAATATCACCTTTTACAAGACAAAAACAGAACACACACACACTCTCACTCTCTCTCTGTCAAATCCGATCGGGCTCCCGGAAGCCCACGGGGGTTACCTCCTCCACAGCTTGACGTGCTCCTGGTCGGAGTAAGCTTTAAGGCACTCGGCTATCCGGTCTCCGATCTTCAGCAGGCAGTTGCGGGTGTGCTCCAGCTGCTCTTGCACGCTGAGCCCCTTGTCGGGCTTGTCCAGCTGTTTCAGAGCCTTCTTCACGGGCCTCATCCTCTCCTTACACTGAAATAGGCCAAGAGGGTAGAGACATAAAGCATCTGCGGTAGAGCGGTCTCCCCCTTTGCTTACTGTGCCCTGAATTCCCAGAGAACACACAGCCCGCCCTCGTGCCCTGTGATCACTAGAGAGGAGAGGAGAGGAAAGCCAGTGGACCAAGTAGCAATGTCCGAGTCAGAAACACCTGAGGTGCACGTCCCAACACCACCGCTTAGAGCGATGACCGTGAACACCTTACTTCGCCTCTGAAAATGCTGGTGTTTCCTCATCTGCCAGAGGAGCCTGAGAATCCCATTAGGCCTTTCTGAAGATCAAATGAGAAGCAAAATTACAGACCTAGCCTGAAAATCTCCCATCGCCAACTAGCTTAAAGTGCAGGCTGAAATATTTACCAGTTCTGCAGGCTTTTAAGAAACAGTGAACTGAACACAGGAACCTTTTTCTCCCTGTCCCCAGCCCCGCTAAAATGACAGTAAAGGGATTGCCTTAAAAAAGAGATAAACCCACAGAGACAGGGAAAATGAGAGAAAACAACAGCAACAAAATAGTGGCAGCAAGGAAAGTGACTTGAGAGTGCTGAGCCACCTCATTCACGTCGCGAAACTCCCCAAAGCCAGCTATGTGTCTCTCTGGGACGTAGGGGTGAGGGCTAACAATAAGGATTGGGTTTTTAAAGAATGACAAAGAATAACAGGTACTCAGACTCTTACAGATACCCAGGTCTCCAACCCCACCCAGCAAAAGGCAGGGACGTGTATTCGAAGAGGGTGAGAAACGTCTCTGAACTGGGCTCTGCCAGCATCGCCGAGGGGCGCGGTTACCACACTGAATTACATGGACACGTGCGGACTAAACGAGCCCCGGCCCGGCCTTCTGCCTCCCAGATTCCAGAAGGAAGAAAGCCAGGCCTTCATCCTCAGTAAGGAGATGGAGAGATTTTTCTCCATAAAGTCTGAACACCCAAGAGGAAAAACCAAATGATGCTGACCAGCCACTGAAGTTTCCTAGAGAGGCAGCCCAGCCAGATCACCCCCAGCCAACATTCTCGGAGTCCGTTAAGCCCCACCCCCACGCTCAGCATGCCCAATAAGGTCATTCCTCCCTCTTAACCACGAGCAGACGACCTAGGACTGCCGAGCCATATGACGAAGTGTCTATGTAAACAACAGAAAACAAATTAGAGAGAAGAGATAACTGAGGATTACCAAGCCATCAAAAGGTAACATCAGGGACTACTTCCAGAGTCCAATATCCAAAAACAAGAAGTTTCATAAAGATAAAACTAAGAACTTAGGAGGAAATTATCACAAAACCTGTAGGACCTGGTTGTCAGCCACTGAGTATATCTGGTACAACGAACAAATGAGGCCCACGACAGGATCATGGCACTTCAGAACAACAAAAGTCCTACCCTCTCATCACTGTGCAATTCCTGTAGCTGTACATACACTTACCATCTATTTGTTTTCCAGTGTTGTACTTCAGTTTAGAAAAAGAACAACATTTTTAAAATACCACAAACTGGAACATACAGATAAAAGAGCAGTATTATGAATGTATAAAGAATTCCTACAAACAAGGCAAGGAAAGACAAAATTACCCCAAACAGAGCAAAGAATAGGAACAGGTAATTCACTGGAAACATGAATGTCCAATAAATACAAAAATAAGTGATCAATTACAACACTGGTCAGTATTTCATACCCATTGAAGAGTGGCTGAAATTAAGAAGTCAGAAATAACCACGTATTTCTGAGACCGGGAAAGCAATCTTCTAGGGGTGTAAACCTCTACAAAGGCTTTGAAGAGTCACATTCTAGCTTATGCAATCAAGAGCTGGGCACGCGTGCCCAATGACACACAGCACGTCTGCTCGAGCTGTACCCTAAAGAAGCTGTTACAGTGCACGAGAAAATACTGACAACTTCATTGCAGCCTCTCTGCAGTGGTAAACATCTGAGAAAACCCAATGTCCATCAATAAGATAAATTAAACTGTGGAAATCATAAAATGGAGCAAATGGAGAAGGGGAAGTTACAGAATACATGCAGCGTGGCATTTCTATAGGACTTTTAAACACGGAAAGCAATCTTACATGCTGCTATGGACACATGAAGGCTGTGTGGTTCGATGGGTCAGGACCCAGACTTCCTGTCAAACTTCCTGGGGGGAACTCTCTGCTCCACATCGTAATTCTGTCACACAGGACAAGTTCCTTAACTCTCCACCTTATTGCTTAATATGTAAAATGCAGGTAATCACCTACGTCATAGAATCATTGTGGAGAAAAGACACGTCAAGTGCACCGACAACCCTGGCTCTTTGTAGGAGCCGTACTATCCTTAGAGACCTAAGTAGGGAGACTCTAAAACCCCCGAGAGAATGACCATCGAATTCAGAATCGCGGTCACTCTGGGAGTTGACAAAGGAAAGGCATGGGTTAGAGTGAGGAATAGCAGGGGCTTCAACTTTATATTCTGAGCTTGGAAAAAAGGCAGATTTGACAATTTCATGGCAGCATATCAATGTCTATATTCCTGAAATTTATCTGTAAAGATTTCATGATATAAAAACAAGAATAAATGAGCCAATATGCAAAAGTATTTTTAAAAATAGTATGGTACCATAGAAGCATTAGTTATGATTTTCTCTTGTAAGTACTGGGCTAAGGAAGTAGATCAGATAGCTGGTTGTGTAATGAATGTATTCATTTACTGATATTCTTCTAGCAGCTACATGTAAAGACAGACACAGTACTTGCCCTCAGAGAGCTCACAGGCTGAAGAGTCAAGAATTAACAAAAATGAGGTGAGCACAAAGAAAAAGGGAAAAAAATATATAAATACATGTACACACACACACGTACACACATACATATGCTATAGGTTTAGGGGAACCCAGAGAAAGAAGACTACCTTACAAGGACGAGGTCAAAAATCTAGCCTCTACTGCCACCGAGCAGGAGTGCTGAGACCTGGAAGGTCGCTTCCTCTTTGGGATGGAACTACCTGCTCAAGTGCACTGTGATCCACGGACACCGGGAGCGAGCGGGGAAGAGAACGGCCGAGTGCAGCACAACGAACTAGACGCACGCAGCTCCAGGGAGGGCACCGAGCCCCGAGGACACCTGGCGTGTTTGCAGTCCAGGCGAGGCCTGGTCCAGGCACACCCTCCTCGTCACCTTCCCAGTCCCACATCCTAGGCCGTGACTTAGCTGCAACCACCACAAGGAAGCACCAGGATACACCACCTTCACCACTGCTCTAGCTCACTCAGCCAGGACCCCATCCCATGTCATGCTGTCCCCCTTCTCTCCCCACTCGAGCCACATGGCCTTGTACCTCCTCAGCACACCATGCTGGGCCCTCCCACACAGGCCTTGTGTGTGCTGTTGCTCCGCCTGGGCACGGTCTTCCCTCCCCTCTTCTCCTATGACCTTTCCTCTTCCTTCAGAACCCAACTCACGTCACTTCCTTAAACATGCCTTCCTGATACCCCGACCGGATTAAATTGCCCTTCTCACAGGATCTTTGTGGAATCTGACCTTTCTCCTCCACTGCTCCATCACAGTAGCACAAACACGGTTTGTGTAGATCTGACTATCCCCCAACTCACATGTGAAGTCTACAACGATAGAAACAGTTATCTATTCACCATGGTAGTAACTCCATGCGCTGCACAGACAGTATTCAGTAAGTGTTAGGTAAGTGCACACTTCCGCTTTCCAGATGCTACTAAGGGCCCTGCAGCCCTTTCAGATAGAAGCACAAGACGTGAACTTGATTCCCTAAAATTCTTTCTCCCTAGAAGTGGAGTATAAAGAGCTCTTCCTATCAGCCTGTCCCAGAGCTCAGGTCTTTTGATCTTAGAAGTAAAGTGTTTCCAAAGTAATTTACTGAGGCTCAGACCAAATGAGGCTGTGTGGCTGGACCTATGGAAGGCAGAGCCCCGGCAAGCACTGTGGCTGCTAACGCTGGTGTCCCTCAATGTCAGGACTTACTATGCTGAATGTCTCCTGGTCCAGATCATCATCCTCATCCTCGCCAATGGGGACAGGTTCACTTCCTGCTGTAATATGGACAGGACCCTGAGATCGCTTTGATTTACTTGAAGATTTGGCATCACCACCTTTAGGCTTTTAAAAAAGAGTTACAAGGAGTCATTGTCACTTACAAAATCCTGCCTTGCAATTTGGACTTCCTACCTAAGTCCCATCACTACAGCAGGTCAATATGACGGCCTCAGTTTATAACAAAGGTAAAATAAAGTCCTCTGGGACATCATGAAGCCAAACCTATATGATTAACAGCTTCATCAATCACACATCATTCCCATTGGTCTCTAAACACACCCAATTTTAACTTTTGACTAATCAATGCTGTTTTGGCTTTTGTTTCTTCTTCCATAAATGCACAAAAATGTCATCAAGAGGTTAGAGTATAAACTGGCAGAGATCTGGTACAGTATCATGTAGCAACTTTTTTTTTTCCCTTCATTGACTTTCAGAGAGAGAGGAAGGGAGAGGGAGAGAGAGAGAGAAACATCAGTGAGAGAGAACATCGATTGGCCGTTTCCTCCATGGCCCCCACTGGGAGTTTGGCCCACAACCTGGGCATGTGCCCTGACCAGGAATCAAACCGGCAACCTCTTGGTGCATGGGATACTCAACCACTGAGCCACACCGGCTGGGCTCATGTAGCAACTTTTATTAACAGCTTACAAATATACACTTTGATCTAGGAATATTTATTAATGAAAATATTGTAAATAACTAAAATCTGCATAAACCCAAATGGATAAATCTCATTTTTCCATGAAAGGTTGCAGGAGGAGGAGATATATATATAGATAAATCTATATAAAATGGCTTCATACATGAACATTTAAAAACATAAAACAATACTACGCTTTGTTTGTGATTATATAACAGGTAGTAAAAGCAGCTATAATATCTGGGTAGTGGATACATGGATATTTGTTAAATCATTCTGTATTCTTTAATTTTTGAAATATTTTTTTTTTAAAGGGACCTCTGCGGAAGCACAAATGCAGATATCTGTCACAGGGTGATTTGCAACATTAGAAATTTGGAAGCAATTTCAATCGGGGAGACATAAACTGCTTCCAACCTGTTATAACCAAACAGAATCTTCCTCATCCATTAAAACATGACTTCCAACATGTATTTATTCTCTTGGAAGGTTGTTTGTGATATATTGTAAGTTGGGAGAAAAGGCTTCTAAAATAGTCTGACCTGATAATTATTTTATAAGACAAAAGTTCCAAAGGTACTTAGTAAGAAATCTACTGGAGGTATGTCTACATGGTAGAATTATAGCATTTATTTGTACATTTTAATAATGATTAGGAACTAATTGCAAAGTCACTTCATTAGAAGTTGGCAAGCATACATGAACACTGTACCAGAATTCAGTGGTTGGAATAAACTTCACAAAACTCCCAAAGGGAAGGTTATAAATAGCAGGGCCTTTCACCCAATTCTATTCCAAAAGCTTAGCTTTGGGTAGTATTAGGTTTGAATCTTAAACCCTTCAAATATTCAACTTTATCCGTAGAGTGTGCTCTTCTATCATGAATCTGAGAACGTATCTCAAGCAGTTACCTGTAAATGTGGACTTCTCCCACCTGTCCTATCTCACTCAAACATCTCTGAAATATGTTTAAAAAAAAGTGCAAGTGAAGGCCTTCCATATCAAAGAACAGACTAAATGTTCACGCTCCCTTCTCTCTGCAAGGAGAGGTGCAGGCCTCACTGATAGCCCCCTCCTTCCTTTTGAAATGTACCCATAAAAAAAGACCATTGTTTCCTCAACCCCCGTTCTACTTCTAATTCCTGGAATGGACTGTCAGAGGCTACAGGGATATCTCAGCAAGCAGAACAACACAAATACCTTCTCTTTCTTATCTTTCGACTTCTTCCTTTCCTTGTCCCCATCTTTGTCTTTCCTAGAGCTCATTTGTTTCTCCTTGTTCTCCTTGTTCTCTTTCTTCTTCTGTTTCTTTTTCATTGGACTTTTTTCTAAGCCATCGTCCTAGAAGACAAACAGGGCTATGAGCTATGGCCACACATTTTATATGGACTCACTGACTTTCTGGAGAAGGAAGCCCTGCCCCCAATGGCTCATGGCTGCGTCTACACTTGGAAGCGTGTTTTCAAGCAGACAGCCTTAATGCATATCCACAATTCTAAACTCTGCTCATCACCAGTTAGGCCAGTAGAGGCTTCACTAATATCTTTCCCTTTAATTCTCACAGCAACCCTTCAACATAGGCATTGTCATTCCCACTTCACAGAGAAACTGAGGACCAGAAGGTATATAGCTGTCAGATAGAAACTGGAGAGAGTGCTAGGATTTGAATTCAGGTTTGCATGACTCAAATCCATGCTATCCCTGCACCCACTGCGGATCCTCTTGGAGCTAATCTCGAAGTACAGTTATACTCGAAGAGTAACAAAATCAAATCCCGTCAAGTTGTCACCCACTGAAATAACACACTGAAGGATGCTGTTTTCCACTTGGCTTAGACCAGAGGTCACAAACTGGCAGGCCTTGGGCCAAACCTGACCCACAGACGAGTTTTGTTCGGCCCAACAACACAATGAACTGCATAGCAGCTGTCCCTGGCTGTCCCCACCACTCCCTGGCTGTTCCCAACAATGAGGAGAGAAGTCCTTTGATATTCAGCATCGAAATTCCCTGGTTCTCTTCATGTACTTCCATTACCTGTGAATGTGCAATGGCTGACTTAAATGAAAACACATTCCTCTTAGGCTAAGCAAAGACAGATCTATTCTAGTTGATCTATTCTACATGTAAACCAACATGTTTTGAATGGTTTTATACCAACTGGCACAGTAAGTGCAGCTTAAAAAATAACCCTCCACTGAAACGCAGCCTCGTACCTTCACTTCCCCCTCCTCTGACGGATTATCCGAGTGTCTAGGCGATGAGAAGTCAAGCCCGTGCTCATCTTTCAGCCTGGGCGCTTTGTTCTCCTTCTTTACTCGAGGCTTCCGCTTCTTTAACTTGGCCTGGAAGAGGAGAGAAAACGGTAACAAAGCCTCAAGTCTCTCAAAAGCATGACCAAGGAACATGATGACTCTCTGGAACAGGAGCAGCCATATAATTCAAGTGAGCAAACTCAAAGGCGTGTAACCGATGTTACTGGGGCGGGAAGACTGTGGGTCTTGTACGTATCTCACGTCACACGAAAACACCCACAGCTTTGAACCTGCTGATTCCATTTTCTTGAATTCATCCTCAAGATGTAATTCAAATAAAGGAAAAATACCTGGTGTACAAAGACACCATATAAAAGACAGTAAGAGTAACATTTAAAAAACCCAGAAGCACACAGTATCTAAAACTAAGGAAAAGGTGTTTATCTCCTCAATCGAATCTAATGCGAGTATAAACATGGTCTAATCTGTCTCTCTAGAACAGTGGTTCTCAACCTTCCTAATGCTACGACCCTTTAATACAGGTCCTCACGTTGTGGTGACCCCCAAACATAAAATTATTTTCATTGCCACTTCATAACTGTAATTTTGCTACTGTTATGTCTTAGGCGAACCCTGTGAAAGGGTTGTCCGACCCCCTAAGGGGTCGCCACCCACAGGTTGGGAACTGTTGCTCTAGAGCATACCTTACGGTATATACTCAACATACTATCTGGAGAATAACACCGTGTATGTGACACTATTACATGGAAAAAGACAAGGGATGGAATTGGGGTAACTTTTTTCCCTAAAATTGTTGTGATACAGAGAAATTAATACGAAGGGCTAGCTCTAAGAGCACTTAAGGAATAGACACACACGGCCTGCTAATACCAGATGTAGCTTATCATATCTTCGAACTGTGACTGACATCTTTCTAGGCCTGAACTGAAACGAAAAGTTGGGGAAATAAAAGGAGATACAGCCCTGATGAGTTCGTTTGCAACTCACTTGGTACTTTTCACTGAGCAAGTAAGGCCCACTTCTGACTTAACTGTGGATTCCAATTACCCATGGGCTCGTTATTACAATTAGCCCAGAGTTAGCTGTAACAACAGGCAGACCCAGTGGTGTCCAGACAGTTACTGAACTATGGTCCAAAAGTCAGGAAGCAGCACAAAGAAACAGCAACAGTGTGTCTGGACCAAGCCGCTCTGACAGCAATGAGGATTATTTTGAGACCATATTATAAGAAAGTTGCCAAGATGTTGAGGTCAGTAATTAAATGAACACTTTTAGGACTACCAACCAACCATCACTACTGGAACCTCAAAAGCAGCACCCAACTACCAGAAGATACCATCCTGGGCTGCAGCCGCAGTGGGCCTCACCCCACCCTCACTGCCGGGCCGAAGCCACGCCCTGAAGGACGCCAGCGGGCAGCTGCACTCACCTCTTCGCCGCCCGACACGGCCCCCTTCTTCTCCAGACTCTTCCTGAGCAGCTTCAGCAAATAGTCCGCTCGCGTCTGCAGCTGCTTCCCCTGAGGCTTTTTATCTGTCTCCACAGGCAGAATCTTCAACAGCAAAGGAAGAGAAGCACCCGCCACCACCCACGTCCCGGTTAGTGGATCAGGAGCAACAGAGACAACAAAGAACTGAGCAGTCCTTTCCCTCCCCACCCACCCGAAATACAGACACAGCCTCAGATCCTATCTCATGTCCATGGCTCCCAGTCACTGAAAATCCCTTATGAGCCGTTCTCGTTTTACAAAATGGGATGGAGAAATCCAGCTCTCCCACTGGCTCCTACCTGTGCTGTTAACTGGGTAGAACAACTCAGGTAGGAGGGGCTTGTTGGCTTCATCTGCTAGAACATCCCAGCCGTCGTGGATTTCCTCCTTCCAGGAGCAGGGAATCCCTGGAGCTAGGTTAAAGCTTCGTTTTAGATTGAAAATGCTTCTTAGAGCATTGCCGGAGAGCACTGAGCTATGCCAGGACAGGAGCTGTCCCGCTACCATAGGTGGACCTCTCAGGCCAGAGTGGATTTGGTCTCAGTGCTTATGGCAGGGTGCTGTCACCCTCTTAAGACATTGCATGTGGGATGAGCATTGTTTGACGTGCCAGGAAAAGCCCTGCCGGGAGCACCACATGGAGCACATCCTACCAAAATTTGAGCCAGTCAGCTTTCCCTGCTTACAGCTAGCTCTGAGCACGGCCTTACTACCTGGTAGCCCGCTTTGCAACGGATAGGGTGGGAGGCTCGATTTTGTGGGAGAAATACGGCCAATGTTGAGTTCCATTACAAAAAACACCAAGGTGGCTTATTCGTTCTTTGTGTATAGAACTAAAATATGGTTGTTTCAAATACAGTTGCAAACAAAGGGCCAACAACTAAGGCCAAGGGATGCTTGTATTATTAATAATCTTACCCTGGTATTTGTTGCAATGAGACTGACCTATAATAAAAATCAGAATTTTAAGATTTCTCCTGTAATTTCCCCAAGATTTTACCTGGCTATCACCTTCATCTATGACACAGTGTCACAGTCCACTAAAGATGATAACGTTTCCAAGGACAAAGAAATCCCAGGAATTCACTATTGTACTAATTTCCAAGTTGATCCCCACCCCCGAAAAATAGTTAAAAATACGTAATTAATATGAAAGTATTATGCAACAATCTTCTAGAAATCTCCAGCATCACAGTGTTACTTACTTTGTCAGTTAACTTTAGCTCTGGATCCGTTTTAATTAGCTCCCAGTTTCCATAGCCGTGTTCATAAATTCCCAGCAAGAGGCGAGAATCATCTTCCACTCCCCACTCAACATCAAAATGTGCAGCTTTGACACGACAGGTTAAGCAGTATCTACAGGGATTTCAAAAACCGGAGGACATCAGAGGAGGGGCCTTTCTGATTTGGAAATGAACACGAACAAAGTATTCTGATAGAGTGAAGAAACCACAACAGCCCGGCTGGTGTGGCTCAGTGGATTGGGCGTTGTTGTACTGAGAGGTCCTGGTTCGATTCCGGTCAGGGCACATGCCCGGGTTGTGGGCTCGATACCCAGCAGGCAGCATGCAGGAGGCAGCCGATCAACGTTTCTCTCTCATATCGATGTTTCTCTCTTTCTCCCCCCACTTCCTCTCTCTCTAAAAAGATCAATGAAAACATATATATGTTTAAAAACAGCAATAAAAATACTACATAACCACACATAACTGTAACTTGCAGGTTATTTTCCGTCAACACGACCACCCGAGCACACGCACATGCCACACTCACTTTTTTTTTTCTTCAGGGTCCACGGGGATGGATTTATGCAGCATCTCAAACTCTTCCTCATGTTGGATGATGGATTTCACATTCACCTGAACACCAGATATCTTGATTGTTGGGCCTCTCTTTTTTCCTGGTCCTTTCCCTAAAGAGCAACTTCACATTAGTTAACTAAGAATTTGCTGAAGTTCCGCAAAAAACATGTATCAAACCCTGAAGAATGCTTACTCCCTCAATCTCCCTCTGTCTCACTATTAACCAAAGATACAACCTATAAAGCAAAAGGACTGTCTCAATCAATGTCTGTAAAATAATCTCTGAACAATTCAGTTTAAGATTTAGAATTTCTTTAGCCACTAGTGTTTACAATTGCATTTTAATCTGCCTATTTTATACTTCGGTTCTACAATTAATAAAAGACTGAAAGAATTAGTGCTAGAGATTTTTCTTTTGCTTTTCTAACTATTCCATTAACAGTTTTACTTAAAAAGTGTTTTAATGATGATCTCTACTAAAAAAGTGTGAGATCAAGTCAATGCCTAAGACATTGGAAATGAACAAAAGATGCTATGGAGAGGTTACCCTAACCCTCGTTTCAAATGAAAACAATCCTAGAAGTAAAAAAAATACAACCCAGACTCAAACCACAGTCCAAACTGAAATCCATGAGATGACTCTTGTCCGTCAGGAAAGACGGCTCCACGTGTGAGAAAAGGCCTCATTTTTATAAAGACACATAAGTCGATGAAATGGCACTCCCGTTACAATTACTTAGGGATTCTTTTGTAACCCACTGGAATTTCACTTACAAATGCTATTATTCCCAACAACACTGGCGGGAACTGGAACAGAAGGTGGTAAAATGGAAAAGGCCCTGCTCTTGAAAATCAGAAATCTGTCATTTATTCCCAAATCTCCAAACACTATCCCTTCTCTGCTCTCGCTTTTAGTGATCAACCTCTCTGGGTCTCAGTTTCCTGAACTACAATAAAAAAAATAGATAAAGGATAATGAAACAATTCGCAGAAAAGGAAATTCAAGAGGTTCCTAAGCATACGAAAAATACTCAACCTCACTCATGATAGTAAAAATGCAAACTAAATATATACGCATGCCACTTTTACCCTATCAGGTTGGGGAAAAGAAAAAAATTGAAAATACTATGATGAGACTGAGGGAAACAGACGTTCTCACTCAATGCTGGCGAGACGAAGGGTGCAAAGGGGGATAGAGCAGGGTTGGTTACCACAACTACAAAGCCACAGATGGGAGAGCTGAATGTGCACCAGCAGGACACTCATACTGCATATCCGTAACAGAGTAGGAAGCTCTTAAAAAAACAAAATCAGGGCAGTGGAGAAAAGATGAACCATTTTAATGCATGGTGCGGAGGCATATATTAGCTACATCGGAAAAAAAAAACTGGATCTATTATACCAGGAAAAACTCCAAGTGTATCAGAAATATAAACGTAAATGAAATCACAGAGGTGCACGGTAGGTGGAAGTTACAGTGAATTCCTTTATATCCTGGGAGTAAAGAAAAACACTGTGAACTTCAGGTGTACTTCTGGATGCATTCTGGCTGCTAAAAAAAGCACATATTTGGGGCATTCTCCAAACCACTCATGTTACTGAAGTTTCTTTTACCTCTAAAATGTTTTACTGTATTTAAGGTATTTTTCAATTGCATTCATTAAAATAATATCCTTGAGAAGAAAACCCCAAAGCGCAAACACTTCTTTACTTAATGACACTAGCTAACACTGCAGCCAGACTAAGCCAAGCAGCACTTCTCATGCACAATTACTCAAGGAATCACCCGGCCCTCTGGGGCAGGTACAATACGCCACTTTCCAGAGAGACCGCTGAGAGGCTACCACTGCTCTCAGGTCTTGCAGCTGAGAGAGGACAGAACCAAGACCCCAGTTAGACTGGCTGCCGCCCCCAGGGCCAGAGCACTAGCCACAGCTCAAAGAGCCTGGGCTGAGCGGTGAGAGGCGACAAAGAGGAACTGGCACAGATAAACCATGACGCCCTCGTCTCTGTCTGAGATTCAACTATGAGGGTGGCTTTTAACCACGAGGACGTCAGCGCTCTCTCTTCACAAACCCCATACCTGCTTTTAGAGGACAGGCAGAAACACCTTCTGGTGTGTAAGAGAAAACAAACTGGAGGTCAAGTTCAATTACAACAAATTCTAGTGGTATGAGAATCTCAGGGTAACAAAAATCTTTACAGTATGCATCCAATATTTTACTCCAATTGATTCTCTAAACCTTTTAAATTTGTCGCAACAAAAATATATGTGTATATATATCCAAGATAATTACTGCTACTTGTGACCTATAAACGTCCTCGTTCACAACCAAGTAACAGATGTGTCTGCTCAGTTTGGCCCATTCAGGTCTTCACATCAAACCCATTTAAACTTTTCATGACAACATAAAAAGAAACCATTTGCCTTGTTCATCACTTCTGCAAATCCACTTCATCTGCAAGTCAGTGTCTGGAAATCTCACAACACTGAACTCATAAAAAGGCAGGAGAGAATACGCACCTCAAAGGACAAGGGACGCATGGGATACAAGTGTAAACTTCTAAGAAAAGCCCTAGAGCAACAGAAACCCTGGTCCCCAAGTGCCCGGTTCGGGAGAATCACTGAAGTTGGCTTGGTGACTCACCCTCGCTGGCATTTTCTTTGAGCTGTTCTTCATATTCCTGCATTGCTGACACACAGCTGTTGTGAATCAATTCACCCAGGCGCTTCAGGTCTGCCACAGACTTATCCACCAGCTCAGCATCGCGTGCTATGCATTCCAGCCTGAGGACAGACAAATATGGGGACCCTTCAAGGCCCTGTGCCCATTGTTCTGTAACATGGAATTCCACTAGGTCTCATATAAGCTTGCTCCTGCAAGAACACTTTTCTCTGCATTCTTTAATCAACAAGAATCCGAGACACTGACTGAGGGCTAAATTACTCATTTTCCATCATAAAGATTTATGAAATAGTTCATAAAGTAATTTCAAAAGACGAGGGTTCCGCTCTCTGTTTACTACGTGGGCTGTCTAGTAACGGTAGCAGGTTAGTACCCAGAAACAATATGGCACCAGCCTGGTTCTTCGGTGTCTACTGTCTTTCTCTCATCAGTGCTCCCAGACACAGAATACAGTTACTTGTACAATATGTTTTGTTGATGTCTAAGTTATATGCAGCATGTCAATATATTAATGTCTAAAAATCAGGCCGTTACAAGGTGCCAGACCTTAAATGGAAATAGTACCCAAAAATGAAATTGCCACCTAATAAAAATAAGAAAGGCAGGTAAGCTTACCGTTCAAGAGGGAGACCAAACTTCTTATATGCCTTGATGAACCTAAGGAGATGATCGATAAATCACATTAAAAAACAGAGGCTTCAGTTATGTTAATGCAAACATATCCTGTGTTAAATATGAGGCATGTAAACTGTCAAAAATAGAATGGACCCGCCCTGGCCAGTTTGGCTCAGCGGTTAGAGCGTCGGCCTGCGGTCCGGAGAGACCCAGGTTCGGTTCCCGCTAAGGGCACGTACTTCGGTTGCAGTTTGTCCCCGGCCCTGGTTGGTCGTGCGGGTGGCAGCCACTCGATGTGTCCCTTCACGTCGATGTTTCTCTCTCTCTCTCTCTCCTTCCTCGCTCTCCCTCCCACTCTATCTGTACAAAATATGGAAAAATATCCTCTGGTGAGGATAAAAAAAAAAAAAAAAAAAAAATAGAATGGACCCAATCCTTACAATAGGTCTTTGAATGCTGAATGCCTTTGCAAATGGCCAATTTAAAATACTGAGTGCTGGAAATCTATTCAAACTGAAGACTAACTTTATTCTCGTGACTAATCATGAAACTGCTTAGGGATATATAACTGAGTCTAATGACTTAACGCTAATGTTATCCATTTTACAAGGTACAAGTTTAAGTCATACACAATTCAATCACCACAATTAACTCTGGAGATAAAAATCCCCAAATAGCTAACTGGTCTATTCAGTCCACTACTGTTACTTTCAATTCCATACTGCAACATTTCCATCATTTTCTGGTCCATAATACAACAGATGATTTTCAGGACGGCCTCAAATATTTCTGGGAATGCAAAGTAAAATAAATATATGATTTAAAGCTTCTTAGGCAAAACTATTTTGGAAACTGCTGACTCCTGCCCCGCCTCATCTCCAACGAAAAATCCAACCTACCCTTGGATGAGTCTCCACCCTAAACCAAGCTATCTGCCAATCTGTCACCTGTTCCTTTCCCTGCAGCTAACCACTAGCACTGTCAATGAAAGCAAGATGTCACAACACATCAAGGGCCTCACTGAACAGGACATGCCAATCACTGAAATAACCTGGTTGGTAACAGTGTAAAGAGCGATACTACGGGAGAAAACACTGGACTGAAGAAAATGGGGACGAAGGTGACAACAGCTAAGAAACAATACGAGCCCCAGCCGGTTTGGCTCAGCGGTTGGAGCGTTGGCCTGCGGACCAGAGAGTCCCGGGTTCGGTTCCCGCTACGGGCACGTACTAAAAAAAAATAAATAAATAAAATAAAATAAATAAAGAAACAATAAGAAAGGAACAGTGGATACCAGGACAGGAAAGTGTTACATGTGAAAGTGAACTTGGGGATTAGTCCTCAAGTCTACATTCTCCCTGACATACACTGCACTAATTTATATCAGAAGTACTGTGACATTTGGGATTTACTTCAAAATAATGTTGAGATGGAGAAGCATTTCTGGGACGATGTATGACACAGTCTCTCTTGCCCTCCCTGTCGTAACTGACAGCCCTTCCAAACAAGGCCAAGTGAGAGCAGGGCCTCCACCAACCTGCGGATCTCTGCGTCCGTAAATCCCTCTACGAGGTCCTTCCGCACGCTCCGGGGCCGCCCTCTGCGCTTCGGCTTCTTGTCATCATCGGAGTCATCCGTCTCGCTCTCAGAGGCAGAGGACCTCTGGGCCTGCCTCTTGGACTCAGTGTCAGAGTCACTGTCATTTGTCTGAGCCTGCAATGGCAAAGTCACACTGTAACCCGTGCCAGGTGCAAAAAGCGTAAGGAGTAAGACCAGCCCTCTTAATTCCCTGGGACTCAGAACTTCCCATCACACTGGACAAGTCCATTTTTCTTTGGGAAATAAGGAGGTAGATGTCATGTAATGAAGGAAGACCAGAAAAGTGTGAACTGTGTAACCTAAGAAGTAAACTGGAACAGAACGATTTGGATTGTAGGTCTATGTTGACTTCCTTGGACAAGTTACTTCTTTGTGCCTTTGTTTGCTATTTGTAAAATAGGGAAAACAGTACTTATAATCAAGGTTTTATAGGATTACATGAGTCAAGTGTAAATACTCCAGCTTATGCTTGGCGCACAGTTAGTGCTCAGTAACAGTAGCTACTATTAGCTAATACTGATTTACTACGATCTTGGACAGTTTATCATCTCCAACAAACTGGGTCATAACTACCTACTTCAATGTTGTTGCAAAAATTAACATCCTAAGCTGTGAAGTACAGCTCTGTAATCTCTTATGAACTCCAATCCCATTTAGCCGTCTCACAAAGAGCCAATGAGCAGAGTGCAGTGCCTCCCAGCTGTGCTCACGAGCCCTGGGCATCCCGTTCCTCTGCTGGGTCTCCCAAGCCTGCCCTGGAGCCCGGCAGGTCCCTTCCATGAACAAGCGGCACTTCTGCAGTCCTCAGAGACGAAGGAAGAAGATCACATTTTCATCTCACTCGGTCACCTTTTTAGTGGAACTCCGAATTCGAGGCAACATGTAAATTTCCTCCAGCTCCTTCTGCCGCTCCTCCTCCTCTACTCTCTTCCTTTGGTCCTCAGGAATGATCTCGTCCCAGTCCCTGTGCGGACGTTCTTCCAGCTCTTCCTCGTCTTCCATTGTGGCGAAATTGGCAACCTTAACACAAACGGACAACTAGTATTTCTCTACTTCCCAAATACCATCCACTAAAAAAACCCAACTGGGTGTTTTTAATCTAAGTAAGGTACTACAAATAGTAAGAGGAGTCTTGTGATATTACATGATCAAACAATCAATTTTCTACTAATCTCTCCCTTATCCCCCAGAAATCAATTTTCCAAATTCTCTAGTTCATCAGTAACTTTAGTGAAAAGTAGGGAAACAGATATAAAGACATAAAATGTCTTGTAAGTTTAATTGACATATATGTTAATGCAGATGACTATAGAATTGTACACCTAAAGCATAATTTTATTAACCAATGTCGCCCCAATAAATTCAATTTTAAGAAATATGTTGTTAAATCATACACTTTTTCTAATGTTAACTAAAAATCTTAGATTTAATCAGATTATAAATGCTGAATACCTAATACTAATCCATTATGAACTTACAGCTTATAAATTATAAATTACTACTGAATAGAGCTCATTTGAAACAATGCATAACTCAAAGCACTAGCCAACTATTCCTTTTTATCAGAAGTATAGAAGCTAAAGGTATGTAGTAAATCATGTGCTCAAAAGTGCATGTTAAGTCTTAAGAATGAAAATGAGAACATGCAAAAAATTCAAACAACCCTGGATGAATATTCCATTTACTCTTTATCAAATATTTAATATCTGCTATTTGCATTGAACTATATGTATCCAATCTCTTAAATTAAGCACTGTTTGCAATTACTCTGGATCTGACTCTTAAAAGAGCCCAATGAAAATTATATTAATTGCTATAAACACCAATACTGCATATATGTAACGTGTATTAGTGGTTCATGCAGTTGGGAACTAAACTTTCCCAAGGGTGGCATAGTGGTTAGGGGCCAGACCACCTGCCTAAGATATAATCCCAACTCCATGTATGTGTGACCTTAGGAAATCTACTTAGCCCCACTGTGCCTTAGCTTCCTCATCTATAAATGAAGATAATACATCTACTGTTGTAAGGACTTAAAACAGTGCTTGAACTACAGAGTTATACAAGTGTCGGTTATTATTACTTCAGAAAATGAAAATCTTAAATTATCTCAAAAACGTGTGCTGTGTTTCCAACATGTTAAAATAGGGTCACAAACAAAAGATCATTAGGAAAAATGAAATTGATTCAGTGAAGCACTGCAGAAAAAACAGAGTAACGCCCCACCAGTGTGTCTCAGTGGCTGAGCGTGGACTCACGCACCAAGAGGTCACCGGTTCAATTCCCAGTCAGGGCACACGCCCAGGTTATTATGGGCCAAATCCTCAGTGGGGGACATGCAGGAGGTGGCCGATCGATGTACCCTCTCATAGATGTTTCTCTCTCTCTCCCCCTCTCACTTCCTCTCTTTAAAATCACTAAAGAAAAAAAAAATTAAAAGAAACAGAGTAAGCAAACTCCTACTTGAATCAAACAAATCACCTGACCAGGTGCCGAAACAAAATTGCCAAAAGGGCCTTAGAAAGACAGGAGTCACTGGTAATGTGACTTAATACTCCTTATACTCCGACCAAGACACTTCATGAAGATTACTTCTGTTTAAGAACGGAGCAGTCACAGACAAGAAATCCAGCTGAAACACTGATAACTCACCTCCAACCTCAGACACATGAACTCTGATACTAGAGCTCTTTGATCCACCCGCTCAACTCTGTCCCTGTTCTTCCACTGAGACACTACCTGTGGCCAACCTTGACTTCATTACATACTGCTTCTTTCCAAACACTTCACCCAGTGGTCCTGCAGTCCTAATGGATCTCGGCACTTAGTCATCCCTGTAACCTGCATGCAACCAACCCATGGTCAATCGTTTCAACCGTGTTCTCATTTGAAACTGGGAAGCCTTTGCCACTTTGACTCTTCTACGCCTCGCAGGCCAATCTCCCACCTTGGGATTAGCAGCTGATCCGATTTCTCTGACCTCAAGGACTGCTAGACAAGACATATGACCCTGTTGACTGGCTCCAAAGTGAAGCCCTATTTTCTAAATTCAGCTCTACTCCCTATCAAGTTCCTCCCCGAAACCCACAACCGCACCCATGGCTGTACCAAACCTTTTCCACTTCTCGGCAAACACCTCATTTATTTTACTAGTAATTAAGGTCACCAACTAGAACTCCCACATCGTCTCTCCCGAAAGTGTACTTTCCCTTTTCTTTCAAAGGCCAACTCCTCCGTCTGTGCTTTTGATTCCATCCCTGCCAGTCTCCACTGCAACAAGGTGCCATCAGACTTTCCTTCTTCCCTGAGAACCTTCACTATATCTCCCTATTCTCAAATTCCTTCCTCCACCTAGAAGCATGGCAACATCTAAAACAGCAACAAGAAACACCCTACCTTGCCTGACCCTTCCACCACATAAATCACCTTCACTCTGCTCTTCACTAGCTTTCTGATGACTCGATGCTGGTGCCCAGCTTCTGCATTTAGCCCTGATCTCATTTAATTTTCTGTTATATCAGATACCCTTGACAACCTGGTAATTACTCTAAAAAAAAAAAGAAAAAATCCACCAAGAGCTTCCTATCACCTTCTGTGTTTATACCTCTGACCTCTCTGTCATCTGAGTCTATGTCTCCCACACGCCTCCCCACCCCCAGAGCTCCACACCATCAGAGTCACCACCTTTCCCACTGACATCGTATCCTCAGCCCCCTTCACAGACTTCTCTCCTCCATCCACTGACTCTGAGCAGGACGGACCACTTCAGTGGTTTACCTGCGTGGGGTGGACTACAGATTCTACACTCAGAACACACTTGGAACTCTAGAGAATGACACTGAAGACATGAGTCCATTAATATAAACGCAAAAGCAGACTGCATGCATTAGTCATTACTGGCTAATGAATCAGTACTAAGGACTTTCTCCCATAATGACTTTTATACCTTAAATTGGGACAGCAGCTCATCTGTCGCACTTGTTGACACTTCGTTCTCTCTGGTTTCGGCCAAGCGCAAAATCTCGTCTATATCCATTTCCTAGAAGAACAGCAACATAACTATGGTAAAAAGGCAGCAGTGTGGAGCAGGTACCGAAAATGCTGGGTGCGAATAAACCAGCTCTCTTTTCTGACATTCCGTGTTTCATTTTCTTTTACGGTCTCAACTTTACATCTAATGGTTCAAGCTATTATTTATTTATATAAATAATAAGGTGAAACTTCAAAATCACAAGAAATGAAATTGGAATAAAAAAGACCAAAGACAAAATCCTCAAATGCTTTTCTCATTCTTTCCTATTCAATGTAGTAGGGGCTGTGAGCGTAATTAGAAAAAAACAAAAACAAAAAACCTCCGCCCTTTAAGTGATTACTGCTGCTTGATAGAAGCCTGCAATACAGACTCAGAATCTGCTTCCGAAGACGTGTATCTCGAAAATGATACTTGTTTCCTTGTTGTTAATTACCTGAGGCTCTGACTCCTCCCCTTCAAGTTCTTTGAAAAGATCCTCTGCTCCAAATTTCAAAATAGCTGTCAGCTCCTCTTTATTAAAAGGATTTGAACTGTAAAAGAAAAATGTAGTTGTAATCTCTTAGGAATGTTAAGTAAGCTCTATGGAGTTCTACTACATATCTATCCTTCATTAGGGGGTCCAATTACTGGTGAAAATATAAATTCTGCCCTAAGAAAAATGATCTCTCAAATATTTCATGTTTTTATCCACAGGATAGGACGGCAGTGTTAAATCTAATCCAGCAGAAGACTAGGAAATCAATTATTTTCCCGCTGGCTCATCTATCACATGGCTAAGCAAGATGGGTAATTAGCAACATGAAAGAAGAGATTTCTCTGTCCTTGGACTCAGAAAGGCACCATTCACCAAGAATTTTCAACCTCCTCACCTCTGGTCAATAAAAGAACCAAGCTTCTTCCACCTACGTTGTTCTATAATGGAAGCATATCTTAAAATACTCCTATTTAGGAAGAGCTCACTTGATTCCACCTGTAACTAAGCTACAAGGCCGCCACAGAACACACTCAACAACTTAGTCAAAATGTAAATTCTTTAAGAGAGATAGTTATGCTTCCAAAAATGCCAATCAAAACTTGACCACCTTCCTCTGTTTCAATAGGAAAAACAATTTGTACACAAACATTTTTACCAATAGTGAGAAAACAGCTGCCAACTCAATCCGGTGGATTCTCACTGCTGAGAAGTCCAAAGCAACACCGTGTCAGAAGGAAAGCCTAATGGAGAGCACACAGCTGCTACATCACATGTCACATGTGGAGCCAAACGCACAAGGCGAGAGGGGGCAGGAGAAAGTGAGCTCATGAGCACAGGGCTGATAAGCCAATAAAGAGAACAGGAAAACAAAATGAAATGAAAACGCTATCTCTTGCAGCCTTAGCTTGGCCCTGTCCAGGTAACTAAAGACCTAATGTCTGTTGTACAAAATTCTATTAGAAGAGTGAATTATACCAAATGTGCATGTAAACTCAGTTTGACTCTGCTCCCTCCCCCACCCCTCTGGCACTTACTTGGACCTCCCCGAGTTGTTTTCCAGGACTGTCCGGCCAGTGGTGTCCATGCGCTGAATCACCAGATGGTCCAATACCATCTTCTTTTTGGCCCGTTCTATGATCTCTTCCTCCACGGTCCCCTTTGTAACCAAGCGGTAAATATTTACCTGCAGGAAAAGGAAATGTTATTCTTATGCCTGATCACACGTGAAAATAAAGTTGCCTCTGTCTAAAACCAAGAGAGAAAATGAAAAAAGATCTGGTCTCTAGTACTGTAAATGACTGTAAGCCATCCAACCACACCGACCCTTAAAAAGTAGACGCAATATTTTTACTATCTGCGGCAGGTTACATTCTTAAGTAAAACTGCCTTTAAGGAATTTTTATATAGCCTTGTTCTTATAATAAAAATCTTACTAAAGAATAATCCATTTCACCAAAATTGGATCCCTGGCCGAGTATGAAACTTATGAGTTACCCTCTATTAGAGCTGACTTTGAGATTCATGTACAAAGGAAATAAGCGTGTATTTTTCCCAACATACCTCAGAGCTAAGATTGGTCATGTATAATAAAAATATGCCACACACTTTTCCATATTAAAACAGATGGAAATTTTCAGTTCTAGGTCTAGCCATCATATATTTTTCTTAGAATAAACTAGAAAGTCACTGGTGATGTACTTTTTAAACAGCGAAAGAAAACAGCTTCATAATAGGCTCATCTTAGCCTCAAAGACAGCTTCTCTGTACTAATTAACAGATACCTCCCCCTGGGAAATGAAGCTCGAGAGGAAAAAAGCATTTTATAAAACCTTCCGAGAGGCCTGAATAACCCCTCTCCCCACCCCCCAAGCTGTACCCAGAAGCCTCTCCCCACTGACCTGCTTCTTCTGACCAATTCTATGGGCTCGGGCTTGTGCCTGCAAGTCGTTCTGGGGGTTCCAGTCAGAGTCAAAGATGACGACTGTGTCCGCTGAAGCCAAATTGATTCCCAGGCCACCAGCCCTTGTCGAGAGCAGGAAACAGAAGTCCTGTACACAATGCAATACACTACTTTATGCAGTGGCCTTCTCAGAAACAGTTTCACAGTCCAATAAGCCCTGACACCTGGAAACCCCTGCAGGTGTGAAGAAAAGTGAGATATGATGGACAAACTTTATGAAGGCTAAAAGAATGTCAGGGACTTGATGGCAGAGTGAATTTTCATTCGATTAAGAGGTAAAGAGTCAGTGCAATGAACTAAGGAGTAAAGTAGGATCTGATAAGGCAACAGCAGCAAGAGAATTCGTGTCCCTACCTGACTATAACTAGCATCCAAGCAATCACTAAATCCAGACCAACTTCATTATCAAGGGAAGCATTTCAGCAAGTGGCCTAAATACTGATTTTCTGGGAAAGGCAGATGATGCCACGTAAGGCAGTCAGGAAAACAAGGAAACTGTATTCTCTAAGTGCCCCGCAATTTTAAGCGGGTGAGGAAAAGAAACACTGCACAGAGACCCCATGATGGAACTGGAGAGAAGCACAGCAGCCTCATCTCCACAGAACTTGCACAGAGAAAACCAGAGCAGGTGCGGCCGAGGAGCTGTGTGGGGGGAGGACCCAGTCACTGACATGTTCCAGCTTTCAGAGCAGTGACAAGAGAGATGGGCAGGCACGGCACACCTGTATCGAGTGCTCAGAGAACACGGACAGGAGGCAGAGAACAAATGATATGAGCTACAGAAAAAGAAGTCAGACCTGTTTTCAGAGGGTCTGATCACGTATGTCAAAGGCTGAAAACACCTTCCTGGCACAGAAGTGGCACTCAACAACTGGTAGTTCTGATAAAGGGGTACATTCAATATACATACATAAATGGATGACAAGGTCTTCACATTGTAATAGTCACACTGGCCAACACTGTGCCATAGAAATACCAATGGAGAGAACTGTCTCACAAAATCATTAAACAATTCCAATAAAGAACTGAGTAATAGGTGTGTTGACCTCACATATTCTGTGATTCTTGGTAGAAATACCAAGTAACACCATACTCTAAAGGTGGACAGGACACTTCAGAATGAGATACCTGAAACTTAAAATCTGGGGTCTGAGTGATCATATAAGCCATTTGCAACGTCATGCTTTACCAAAGGTAGTATGAATTACAATAAGGTGTTATTTTGCAAAAGTTAAACATTATGAAATTCAGTGAAGCTAAGGATGAGGTAAAAGTGGAAATATTCATACATAAACAGCATGAATATCAATTGTTTGGGGAAAGTTGATTAGCAAATGTATCAAAATCTTTTTAAATGCTCATATCCTCTGACCTAAACATCCAATAACAAAATGGTTAAAATAAGTAACAGTATAGACATGAGTAAATATTAAAAATTTTAAAAACTTTTTAATCTGTAATGACATGGGAAAATATTTTGAGTATAATATTGAATGAAAGGTGACAACATGGTCACAATCAGTTCAACATATAAAGAAATAAATGGTCTCATTCAGTACAAATGAAAAATACACCCAAATATGAATAAACAGCAAGTTGTCTCTGGGACAGGAGTTTTGTCCAGTTTATTACTTTGTATTTTTCACCACCTTCTAAATTTTCTAAATGTGCATATAATATTTACCCCCAGGGATGAAGTATTTAATTTTTTAAATTAACTTAAAAAGACTCAAATTTGCAACAAATGGCAGAGAACCTGCATTTTATATGTAGCCATGGGGGCAGGGGGTCAATTGAGAACTATTAAAAAAGCAATTTTAGCTTTTTTCTTAGAAAGGGCAATATGAAACACTTGACTCATACTATGTTTTAAACTTAGAGCAGGGAACATAAAAGCAATTTCAACAAGTACTAAGTAACAGAATAGCTAACGTTTATTGAGTGCTTACTATGTGCCAGGCAATGTGCTCACAGCTGTGAGTTGACTCCCTCATTTAATCCTCTCAGCAGCATTATGAAGCAGGTATTGGAATTACTGCAATTACCATGATTTTGCAGTTGAGGAAACAGAGAGGAGAGAAAGGAGGAATGGGAATTAGGTTATCAATATTTTTAGTAATTCAAATCCTCTTCTCTGGAACTACTCAGAGCCTTGGTTCTGAAGAGATTAGTGCCCAGAGCTCCTCAGGGAGGACTAAAATGTTAGGCTGGAGAAGAAGCCAGGATGCTACAGTTTAACTATGACTGTGTGCAATTCTGGAGGCAGAAGACCACCATTCTGGATAAGAGACAGGCATTAAGCATGTGCAAAGCTCTTCAGAAAGCAGAAAGTTACGTCTGTTCCATTTACGCAAAACAGTGGCCCCCAGCCTGGCTGGTATGGCTCAGCGGATTGAGTGTCGTCCCATGGACTGAGAGGTCCTGGTTCGATTCTCAGTTGGGACACATGCCCACGTTGCGGGCTCGATCCCCAGTAGGGGGCATGCAGGAGGCAGCCGATGGAGGTTTCTCTCACATCGATGTTTCTATCTCTCTCTCTCTGGGGAAAAAAAAAATCAATTAAAAAAATATATAAAAAGTAAATAAATGGTAAGGAATTTCTTTTACAAAAAAATAGTGGCCCAGATTTCAGAAGTTCTACTGTTCTCTCCAGAACTCGGTCGGTTGACTCTGCATCTTTCCATAGCTTCCTTTCCCTCCGCCTACACTAACCTCTTCTCCCCACTTCTCTCCAATCCCAAGTACTCGACACTTTGATATGCACAAACAACAACGTTACCACAGTTTCCACCTTGTCCTCTGTGGCTTTTCTGTATGTCTTAAAAGCAAAATACTCTATAATGTCACATTCAAGCTGAACACTTAACTAAATGTTGTTGCTATTAGCCAAAGCAAAAACATTAAGCCACATTGTACCAGGGTCCAACAAATGTGACACATGGAAAATATACTTAAGACTCAAAGTCACCAGGAAAAGTACAGATCAGAACCTTCTGATATTTAACATACATATGTCAAAATCACCCTACTGGCTAGCGCTCCCCCATCTTTGCCTGGCTGCTTTCCTAGGCCTAGAAATTTGGTATCTGGAAGTCACCAGAGAAGACTCAGCGGACATTAGAACTACTCTGTCATTAATCCACACCAGGGGAGATAACCAAGCAGGCATATGCTTTCCTGGAGAGATAATGACCTTAAGAAACATCTTTTACATTAGTGATTTCTCATTCCCTTCTCACGACAGGAAAATTGCACCGTGAATTGCTCCTGAAACAGAATGTATTAAGCCAGAAAGGCTTTGCCCTTCATACTGAGCCCAAACTGCCCCGGTAACAAAGCCATGCACGGTGTACCTCAGAACCATCTGCATTGAAGTGGTCCAGTGCCTGTTTTCGGATTTCTCCCTTGATGGAACCATCCAAACGCTATAAAAATAAACCACAAGGAAATCATAAGGCAGGAAGATCAGCTGCACTCAGAATAGACCACCAGACTTGCAACCTTTATCAGTGCGACACCCCGTGGGTAAAAATAGCTGGAATGAGCTGGCAATGTGCCGACTGTGGCTGTGCTTAAGCACCACACGCTACTTGCCCCAAGCTCTCAGGTTACAAACTCAAGGTCAGAAGCTTCTGAATCCAAGGGCTATCTGGGTTTACCCAAGGATCAGAATGGCTGCCTGGACCTACAAGGAAAAGCAGGCAATCCAAGCTGTGCTTCGAGGCTTCGTTTGCTTCCACATCTGCGGGTACTGAAGAGATGAGAATATACTACCCTGGTCACCTAATAATTAGCTCCTGCAGAAAAATGCTTAACTGATGTAGCTAAATGTTGCCCAGTTATTGAGTGCTACACAAGCCAAAAAATTATTTTCATCATTTTGTTTGGAAAACATTTTGCCATAACACTGAATATGTTAAAAATTAAGTTGATTCTATATCCCAGCTTTTCCACAAATTGCACTCTAAAATCAGAGCAAAGTTCAAGCAGCCAAAATGTACCTTCAAGAGAGCCTCTGGTGTTTACTGGTACACAATGCTTTTTAGAGTATATGTCAGTTTTAAGTCAAAAAAATGTCATCCTGGAGAAAACCATATATATAAAATAAAAAGTGAAAATTGCCTGTATGTTGTACATATAAAGCACTTCTCACTCTTTAAAATCATTTTCATATTTCTCCCCCTCACAATCATCACTTGAGATAAACAAGAGACTTCTCTTGCCCTGTCTTCCTTTCTCTAATCCACCCCACACACACACTGCCCAAAAGAGAAAAATGATCTTCACCATTTTCATTATAGGGTTATCCTAAAGGCATGGAAGTAAAAATTAAGACCCTCCTGGAAACTTAATCTTAGTTTGTTTCAAGCAAAAAAAAATCCCGTTTTCTAGTTTAGGATACTTTGGAACCCAGAGGAAGAAAGGGAAGGCGGGCGAGAGTGCAATTCTGAGCATCCATACCTGGAAAGGGTAGTGCTTAATGGTCAGGTACTCGGCCAGGATATCCAACATCCTCACCATTTGGGAGAAGATGAGGACTCTGTTGCCCCTTTCTCGAAGTCTTGTCAACAGTTTATCCAACAGGATCAACTTCCCGCTGCTCCTGATCAGGGACTGAAAATTGAAAAGACATTCCGATGTTCAAAATACATCAATCTGCCCTCAATCTCCAAGAGTTCAAATTTTAAAAATCATATTCAAGTCTTCTGAAGCCTTCTGCAACCTGGCTGACAAGCAATTCCTGAAATGCTCTTTACCTCTTATCAATGACACAGTACCTTCAGATGGTTCCTAGCGGTGGAACTGTTCTCACCTGTTTTTAAAGCTTCTTTTGATGCTTTAGTCATTTTTTGATTAAAAAAAGCATCTATAGTAACTAAACTTTCACTTAGAAAGCTATTACGAACAAGGTAAGCACGCACCAGAAGAACCTCCTGTCCATTCTCCCTTTCGTTTTCTTCAGGGGGTTTAATCAGGTAGCAGTGGTTGCAGCACTTTTTCAGTTCCATCACAATATTCAGAAAGCCAGATGTGCTGCCTCTCGTTCCTTTGGCAAGAGCCTTGTAATTCCTAGTCAGGATCCATCTGCAAATTAGAGACCATCATGCTATTATTAGATTCAGACAGAGAGCCAGGGCACTGTGCGAAACACTGACATGGAATCTGAGTCTAACCAACCCACTACATGCGTCTGTGCACGCACACGATGAAAGTGTCCAGAGGTCAAGTAATAAATGATACACAGAGCTGGATTCAGCAAAATCCAGGCTGTGAGGAAAATCTGTATGCAGTTTCTTCACTCAAAGACGGGGAAAAATGAGTTAAAATCAACTTAAGGGACATGCCAACTGACCACAATGTATGGAGCTTACGTAGATCCCAAAGCAAAAAGGCAAAACGTGTGTGTGTGTGTGTGCATTTATTTCAACCAAGAAAATGTAAACACTACACGTTATAAAAATATTAAGGAATTATTGCTCTTTTGGCATGATAACAGTGTAATTATGCTTGAGTCTTTTTTATAAATTAAAGTATAACAGACATATAACATTATATTAGTCTCAGGTGTACGCACTATGCTTCAATATATATATTGTGATTTATATATAGTCAAATGATCACAATAAGTCTAGTTAATAGTCTGCACTATATAGCTACAAAATTTTTTTCCTTGTGATGGGGACTTTTAATCTACTCTCCTATTGACTATAGTTACCACACTGTACATTACATTCCCATACCTTATTTATTTTAAAACTGGAAGTCTACACCTTTTGAGCCCATCACCCATTTTGCCCACCCCACACACCCCCACTTCTGGCAACTACCAATCTGTTCTGTGTACCTATGAGCTTGAGGTGACTTTTTACATTTTATTTAGGGTTTTTAAATTTTTGCTTAACTCTTTTAAGAGTCTCTCTCTTTTAGACATACAGAAACATTTAGAAGATGTCCCTGTTTCAAATTATATGGAGGTGGGAATGGAATCAAAGGATTTGGATGAACTAAGATTGGCCTTGAATCAATAAGTCGATAATTGTTGAAGCTGGATTATGGGTACATGACTCCATACTATTCTATTTCTGTACATATTTGAGATAAAATGATTTTTAAAAATCAAGGTAGTGTTAGGCAGAAGGGCCGGACAATAATTTTTGAAAATTAAATTCTTGTTTTTATTCAGTTGTATATCAATTAAGAACAAGGAAGAAATATTATAAGATTACCAGACTTCTAACTTTAAAAAGCTGTCATGTTTAAAAAGCAACATAGTTAGTTCCAGTTACCCAGGATCCAACTTTAAGTCTACAGAACTAAAGGCCGTAAGAAGCACATTAAATGCTACCCTCTGTCCCAAGCCCATCGCTGTCTTTAGCCTGTTACAACCTAAACCACATCCACGCTGCCCCTGCCCCTGCAGTGCTAGGAGAGTCTTCACCTTCGAGAGGTGAGAGCTTTTCCGTCTGAACTTCCAGCCCCCTACACACGCCTCATTTAAACAACACTCTGATTTACCTGTCTCTGCTCTGTCTTCCCTACTAAACTAAACAAGGCTCTGGCAAGAACACATTCCATTCAGCTTTATGTTCCCAGTACCTGAAGAATGGCACGTCTCAGGACCTTCAATGACTGAATGGATGGAGAGAAGTGTATGGATGAGTCTGCTTATCGGTAGGTCACCACTTACATAATGAAAAGTGCTGTGCACAGTCTCACCCAAATAAAAAAGCAAGGACAATAAAACTTCCTCTGACCATAAATAAATTGCTACTTACATCTGTGTTGAAGCTTCACTGAAACGGTTGATCTGTCAATTATCCACCTCATGGCTTCATCACGGCACTGATCTTAATGCCATTCAGACCTCACCCAGGTGATAACTTACTTGTAATACTGTTTCTGAAGGGCCGACATCTCCACCCTGAGAATCTGTTCCACTTTGGCAGGAAGGGATTTCTCCACGTCTTTTTTGACTCTCCGGAGTAGGAAAGGCTCTAGCACCTTATGGAGACTCTGGTAGCCGTTCTCTCTCCCTTTCCCATGGTCTTCTTCAAAATCTTCCCAGAACTCAAACCTGGAGGTGAAATAGTGGAGTGTTACTTGGTTACACAGAAGAAAAAGGCAACTTTCCCCAAAAAATCTCTTTTAAAAAGAACTAAATGAAAAAAAAAAAAAATCAGTAAAAAAAAAAAAATATTTCCTATAAGGACAGATAAATTTTATCAGGCACTAGCTCTTGAATACAGGAGTGAGGAAAACCAACCGAATTTGATTTCATCGGTCTACACTGAATAACAGGTTCCAATTGAGAAACTGCATCTAGAGTTCACAAAATTTCAGTATAGCATGCAATTAATATATACACAAACACAGTAAGTTATTGTGTAAAATATGATGCAGAAAAAATAGCAACTATTTTCTAATAAGCTGCAATTTCTAGGGAAAATAAAATTCAGAGGTAAAAGAACCAGGGGCAGTATTAGCGCTGTCACTGCTCAAAGGTGAAATCTGTATCATTTCCATCACTGATCTTTACTGCTCATCAGAAATTCAGGGATTACAACAAAAACAACCAAGACTACAGCCCAGACAAGAAGAACAATACCAGTGATATCAATGTAATAGTGGAAGTTGGGCACATACATTTTATTAAGGAATTTAAAAACTTGCCACTCATTAATAGTTCTGCCCAAACTCTAGATAAAAGTTTCTTATGTTTGAATTTTAATTCAATCATCTTTGATTCACTAAAGGATTTGTGGCAGAAATCCAGAATGGGGCATTATGATCAAATTTCCTTCAAAAATAAGAAGTAATGAAGGACATGTTTTGTGAGCCTGAGAAAGCATGCGTGGGCTGGCCACCAGAGCGCCCGCTGGGAAGACTGGCCTCGCCCTGCATGCAGACAGGGTCCGTAGGTGAGAGCGCGCCACTAACCGAGCTACAACTGGAAGCTCAGGAGGCCCCGCTCTGCAGAGGTCACAACAACAAACTTGAACAACTCGACCTAGGGCTATGTGATTCAAAGCATGTGCCTTCTGATAAAACGAAAGTCAGCCCTGGCCAGTTTGGCTCAGCGATTAGAGCATCTGCCCATGGATCGAAGGGTGGAGGGTTCAACTCCCAGTCAAGGGCACGTTAACTGGGTGCCGGTTTGATCCCCTGTCCAGATCAAGGTCTTGCAAGAGGCAACCAATCACTGCCTCTCTCTCACCTGGATGTTTCTCTCTCACTCTCCCTCCGTCTCCATCCCTCCATTCCACTCTATCAAAAACAAACAAACAAAAACAAAACAATAAAAAAATATCCTCAGGTGAGGATTCAAAAACAAAAAACTGAATGTCAGAGCCAGCAAACGCCAGCACTGCCACCAGGCACAATGGCAGCAACAGAGTCGGCTGCCCTGTCTGACTCGTAAATGGCCAAGCACTGCGTCAAGTACTGCTGGGTGAGTCAGCATCAGCCTCAGAAACATCCCCCAAATAGTTAGACCTTTATCTAAAAATGACCCAAGAAAAGAGACAAGACACAAATTACCGTAATCAAAAAATTATTTAGATCACTACTGATCCTTCAAAATTTAAAGGGTTATGAAGAAATACTGTAACATGATGCCAATAAATACGACACGTTAGATAAAATGGACAAACTCAGAAAGACACAAAGACACAAATTAACAAAGCTAAGTCAAGAAACAGAAAACCTGAATAGGCCTACAACTAGAAAATAAATTAAAACATTTCTCACAAATACAAGAGGGAACATCTTCTAATTCGCTCTACGATCCTGACACCACTCCGGGCAGACACCAAAACAAAACAAAAAACCTCGAGACTAATACCCCTCAAACACACGGAAGCAAAAATCTTCAACAAAATATCAGCAAACGGGATCCAACAATATAAAAAAGGATTAAACATCAGGATCAAGGCAGACTTATCCCAAGAATTAAAGGTTGGCTTAACATCTACAATGTAACTAACATAATATACCATACACTGATAGAATAAAGAGCAAAAAACAGTCATCTCAACATACACAGAAAAATAACCTGAGAAAATCCAACGCTCATTCATTATAGAAACTGTCAAAAACTAGGACTAGATCAAAGCTTCCTCAGCCTGATAAAGGGTATCTACAAAAATCCTATAGCTAACAGTCTACTCCTACCAATTCTATTCACCATGGAGGTTCTAGCTAGCACAATAAAAAGGCAAGAAATAAAAGACATCAATTCCACAATGAGGAAAGGAAGTGTAACCACCTTTACACCTAGACCCTGTGTCTAGAAAATACTGAGAAATCAAGAGCCACAATAACAAAAAACAGTGGAAATAAGTTTTGCAAGTTCACGGGACACTAGATCACTCTACAAAACTCAACTACTCTAGAACAATCTGAAAATTAGAAAAACAATTCCATTCAAAGTTAAATAATGTAGGAATAAATGTAACAGAGTATAAAGACTTATAAGGTAAAAACTACTAAACACTGCTAAGAAAGATTATAGAAGATCTAAAGAAATGGAGAAAATTTATCATGATTATTGTTTGAAAAGCTCAATATTATTAAGATAATTCTCCCTAAGTGGATATATAAATTCAACAAAATGCCTATCAATATTCCAGTTTTTCTTTTCAGAAATTAATAAGCTGATCCCAAATAATACATGGAAATGCCACTTACATCTAGAATACTAAAAATAAAGAAAAAAATTAAAAACCTGTTCAACACAGAAGACAGACAATCCAATTTTAAAATAGGCAGAAGATTTGAAAAGACATTTTACCAAAGGTCTATAAATAGCTAATGAACACATAAGAAGATGTTTATTAGTCACTATAGAAATGCAAGTCAAAACAACAATGAATAGCCTGGTAGTTTCTTAAGAACCATATACTTTCCAAATAACCCAGCAATTTCCTAAGCATCTCAAGATAACACACACACACACACACACACACACACACACACAGCCAGCCAGCCAGCAGGCCAAAACTAAAGCAATGCAAATGTCCACTCACTGGTAACAGGATAGTCAAACAATGAAATATTAGTCCTTAATAAGAGAACAGCTCCTGATAAACAAACAATGACATAAATGAATCTCAAAATTATTATGCTAACTGAAAGGAGCCAAAAAGAGAAGTGTACTTGTTAAGATTCCATTTATACGGAATCTCTAGAAAAGGCAACGCTCCAGAGATGAAAGCCGATGAGTGAATGCGTAAGGCTGGAGGTGAAAGCAGAGATCAACAACAGGCAAGGAGGAACCGTTTTTAGGGGAAAAAATATTCTAAAACTAGATGATGGTGATGGTTGCACAACTTTACAAATTTGCTAGAAAACAATGAATTGTATACTTACAACAGTGTATTTTATGGTATATAAAATCTCAAAAAGTAGTTGTAGCCCTGGCCAGTTTAGCTCGGCGATTACAGCATCGGCCCATGGACCGAAGGGTCATGGGTTCGATTCCTGATCAAGGGCATGCACCTGGGTTGCAGGTTTGATTCCCGGCTCTGGTCATGGTCATGGGGAGGCAACCAATTAATGTGTTTCTCTCACATTGATGTTTCTCTATCATTGATGTTTATCTCTCTCTTCCCCACTTCCTTCCCTTCCATTCTATCTAAAATTTAATGGAAAAATATCCTCAGGTGAAGATTAACAAGAACAAGAAAAAAAATTGTTTTAAAAGTTAACAACACATAGGGGAAGGGACCATTTCTATGTTGGTCATGAGACTATCCAAAATGCCTTGATTGGTTTATGACACATAGTAGCCACTCACATCTTTCCTGAATTTTAAAAAAGACAAGAGCATGTACCATCAATAACTGAATTTTTTACTACGTGCCAGGTCCTATTCTAGGCAATGTAGACCACTGATAGAGTAAACAAGATCCCTGTTCATTTGAGCTCATAATTTAATGACATGAGATAAATGAGGAAATAAATGGGGGGAAAAGAGGTGCCATATAGAAAATACAACAGGGTAGAGATGCTAAGTCTGTCTAAAAGACTACTTTAGGTTAGGTGGTCCAAGACGATCTAAAAGGAGGTGGTCACATAAAACTGAGGCAAAAATATTAAGAAATGACTGGCCATGTGAAGATTAAAGAGGAGAAAAAACATTCCAAAGGAATGGCAATGGCAAGACATAATAAAGGAACAAAGAGATGGCCTGCACGGCTGAGGCAGATAAGTGATGGAGAAAATGGTACAAGATGGACCAGAGTACTGTCAAGGGGCCAGACTGAGTCGCATCCCTCAAATTAGGGCGCTGAGTTCAGATTTTAAGTATCATCAAACACCACTAGATAATTTTAACTTTTATGAAATGTGCATACCATCTCTCCCATAAAAATCTTCTCAAAATAGACACCCCACTAATTTTTAATAATTTAAAGATTTGAATAAAACCTAAAGGTGAGACTTCTGTTAGCAAAGGTTTAGATTTAAGGTATTTTTAGTATTTGTCAGGTTGTGTACCTTTGTAGACTTCATTTCAAGTTTACTGATTACCTTATAACAACTGTGAGAAGATCTGATGTTTCTTATCTACTAATTACTTCCCCAAAGCAGTAACTGATTCAAATACTTGGCAGACAACCTACTTTCCTCCTTAACAGGCTGATTTCTGTGCCTTCTCTCATTTACTATGGAATGTTTTAATAGGTTCCTAACTCAGTTAATGCTTTGCTTTCCCCAAAACATGCCATCTGTTTTCCCTAAGGTGTACTAAAAAAGTTAGAAAGCATTGGCATTTCAGACATTGCAGCATGTTTTGAAATACACAGGAAGGAGCTTACTTCTCCGGCATAATAAAGTGCAGCAAGGACCAGAGCTCTTTGAGGGAATTCTGAAGAGGGGTCCCCGTAATCAGGAGCCTATGGTTGGACTTGAAATCAATCAGAGTTTTATACAATAAAGAGTCATCATTCTTCAACCGATGGGCTTCATCCACTCCCAGAAAGGCCCAGTTAATACTGCCCAGCACAGTCTAAAGTAAAAACAAAACAGAACGAGCCACCAGGTCAGAAGGGAACCCAAAAGTACTTTCAAGTGTTAATCATCTCTGTCACAAAGGTATACACAGAAACATTTATTTTTCACTGACTTAAAGCATATGAGGACTCTTCTGTACACTCTGTTGGTTGCCAGATTGATGTCTACTCAAAAGAGCACAATCTCCTCTAAAAGGTACAGGGGATCTCTTAGGCCAGGTACTGCTGCGGGCCCATAGGCAAGAACACAAAAATTGGTATGCTGGGCAAAAACAACACAAAAAAACCAAAAACGTAGTTTTGCGGTCTCTCCTTAATTAAGGTTCTTCTCTCCCTGTTCTCCTGAAGCACGGAAACATCAAGAGCTACCAAATTGAACTGATTTACGAAAATCTTATTGTCACCAATGGGATCACCTGCCACATACATTTCTTACTACCTGTATAAAGAAGATAATTTGAAGAACTTCGTTTTTCTGTCCTCCTCAGAGACCATCCACATCATCTGTTCTGGAGAAATGCCTTAACCAGGACAGGATGGCACGTGGGCCCCATTTCCGACGACTGACAGGAATCTCAGGAAAGTTATGGGCCTCAATACCCCTTCACCCATTTAATTAGACTAGGCAACAGACCTTAAGTTTCTATTTTTTATTTATAACCTTAATATTCTTTGCGGATTGTTTGTTTATTTTTTAAAGAAATAAACATAACATGGCAAGTGGGAGGTACACACCCCACCACTTGGACAAGCCACACTACAAAATGAAGCCTTTTAGTTACCAATTACACACCTTATCTTTCAAGAGGATCTCGTATGTAGTTATAAGTGCATTGAACTTGAGCCTTTTGGTCTGGGAATGAATCCATTCATATTCCCGTATCTATAAAAGAAAACGGTAATTAAGATACAATTTCTACTTTTACCTTTCTGTATCACCAGCAAGTCTTATGACAGATGCAACAGAAACATGCCCAATAAAAAATCTGATTAGAATACCTTATAAATTCTAATATGATCTAATCAATCAAAGTATAAAGCAGTAAGAGTTGGAATTAAAAGATCTATCACTGAGTAGCAAAAACTTGACTGCCGGAATTCAAATAATTTGTCTTTTCCTTTCATCCCTTCAGCCCCAACACAACTGACCGAAAAAAAAAATGCATTTCATCAGCAATTAAACCCCCCAATCCCCAAAATGGAAATTTTCATAAGGAAATATAATTTGATTACTCTCTGGGCAGGGCAATACAAACGTCAACCACTAGGTAGGTCAGATATTTCATTCATCACAGAGCAGACAGATGTGGCCCCAAGAAAAGGGAAAGGGAGGCTTACTGGATGGAAATGTAGGTTAACATAAATGAAAATAATGTCACTGTGAAGGAACACAAAAGCTAACAACACATTCACGCTGAGGTGTGACTGGGCACCCAGCCAGCCCAATGGCCCATGACAAAGCTCAGCTGTCAAGTTAGAGAAAGGACAACAGGACAGGGAGTACGTGCAGGTGATCATCACCAAGTGGGAAGAAAAACAGTAAAATAAAAGAGTACTGGAGACCACTAAGAAAACTTCCCTGGCACCACAATTTTTCAGAGTTCTCCTTGTCTTCGTTATTGAATGCACTGCTTAAGGCCATTTTGCATAATCCAGGAAATTGTTCTTTTTCTTTTGTAATGGTTAAAAACATGAACTAACAAAGCTAAAAACTACTTTATGCTTAGAAACTCAAAATTTGGGCAATGAAATCTGCCAGGGTTTAACTGAGACAATGAAAGTATTTCATAAACATAGATGTGAATTAGCATGACAACCCGCGCTCACGACACCTGTCCACACGGTGCGCGGATTCCTGAGACTGGCTCTTGTTACAAGCCATCGCCCAGGAAGAGTCTAGCACACGGGGTGAAGGAGTAAAGGTGTGGGGACAGACACCTCTCTGTGCCGGCCGCACGTTCTAGCGGGCCTGGGGACAGGTGTTAACCTCTCTGAGTCAGTATCTTCATCACTCGGTTGGAAACAATATGATCTACTTTGAAGACTATCATGAAGATTCGAGACAACATACAAAAAGCACCCGGCATGGGGCCTGACACAGAACATGTCCTTTTAAAAAACATTAGTCATCCTCAAGAAAAGACTTGAGTTTCTGATGCTGAAGTTTGGTAACAGGCACATCTCACTTCTGCTGCCGTGGAATGGCTCGCTGTCCTTTCCCCTTATTATTCCTTTCCTCTGAAGTTACGCAACCTCACCGTTTACAGTTTTTTTTTAATTTTTTTCAAGTAAAGCTGCAACCTCATCATTTTAAAAGGTTGGGAAACACACTCTAAGAACTCGATTATGTTCAGTAACATCTCTGTTCAAATAGCAAAAATAATATTAACATTCTGCAAGGTGTTAACTGCTTCTGATAACCCTTCATAAATAAAGTGGTCTTGGGAGTAGAGGACAGAGAGAAGAAAAAGTTGATAAATATTGCAATCCAACTAAAAGATTCCCCTTCATGTATTTTCCTTAAATATAAGCATATTTTAAAGCTGCATTTTTGTGGTACATATATCTCCCAATATCGGGGGACAATACAGTGTCAAATCATACACTTTTGCTAAAAGCTATAACGGCTTTAGGTCAATTTCCAAAATACATTTATAACACAGATTCTATCCCAGGTCTTTTTGTTTACACACCGTATTTCTGCTCATCAGGTCACCTATGTAAACCACTACGTTAATCTCTGGTGCCCAGATTTCAAACTCCCTCTGCCATGAGGTGAGGGTGGATAAAGGGACGACTATAAGAAAGGGGCCATACAGCTGGTGTTGGTGGAACAGGTAGGAGAGGAATGATATGGTCTGGATGGTCTTTCCTAGGCCCATTTCATCAGCAAGGATCACACTGTTACTTCTGCAGGGAAAGGGAAAAGAAAGTTAGTTAAAAAAACAAAAAAAACAGAATGTGCACAAAGAGCGAGGACACCAGTGCCCCACGATGTCACCAAGCAAGACATTTCGGTGTGAGCCTCAACTGTATGTCCTCTCACGTGCAATTAAGTCTCCTACATAAGATAATAGAAGCTACAACTAGCACAGTAACAAGTGATCTAAGCATGATCAAGATTGGGATTATTACGAGAGCCTATTCAGACTATGTTCTTGACCTTGCATTTTGATCTTGGACATCTATCTGTCCCTTGTGAGAGAGGGCAGGTGCACACAAGCACATGAGCTTGGCTTCCACCAATACAGAAAGCAGGGGCGGACTGGCTACCCCACTGGTGAACCTTACAGCCTGACAGTCACGTGCCCTTTGCTCAAATTACCCACCCAATCCACTGCATGCCACCAGGCTGCTCAGCGCTCCACCCATGCTGCTGTGCACACAGCCTGTTTTAAATACACTGCAGGCTACAGCAGGGCGAGGCTGTATATTTCTGAATCCCATCCTACGCCTGAACCAGAGTATCTGGGAAAGGACTCAGGAATCTGCATTTTGTTGTTGTTAATCCTCACCTGAGGATATTCTTCCATTGATCTGGGGATGGGGGAGGAACAATGGTGTGAAAGAGACACACTGATTAGCTGCCTGGCTCCTGCACAACCAAGACTAGGGCCTGGGATCGAACCTGCAACCCAGATACATTCCCTTGACCAGGGAATCAAACCCTCAACCCTTCAGTCAGAGGGCCAATGCTCTAACTGCTGAGCCTGTCATGGCAGAAATCTACATTTTTAACAGGTACTTCTGCATATTCTAATGCAGGTGTACTCTTGGTACCACCCTTTGAGAAACACTGTTTTAGCAGATAGGCTGGATTTTAACAGAATACTCGTAAGAAAAGGATTGTGCAGACATCAGAAAAAAATTTGATAAAATGGCCACAATTAAGAAAATTATGTTTAAGAAATAAAAAATAGCCCTGGCCGGTTTGGCTCAGCGGTTAGAGCGTCGGCCTGCGGTCTGGAGAGACCCGGGTTCGGTTCCCGCTAAGGGCACGTACTTCGGTTGCAGTTTGTCCCCGGCCCTGGTTGGTCGTGCGGGTGGCAGCCACTCGATGTGTCCCTTCACATTGATGTTTCTCTCTCTCTCTCCCTTCCTCTCTCTCCCTCCCACTTTATCTGTACAAAATATGGAAAAATATCCTCGGGTGAGGATAAAAAAAAAAAAATCTCATTAGGAGAAATAAAAAATAGTCCATTCAGCAGGAAATTAGGACTATATGTATGACAGAAGTTGCAAACATTAAAAGTTCCTTCAAAATCAGGCCAATGAAGGTTTATACATATATAATACATGCTTAATCGTTGAGCCAGAGAGCACTGGAAGGGATATACAAGTTAAAGACAACTTAATTGATTAGGAAAACAAGACACTTAAATCACCAAGAAATTTTAATTAGGGGAAATGCTCACAGAACAAAGCAGAATATATGAGGAAAGGAGAATAAGAAGGCCTCTATAAATTTCATGCCTCTACAAATCTCAGCTACACCTGATTTATACACTGCTGAGATACAGTGCATTCCCGAGTAAGTTCCCTCATCTCTCTGACCTTCCTGCCCCACTGAGAGGAAACGGTTAATTTCCACCAACATTTCCTCTCCCTAACAAACTTTTTCCCCCAGAACATCTTCAATCCAAAATTGGTTGAATCCATGGATTCAAAAGGCTGACTATACTCTTGACTTCAGAATAAAATGATACTAGAAATACATGAAATAAACTCCCAGAAGGGACTTCTCTCAGTCACATGTTTCAATTTCTACAATACAGAGTAGAAAGAAGTAAATTCTTTGTCTCAAACAAGAAAGAAACCAAGAACAGTAAAGAAAATCTCAAACATCGTCTACCTACTTGCACCAGGAATGAGCAAGCCAGTTGAGACCTTCTAGCTGATAGTCACGGAGCTCCAGATTCTCCCCTCCTAAGTATGCCGGCTGTTTCTTTAAAGCCACAAACCGTGGTCTCTGCTTCAGGGCCTGAAAAACAAAAATTAACAAAGCCCAAGTCAAAACAAAGCTTTCTTCCTGTTCCTATGTGAAAAGGCTAGCCATGATCTATGTGTTGGGCACCAAAGCAGAAAAACACAAATTTCACCAGCCCACCGCAACTCCTTTCATCGTGGTTCACGTTCCCAAAACCAGATGGCCTCCTGAAATATTTTCTAGTGCACTTGCTCCTTTCCTGAAGTAAGTTTGTGAACATCATTAAATGGCACTTATTTACGTCATCTCTACCATATGGCAGCGAGTGAAAAGTGCTGTGTTCACTTCCAAAGGTATGAAGAACAGTGGTCGAGTAAAGCCGTCTCTATGGTTTGCACAAAATGGGGATTCGGCAGCCAATTCAGTTTGGGAAACAAAGGATTAAAAGTTATATGAATTTCATTACTCGTGACTTTTTCAAAGTCTAACATGCTTGTGTATCTGGTGAATTTACAGGAGAAATTCAAACGGGAATGCTTCCCACAGTTACTCGGCCACAGCTATTCTTGTCCTCACACTAATCCTCCCTCGTGGACTTCCAGGGTATCTTCCCAGCTGGACGGGGCTCTAGTTTCCTACACACTGCCATGAGATGAAGGTCTCTAAATAAAGTACTGTTTCCATTCCGCTGCTCTGCTCGGTAGGGCGGGCATTATCACTACACACAGGATAAAATCAAAGTACCCTTCAAGGTATTCAAGACAGACACACTTGGACCTAAAAGCACACATCAACATCACCTTCCCCCCTTCCAACCCTGGGGTCTGGGATTCCTATGCTCTTCCTCTTGGCATCATTCATGAGAGGGCAAAATGCCCTGGGCCCCTTCTGCCCATGGACCCAGCACCAATCCATTCTCCAAGGACAGGGCAGTTCAAGTACCACGACTTCCTCTTTAAAAGCCCTTCAATAATTCCTGGAGCACAATGACTTCTACCTCTGTACCTTTTCAGACCACGTCATTTTTATCACACTCACTGGCCCTCAATTACACACTGCTTCTCACAGATAGATGTTTGGTGCAATGAACTTGAATATCAACTTCTTAGAGACATAGTCCATGTTTTATATATACCTGTATTACTGAAGACCCAAGGATACCATTTTACACAGAATAAATTCCAACAAAGGAAAAGTTGTTTACAGCCAACCTAGCCAATAAAAAGTTGATATATTTATTTAGTTTCTAACTTAAAATTGAGAGATATTCCCCCCTGCATCACTTCTCTTAAAAAGTGCTTAAATTCCTCCCAGCCGGTGTGGCTCAGTGGCTCATCCTATGGACTGAGAGGTCCCGGTTTGATTCCCAGCCAGGGCACAGTGGGGGGCATGCAGCAGGCAGCCAATAGATGTCTCTCTCACATCTATGTTTCTATCTCTCTAAAAAACAATCACGAGAAACATAAAAAATTTTAAGTGCTTAAATTCCTTCAGGTATTCTCCACAATATCCCTAGTTAAATACATCCAATTCTGTAAATTATAAGACTAAAGAAATAAGCAAAGCCATGATACAACTCACCCTCTCCTTTTAATTATTTTTCTTTGCTGTAAAGGTTAATTCATCTTCTTTAATTTCCATAATGGAAATTATCACTTACTTTCGTAACATTTTACCTGCCCAGTATCTGTGTGACCAACCCTTTGTATCAATACAGCTTTCCCCTAAAAACACCAAAGCCAGCCACCACCTTGCACTCTCTGGTCGGGATGGTTTTTGAGTTGTTCCGACTGTGGAAGCTGTCGATGCAGCCCTGGAATTTCTTTCCAATCAAGGCTTCGTCTTCCCAGCTGCACTCTGAGTAGGGCAGTCCCATCCACTTGCAGAGATACTCGGGTTCATTGGAAGGTGCTGGCTTCCGACTGTGAGCTATTAGATGTACAAAAATCCAGGTCAGCCACTATCCATTCAAGAAAGGGAGTAACATTCCTTTTTGCATATAACCAGTGAAAGATCATGAGACAAAATTGTGAACACTGCAAAACGTGAACTGCTTATAAATGCTCAACATTTACAAACAAGATATCTTGCTTACCTGGAAAATCTGTCTGACCCAGTGTAGATTTGCTTGTCTTCATAGCTAAACAAATGGACAACAGAGAAAAGTTATCACTATAATCAAGCAAAAACTGACATTTTAAGCTCTTTGAATAAGAATACAAATATAGTCTGGCCGGTGTGGCTCAGTGGATTGAGCATCATCCCATGGACTGAGAGGTCCTGGTTCAATTCCCAGTCAGGGCACGTGCCTGGGTTGTGGGCTCAATCCCCAGTAGGGGGAGCACGCAGGAGGCAGTCGATCAATGTCTCTCTCTCACATCGATGTTTCACTCTCTCTCCCTTCCTCTCTCAAAAAACAAAAAATCAATAAAAACATATTTAAAAACAAAAAAAGAATACAAATATCAGGAAGAAAACCTATCATGTTCTCATGACCCTGTCTAGCTATTACTCCATTTCTTTGTTCCTCTTGACAACAAAACTCCCAAGGAAAGCTGTTTTTACTCCCTGTCTCCCTCCACCCCAATTCTTTCTTGAAGCCACTCCAATCAGGCATGTATCCCCACCACTCCATGGGTCCATTTGGCCAGTGCCATACCTATGGCCAGATTCAAGAATCAAGTCCCAGTCTACACTGTATTGACCAGCAGCACTTCCTTCCTTCTGAGCCACACAAATCACCTGCCTTTCAGTAGACCACCCTCATGGCTGTCCTCCTTTCTCATTGGCTGTCCTTTCTCAGTCTCCTTGGCTGGTTTCTTTCTGATGTCCAAGGCTGGAATGCTCTGACTTCCTATTCTCACCATGTATACTATTTCTGATAATTTCATCAAATCTTAGGCTTTAAATACCACCTATATACTGATAAATCCCCAAATCTAAATCTCCAGCCCGGACTAAGAGCTTTCACAGTACTCTCTGTTTAGATGACTAAGAAGTATATCAAACTAAGCTCTTGTTTCCCACTCCAAACAGCTCTTCCCTTAGTCTTTCCACTTCAGTAAGTGGTACCTTGCCCTAGCCAGTTTGGCTCAGCGTTAGAGCGTTGGCCCGCAGACCCGAGAGCCCCAAGTTCGGTTCCTACTAAGGGAGCCTGGTCACGGTTGGGGCCGTGTAGGTGGCAACCACTCAATGATTCTCTCACGTTGATGTTTCTCTCTCTCTCTTCCTTCCTCTCTCCCTCCCGCTCTATCTGAAGATAAATGCAGAAACGTGTCCTCGGGTGAGAAAGAGAGAGAGAGAGAGAGAGAGAGAGAGAAAGAGAGAAAGAAAGAGAGAGAGAAAGAGAGAGAGAAAGAGAGAGAGAGAGAGAGAGAGAGAGAGAGAAAGAGAGAGAGAAAGAGAGAGAGAGAGAAAGAGAGAAAGAGAGAAAGAGAGAAAGAGAGAAAGAGAGAAAGAGAGAAAGAGAGAAAGAGAGAAAGAGAGAAAGAGAGAAAGAGAGAAAGAAAGAAAGAAAGAAAGAAAGAAAGAAAGAAAGAAAGAAAGAAAGAAAGAAAGAAAGGAAGGAAGGGAGAGAAAGAAAAGTGGTACCTCTAGTCTCCTGTTTACTTGGGTCAAAAATCTTGGCATCATCTTTCCACCTCTCTCTCTCATTCCCCTACCTCCAAATTTACCAGCAAATCTTGTTAGTTTTTCCTTCCAAATAAATCTAAGCTTCTGTCTATTCTAAAAAAGTAAACCTATAACAAAACATTTTTTAATGTACATCACTCCCATTATTCCTGGACCTCAAACACTGCTAAAAGAAGTTTCCATGCCTTACCTATTACTCTTTCTACTATCTGATACTGTTTGTTCAGCTCTGAGGCCAGCTCTTGTTGGCAGTTAAAATATTCCACATCTTCAGGAGAAACTTTCCCCAACCTGGACAGAAGACAGAAAAATTACATACTCATTAATTTAGAGGCTCTATCAAAGCAAAGTAAGAGGTAGGAAAAGAATCTGGTCTTAACTTCCATCTGCCCTTTAATACTCTCTAGGCCAGAGATTTTACAAAAATATACACTTTTAGAAAACACTGAATACCTTAGACTCCTCTCTGATGTGGTTCATTTACAAAGAAACCTAAAAATAACTATTTTGTGACAAATTCATTGGGATAAAATCATATATCTAAAAAGACCGAGACAATAAAACTGTCTTCCAGATTTAAAACATGCCTTTTTTAATACATAATGGGCTTTAGGAGTGATTAAATGTGTTTTTTTTGTTTTGTTTTGTTTTTCAGAGAACTAGTCATTCTTAGCACCAAAGTTCTTTAAAAAGACAACAGCAGCCACCTGATATTAGGTATTACTGTACCTCTGAGAATTTTAATTCCTATGCTTTGTGAGTACTTCTGTCTTAGGGATACATATTTTTCTTTTTGACTCAGAGGAAGAATATGAGATTTAATGGGGTAGCATATTTTGCATAGTAATAAAACAGGAATTAGAACACATCGGTCCCTATTCCTATTACAAAATAACCTGACAGGTATGATGCTCAATTATATTAAATCTTCCTGTCCCTCGGGCTGCAAATGCATTTCTTTAACCCACAATGGAAAATGTACCATTGCTTGATTTCATCCTCTTTCTTCTTGAAGTTCTCGAGTTTTTTTAGGCCCTTCACTTTCTGTTGCTGTAAGGACTCTTCACTCTCCCACGTGCTATGGATATAAGACCAACCCTTCCACTTGATGAGATACTGGACTTCGCCTTCCTCCCTTTCCGGGTCAAAGTCGCCACTTGGGTCTCCATTAGCTTCAATCGCATACACAGTAGTAGACGCTCCAGTGGCTGCAAAAGGATTCAGTTTTTAACAAACTTGAGAAAGTATATAAAACCAGACATTGAAAAGTTTCCCAAGTACGCAACTGTCTAACGGAACAGCAACAGCCTTTCATTTCGGTCCCTCCTAACTCAGGAAACAAATCTGTCCCCCGAAGAATATTAAGAATAAGGTAAGAAAATAAAAATATCTCCAGCAATTACCCATCTACCCAAAGTTCTCTGTTAACTCTCTTAACCTCAAATGAGGCTGGATTAAGAAAAAGAACAGAAAAATTGAATTAGGTATTCTCTCGGTATTTCCTATACAGAAAAGTTACTTTAAAGAAACTAAGTTAGCCAGGCTGGTGTGGCTCAGTGGTTGAGTATCAACCCATGCACCAAGAGGTCACTGTTCAATTCCTGGTCAGGGCACATGCCCAGGTTGTGGGCCTGATCCCCAGAGGAGAGCATGCAGGAGGCAGCCAATCGATGTTCTCTCTCAGTGATGTTTCCATCTCTTTCTCCCTTTCCCTTCCTCTAAAATCAATAAATAAAAAAGAAACTAAGTTATCTCTCAATTTTAATATAAAAAAATCATTACCATCCAAATATGCACTTAACCAGTTTCATTCTTTTCACGAGGAGATTCAGAAACAATTAAATTTGCTTAATGCTAGTGAGCATGAACCTCTGCTACATCGTTGCTTTTTAAGATAGTAACATATCTTTACTAGCTTAATTTTAAAAATTTCAAAAACATATTAACTATATCCCTCTATTCTCAGCTATGAAACATGAAAATGGGGTCAGAAAAACTCCGTTTCACAACAAATATGGGCATGGACTAAAATGCATCATTTCAGAGTTGAACTATGTAAAATCTGAGCCTTACAGAGCAGGTGTAAAAAGTGATTTGCTTGCCCTGGCCGGTTTGGCTCAGCGGTTGGAGCGTCGACCTGAGGTCCTGAGAGACCCGGGTTCGGTTCCCGCTAAGGGCATGTACCTCGGTTGCAGTTTGTCCCCGGCTCTGGTCAGTCAGTCGTGCGGGTGGCAGCCACTCGATGTGTTTCTTTCGCGTCGATGTTTCTCTCTTTCTCTCTCTCTGTTCCTCTCTTTCCCTCCCACTCTACCTGAACAAAAAATGTCCTCGGGCGAGGATAAAAAAAAAAAAAAAGTGATTTGCTTGCCAAAGGCACATACCTCCTTTCTTCCCCAGCCTTGAATCTAAGACCTTTTCAATGGTTTCACTATTATCCTGCTGGTCATCAATTCCTTCGCCAGTCATTTCAATGAGATCGTCTGAGTCAGTCTCAAAGTCATCATCTTCTTTGTAACTGCAGGAGGAACAATGACGAACAAATGAGAAACTATCTTTTCAGAATTTAACACCGCCATACATTACGTCATTGTAAGGAACCACACCTGGTTGGCTCCAATATGCTGTTTTACAGATCGGTGACAGATGCAGTGGGCTCAAAGGTCATTTTCTTCCTATTTAATGTACTAATGCATGTTCACAGATAACTACAGGAAGGCTAACTCATATTTCAAAATAAAAACAGACTATATTTAGTGATTAGTGTAAACAAGATATAGAAAACTACAAGGACACACCTATGTGTTCATTTTTTAGTGAGATCATTACTATATAAATGTGAAAACTACACAGAAAATGTATAATGAAAAAAAAACTGCTGTTAAGCAAAAGACACACAGTAGCTCTAAGATTAAATGATTTAACCCTATATTTTGCCTCCCAATAGCAAGAATATGAAATTTAAGTATTTTGGAACTGTTGAGAACTTCAACATGCTTCCTAGTAATAAAATATTCAAATGTAAATTCCACTATATATTAACAGCAAGTGGTTTGGGAGTCACACAAGAGCAAACCACAACTCTGGATGCAAGTTCGGCTGTAGGAAGAAAAGCTCTACGTCAGCAAACCCAAAGCTTCGTCCTAGCTTTGGAATTATCAATTGGATACATTGGACAGGTTATTAATAATCTCCAATGTATTGCCCTTTGAATCATGTAAAGTAAAATATTGTCTGCATGTTATCTATCCCTTTATTCTGTTTTCTGTTCATGCTTCATATCCTATTAGTAAGCTTGATGAAATTATTATACCCTAATACCAACATGTAAGCTGAACTTCAGCCCTGGCCAGTTTGGCTCAGCGGTTAGAACGTCGGCCTACGGACAAGAGTGTCCCAGGTTTGGTTCCCGCTAAGGGCACATACCTCGGTTACAGTTTGTCCCAGCCCTGGTTGGAGTCATGTGGTTGGCAACCACTTGATGTGTCTCTCTCACATCAATGTTTCTCCCCGCCCCCCACTCCTGCTCTATCTGAAGATAAATGCAAAAATGTTCTTGGGTGAGAATCTTTTTTTTTAAAAAAAAAGCTGAACTTCAGAAGAATTTGACCCACAGAGCAACTCAGAAACAAGACCCAAACACCCAAACATCTTTCTTAAAAAAGGGTGTTTTAAAATAAAGATAACATCACTAAGCTACCTCGACAGGACACGAACTTGAAGCAGCTCTCTTGAAAGAAATGAAGGCTTGAAATGAGCTACCGCTACTCTTTCCATATTCCTGTTGGCCATCCAATCTCTTTGCAGGAACACAGACCAGATTTCCAAATACCTCCACAGGACGCAGGTCATCATTTTTACCTAACAGGTGCATAATCCGGGGCTTAGAACCAAGCCCAAACCAATCAAACTGCCACCCTCACAGTGATGAGAAATCCGGGGGCATAACCTACCTGACATTTTTAGCCGCTCTGCGACGAGTCTGCCTTTTGGGAGCTTCGTCGTCCTCATCATCATCATCAGAAGACTCCTGCTTTTTTTTCTTTCCACGCTGAGCTTTAGGTTGCTTTTTAACACGGGATTTGGGCACTGTTCTACAATGAGAAGATTAAAAAATGGCAGTTTTACGCTATTATTTGGTGTTGACTTCACATCTGTCTAACTGTATTTCCCAAAGCAGGGGTAACATGTAGGGTTAACCAGGGGGATGTCAGAGATGTATATTCCTGGGTGCCATTCTCTGAGAGTCTAATTCACTGGAAATCTGCATGTTGAACATTGAAAGTGATTCCAATGCTAATAGTCCTCAATCATTTATATGAGACATGGTGGGTTCTGAGGCAATGCTTCTCCACCATTCCTCAGGATCACCGACATAAACACACTCAGCTGATGGCATCTGTGGTGGGTGATCTGGAAATACCTCTCAAACTTACTAATACAACAGTGTTACTTCTGGGGATTGATCTTACAGATACACACCAGCACAGGCATATTCAAGTATTCACTGGAGTATTATTTGTAATAACAAAAGATTAGAAAAATTCTTAGTGTTCATCAACTGGGAACTGGTTCAATAAACAGGATACTATGGAGCCATTATAAAAAAAAAAGGGGGAATTTCCACGTACTGATATAGAAAGATTTCCAAGATCACGAAAGAAAAATACACAAGAAACACAGAATGTATAATCTGTATAAAGGGAGAAGGGACAAGAAATAACTACACCTACTTTTGTTACATGTGCACAGAGTGTACCTGGAAGACCACCGGAGAGACTGCCCTGCCCCAGATCATGGAACAGAATGAGGACATGGCCCTCTGCTGACTCCCATGCACAGCCGAGACTGAGGGCCATAATCTAGGAACTCACCAAAGAAACCCCCAAATTATCACTCCATCCGTGGTGAAAGGTGAAAGGGGAACACAGGAGACAACTCGCAATCACACCTATCTGTTCTCTCAGATCTACCGTGACCAATGCTACACAGAGGATTCAAGATCAAGGGTTCAATAAATGACAAGTAAAATCTAGAAGACAGACTGGAGTGCCTTCCCAGTCCTGAGAGCTTCAACTTAGATTGAAGGAGACAAAACTCAGTTGATGCATTTCCCTTTGGTGGTGGGGAGACAAGTACAATGTCTTAAACCAGAGGTAGGCAAACATTTTGCTGTAAATAGCTAGATGGTAAATATTTTTGGCACTCCCAGACAAGAGGCAAAACTGAGGCCACTACATAGGTACTCATATAGTGAGAGAAAACAAATTTTCACGTGCTTTTTTATGACAAAATTCAAAAGAAGATAATAATCACTGAGTCTACTTTTTGTAATACATATCTAACTAATGAGAACAGCATTCTTTTTTAAGAGATAATATTTCACTTCATTGGAATTCAAACGTAGTATTCCCTACCATCAAACCACAAATGTTCATCTGTAAAGCTACACTTAGCTGGCAGGCCATACAAAACATAGGGGTGCGTGGGATCTGGGCCAAAGGCAATCACTTGCCAACCCCATCCTAAACCATAGACAAGGTCAATTTCCCGGGGCCTGTATGCCTCCTGCCCGCCTTCTCCGAACACCAGTACCTTATGTTGCCATCTGATCAAAAATTACCAATTTCCTGCCACCTGGGACTACTTCCTTTTCTGACATTTAGATTCTGTTTAATGTTAAATAGATGATATGAACAAGGTAATAAACAGTGAAGTATGCTTTCAACTAGACAATCAGTGTTTTAAACTTAAGAATTAGGTCCCTAAAAAAGAAACTTAAACAGGACACAAGGAACTTTTTAAAAGAGAAGAGACATTTTCCCTCATAACTAATCCACCATGGAGTCACTCTGAGCTACAAACCATGTCAACACCCACAAGCAATACAAGCAGCCCAGTCATCCAATCACTTGCTAACAATGGAGGCTGGCAAGAAGTGAACCACAGACACTGAAGACCCAGAGCCATAACACATTGCATCCCATCGATTTAGGCTCTCTTGCTAGCACCGCATCCTCTCGCTCTAACACCAATTAGGCTCCACCAGAAGCAGAGATGTTCGAGAGCAAACACTGCACCTTCTGGGGACAGGCCTCTTGGCTTTCACTTTTTTTTGCTCTGGTTCACTCTCTGCACCGGTGCCTTGTTCCTGTTCATCTTCTGAGGGCTCTCGTTTCCATTTTTCTCTGTGATCAAAAGCAAAGCAGAATGATTTTTTTTCTAAGAGAATTCCTCCAGATTGTTTAGCTTGAACAATCTGACAACACCAATTTTGAGCTAATTATCCAAAACACAGAACACGTATATTTTAGCTATTATGCTAAAGAGATTTCTTCTAACTCCATTTAAATTTTGGTTGTGTTCTCCTAGACTATGTAATATCTATTCCTGTTTATTTCTCATAACAAAATAAATGAAAATGAACACTAAGGATACATTTTTTAAATTAACTGTTTTGAGGAGAAATGCTGCTAAATCTCTCTCGTATTCTATTTTGATTTGACTGCTGTCATTGACCCGACTGAAGCCATAATATATATTGAGTCAGTGGTTCTCACATTTTAGCATCAATCAGAGCCACAGAAAGGACATGTTAAAACAGATTTCTGGGTCCCAGACAACTAGATTCAGTAGGTCTAATGTGATGCCTAAATATTTAGTTTTAACTAGCTCACAGACAATGCTGATACCAGTTAGAGACTTCTTTGAGAACGCTCATACTAAATATTTTAATATTAGAACACATTTGAGGAAACAGTTCCTAAAATTATTTTTCAACAATAAACCTACTAAATTACCTGTTCAGCCAAAGATATAGTTTTAAAAATTTATTAGATATGGAAGGTATTCCTTTGCTCTTTAAGATTTTAGAAGGCATGTAAGAGCCACACCCTACAGATGTCCTACTTCCCCAATTTTTGAAAACCAAACAAGTTACCACAAGGACTTAGCTCATTCTCACCTGTAGGGAAGAAGGAACATGTAACAGCTACTGAGCATGAAATGTCTAGGGGGGATAAAACATAGGCAAGTACTACCTGGGTCTCTCCGCAAATAAAACAATGACCACTGTGCCTCTTGGTCTCTGTATAGGAGATGAGGTTATGCTGAAGTCAATTGTGGCAGAAGTGCAAAGTCAAATCGATGTTCTTCATGGGAGAACAGGCCAAAGTAATTAATAGCAGAAGCTTGCTGTAAGAAGGTAGCTGACTTGCGGATTCCTTCCTAAAATGTGCAGGAACCACTACTACACCTGCCTTTGTGGAGACTTTAGGGAAGAAAAGGTTTTTTCAAGCCTTCATGAAAGGCAGTGGAGCACTTTTATGTCCATTACTTAGGTTCGAATGACACTGTTTCATAACCATTTCCCTAACAGCAGCTGAGTCCCTGTGGGCAGAGCCATTTTTGTTCATCTTTTACCAGAGCTCAGCTCAAAGGCAGGCAAACAGAGACACTCCTTTGTTAGTAAAGCAACAATTAAAGAAATGAGCCTTCTCAGTGTATCAGTCACACAGGTCAAGTGCTTCTGGAAGACACTGAGGCCTATTAGCACTGCCTAATCTTTCGGTCTCTCTTTAAAACAAAGACCTCCTTATGCCTAACTAGTCTGGGTACCTATCCCATTCTCTTTCCCCAGGGCCTAGACAATATGTCTGCTAAAGCATCCAAGGAATAGAATGGCAAGCAAAGAAGACAGGAAAATGTCTCCTGCAACTGGGAGACTGCCACACGAGGCTGCAGTCTCCCTAGGACCAAGTCCAGAACAGCTGGCCCTTCCGAAGTGGTTTCACAGGAAACAAACTTCAAAGAACATGAACAATTAAGACCTGAGGGACGGTTGATCAGAAGAGAAAGACCCTCAGTCAAGCATCAGTTGTAATTTACATAACCCCACCAGGTATGAGAATGTAAATAATGGTCTACTTCTACACTTTGGGAGACTCAAGTGGCAGTGAACACTGAGAGAAGGGATGTTGAGGCTACAGTTTCCCAATTAAATTGCAGATGTATAGACTTAGGGAGAACCAGGACTCAAGACAATATGAGAATGTACAAAAACTTAGCAAATCAACTGTTTCAAAGGCCCCCTATTAGAAAAGGTAACTAAAGTCCCATGAAAACAAGTTGTCTGGATACACGTCAAACCCCTGAGACTCTCAACCATAATCCCGAAAACCAAAGAACCAGGAAAAATTACAGCTGAGCTTATACATTCTGGGAGGATCTGAACAATCGGAGGTCTGCTTGATTTTGTATGTATATGTAGCTGACACTGAATTGATTATTTTACATTTTAATTTTCAAGAATGGGGAAAAGAAGTAATTTAGGCTCAGCAATATTAAGTCACTCTGTACGTGAAGGGAAGAGTGATGGGTTAGTCATACGATCACTTCCCGCCCCTGCAGACGCACTGTGCAGGGACGTTATGCTGCGTTAACATCTAAGCTTCCTTAATGCTAATTCACACCATGACTCTGGGAACCGAGTCCCTGGTAAGGCTGTATTCCTCAAATGTCAATGTCATAAAAGCAATGAAAGCCTGCAAAAATGCTCCAGGTTAAAGAAACCTGACAACTAATACAAGATCTAATCACTGCCTGGATCCTGTAGTGGAGGTGGGAAAATGTCAGAAAAGACATTATTGGGTCAACTGACAAAAATGGGAATATGAACTGAACAAAAGTATTTCGGCAATGCTAAATCTATTTATGTTACAACTGTACTGTGCTTATGACAGAGAATATCCTTAATTCTTAGGAAATACACACTCAGATATTTAAAGGTAAAAGGCCATGATGTATATCTTAAATGATTCAGAAAAAATAGTGTGTGTGTATACATAAAAAGAACACCCATGACAAAGGAAATGGGGCAAAAATGGTAACCTAAGTACATAGGCATTCTTTTGTGCTTTTATTGTTGCAACTTTCCTAAAGTTTGAAATTAATTCCTAAAAAAAGAAGTATTAAAATATAGTTCTTTTTTAGTCTTTAAAATCTGAGGTTTCAGAATAGCATTTCTCTGTGCTGATATTTCAGACTTTCCCCTCCCTACGAGTAAGTCTCTCTCCAATCTGAAATCCACATGCCCGCACACTGGGTTTGCTCACACTTGCTCAGATCACGGAGGGCGTCTAGCACTGTGCCTTACAGCTCGAGTCTTAGCCGCTTACTCCTCCAAGTAATCTTACAAATTAAACCACTCTGGAGAAGAGCTCCCCATACGCCCAGTTCCCCAGAGGATGGCAGGAGTGAGGCTAGCCCAGTGCCCAAACACACAACCTCCTGGGCAAGAGCCGTGGGGCAGGGAACAGCATTACAGAAGACACACCCCCCTCTGCAGAACTAAGAGGTTCTACTCTGGGAAAAGAAAGGTCTGTGAAGGCCTCTGGAAGTTCCCAACTTTGGGAGCTCTGAGGATTGACAGGAGAGGGAAAATAAGTATAGCTGCCACTCAAAAGAGGAAGATCGGTGAGTTGTAAGATGGCTGGAAAAATGTGGACTTTGCACACTCAGGGAAGGCCGTTAAAATGGGCGGCCAAGGTCTTCGAGCACAGCACCATCTGGATCCCAGCCAAGAGACCAGCAGAATGTAGTGGGTGGTGGAGGAAGGAGCATGACCATGGACTTCTCAGAGGCCCCCAGGAAGACCTTTAGACTGGAGAGCTGAGAACAGGATCTTCCAAGCAGGCCATGAGACTGACGTAGAACAAAGCCTTCTAAGACATCAAGAAGTGCAGGCTTGCCTACAGTTACTATTTCTCCAACTTGAACTTGATACTTAGAACACAAATGAAAATTGGGTGTGCTCTGAACAGGTCAATATTAAAAACCTGATTTAGCATACTTTCTAATAACTGTTAGATCAGCTTTGCAAATGAGGAAATGGATTTTAAAAGCTCAAATCGCTTTGCCTGAGGCCAAAGACTGAAGATTACTAATATTTTAGAACAGAGAATACATAACTGGGGCTCTTAATAGGGACCATGGACAAATGTTTACCATGAAATGCCCTCAATCTGGGTGCAAAGCTTTGGATATCTACATTTTTCTTTCTTTTTTTTAATGCTGCTATACATTTTTCTAAGGTGATAGGCTGTCAAGTCCAGACTTTCAAAGGGATCCACACACCCTCCAAAAAAATTTTTCTTAAATTATTTCTTAAAAGAGAAAAAGAATCAAATATCTTAAGTAAAATTATTAAAATAAATTTTAAAATAATGAGTATAGAGCCCAGCCAGTGTGGCTCAGTGGACTGAGCGTTGTCCCATGGACTGAGAGGTCCCGGTTTGATGTCTGGTCAGGGCACATGCCCAGGCTGCGGGCTCAATCCCCAGTAGGGGTGTGCAGGAAGCAGCCAATCAATGTTGCTCACATCACTGTTTCTCTCCCTCCCTTCCTCTCTCTCTAAAAAAAAAAAAAATCAATAAAAACATTAAAATAAATAAGTAAAATAATGAGTAAATAATCTATGTTATAAAGGAATTTTACTTTAAGCTCAAAATTAAAGTGTTCCGGCTTATGAAATGAAATGGAAATGACAATATGAAATTTCATATTCAAATGAGTGTCCAACCAATATAATTTTGCCATGCCAACACAAAGAACATATGAAAATTAAAAAACGGCAAATCTAAATTTGCCCCTTGCTTGAGTAAAACAGAATACCAAATACCTATATATTTGGTATTTGTACACATTTTTAGGGAAAAAATAATTCAGCTAATCGGGCCAACCAGACGAAATAAGGTGGCGCTGGCCCCCAAGGAGCGCAAGCACGTGTGAAATACTTACTTCCAAGTCCAACACTGAGACTCCTGGGCTCTGAACGCTGCTGCTGCCGCAACAGGTCAGGATGGGCAGTGACCCAGACAGTAAGAGACAGAAGCAGACCCTGGGGCCTGGGGCAGGCTGAAGACACAACGAGTGCAGTCCCGGAAACGCTGACATGCTCCAAACTACTAAGGCGAAGTGATTTCCCCCAGAAAAGACTTACTGTTTTTTCAGCTGCCTCTGGCCTCTTCTTTTTGGGCTCCCACTCTCAGACCCGCTACTTGCCTTCAGTGTGTAGGGGGGAAAAATGATTAGACTTTAATTCACAGTTCTTAGGGTCAACACTATCCCCTGGTTCAACAATCTACTCAGTATAACATCATTCAACACGACCTTCTAGACAGAAAGAAACCTAGGCATTTGTTCAGTGGTGCTCACTCTCCTTTTGCTTTGAAAATTAACTTCTGTGTCTCAGGGAACATTCCTCTCAGCCGGACTCCTACAAGAGCACAGTGCAGTGCAGTTTCTGGGGTGATGGCAATGCCCTGATTCTGCACTGTCCCTACCAAATATTGCAGCCAGCAGCCACATGCGACTCCTGAGGCCCTGAGGCGTGGCTAGTGTGACTAAGGAGTGGAATTTTTCATTGTATTCCATTTTAATTAATACAGATTTTAAATGTCGCATGTCTAACGGCGGCCATGCTGGTTTCTGCAGATCTAGAAAGTCACAGGAAAACACAACACTGAGTGTGCCATTAGAGGTGGTGGCTACCGACCTATCTCATTTGAGACTCATTCATGAGCACGTCCAGTCATAAGGCCACAGCACCCTGCTAACAGCGCTTGGCCAAGAAAAGTTTATAGTCAGAGACATCTCTGAACAGTTCTTTTTCTCCAAAATTAAGCAAAATGGCAAACTATTCCTGTTGCTCTTAAGTCTTGTGCACTACAGAGAACATGTTAATGTATATACGAAAGATCAAAGGATTTACACAACTAGGTGGTTGGTTATAACAAACACAGCTCAGTGACCCAGTCCTAGATGCGATTGAAAAAGAAAGCTGAGGCAAAGCAAGCTCAGAAGTTACTCAGAGTAAAAAACTGGAAAGGCAATGTTAATGTTACAGTCAATTCTGTATTAAAACCCATCCCAACTCACTAACCACTATCAATATTTAGCTTCTGGCAGAAAGATGTTATCATTAAGAATAGCAAAGAGGACCCGGCTGGTGTGGCTCAGCGGTTGGGCATCAACCCATACACCAAGAGGTCGCCGGTTCGATTCCCGGTCAGGACACATGTCCAGGTTGTGGGCCTGATTCCCAGTGGGGGCATGCAGGCGGCGGCCAATAGATGTTCTCTCTCATCAATGTTTCTCTCTCTCTCTCCCCCTCTCCCTTTCTCTCTAATATCAAGAAAAAAAAATTATTTAAAAAAGGGGGATAGTTCACCGAGACAAAAAAGTATCTCTTCAGAATAGAATCTATAAACTTAATATACAGAGGTAAGAATCCACAAAAATACACAGAGAAAAGTCTGATTCCATAGAAACCCAGAATCCAGTACATAATACTAATTTTAAAAATCACCAATCTCTCACAATTAGACCACAGAGTAAATGTGTGTGAAACATTTTACACTGAGCACTAAAAATGAACTAGGAAACCAAAGGTAAAGAAATGGATAAAATACATTACTTGTGTCAGGTGCACTCTCTCCTTTCTCGGGAATAAACCTTAAAACTACTCCCATTGCTTTACACTTGCCAGGCAAGTTATTCACTGAACAAACATCTAGGAGATTCAGAAACCTGATATTTAAAAAAGTAAGCATCTTGCTATAATCAGTTTCACTATGAGAAATGTAAACAAACACATATTTCGAGGCCGGCTCTATAAAACACTCAACACTGCACTGAAGCATTCACTCTGACACGTTCTTTCTGGTAAATGTCACTTTGTACAAGCCACCGGTGGCTTTTCTTGTCCTAGGCTGAGACTGTTCACATTAGTCACTTAACTCCCATCCTGACGTTAAGCTGTGGTAATGGTAATACATACCAGAGTCGGAAAGGATGAGGTAAGATAAGGAGTTTCAATATATCCCCTTAAAACATTGCTTTTTCTTACCTCCTCCTTAATATTAAATCGTGATGGTTCTTGTCTGCTTCGGTTTGACCGCCTAACCCCATAAACATCAGGATATTCTTCCCACATCTGTAAAATTAACAGACCATGCATGAATCTTTTTTTCCTGACCCCCCCACCCCATTTACTATTTTTATTACTGGAACATGTATTTTAAGACCATTCAAGTAACTATCAAAAGGGTTGTTTTGTTAGTTATGTTTATGAGACAATAAACTGCCATCTTTAAAGAGAATAAGGCATATTACCCTAGAATACATAAAAGTTTAACAATGCCTCTTCGTTACTAAAGGCTATTAAACTGCATGGTACACTGCTTACCCATCATTAAAACATAAACTTACAGCTGAATAATACGGCAGAAGAACACTTGCTTCCACTAAAGACAAATTATTTACTGATGAATTTTAAATCTCTAATGTTTTCCATTTCAGCTTTGACTATGTATTGACCCATCTGAGAAGCTCATAAATAAGCAGGGCCCCACCTCGTCTAACTAAATAAGAATCAGGGCATTTATGTATTTCCTTAAATTCCACAGGGCGTGTAACATATCAGATACAAACAAATTAGGTATTTCTTTTTTTTTTTAATTCCTTACCCGAAGATACTTTTCCATTTATCTTCAGAAGCGGGGGGGGGGGGGGAATCGATGTGAGAGACACCGATTGGTTGCCTTCCACACAACCCTGACCAGGGCCGGGGATTGAACCACAACTGAGGTATGACCAAATCGAACCCGAGACTCTTTGGTCTGCGGGCCAACACTGTAACATCTAAGCCAAACCGGCCAGGGCCAAATTACATATTTCTAACTTTAGCTAGAAACGCTCAGAATGAGTCGCTGCCACCCTATCTCTAGCACATCTAATTTCATTCTCTTAATAAGTAGCAGTCCTTTGCTTTTAAGAACTATTTTTAGTAATAATCCTCACCAGTGATCAAAAAAATAAAGTTCAAAGTGGGGATTAGTTGAAATTTTTTCACAATATATTTTAGCACCATCTTATAAAAGTCTCAAGTCAACAAATATATAGAGAAAACAGAAGGTCCCGCCTTCCTCAACCTCTAATGATTGGTCTAGCCCGCAATCTCCCTTCAATTCAACAGATAACTGCTGCTAAGTATACTGCGCACCTTTAGTAAAATCAATCACACATAGGCAGAATGAATTCAAACAAACTGTGGAAGACCGAAGTGAAAATGTTTAATCAGAGTTAAACATGTAAAAGAGATGCTTGACAGCCAAGAACAGAAATGAGGGCTTGTCATCAAAACATGGGTGACAGCTAATGTCATGAAAATATTTGGAAAGTGAGGCAAGAGGAGAATGCCACTGGCCGAGACTAGTGAAATTATGTGTAAAGTGGACCTCAAAAAAGACAAACTTGATGAAAGATGACTCAGAAAAAAACCAATGTCATCAAGCCAAGGGAGGACATTCTCGAGAGTGCCTTTTAAAAATGCTGAGTCAGCTATAGAAAGACAAGGCCTCCAAAGAAAACAAGCGAGATAGTCCAGGATAGGCATTTTAGAACTAGAATCCAATATAATCACGTAATCCAGTGTCTTCAGTTTATGAAGGTGAAAAACCCATAATAGCTCTAGAATCATCTGAGAGTCAGAATACAAAAGGTCCAACCAGGAGGAGTTAGGAATAACCAGGTGGTAGGAAATCTGGGCCAACAAGGCAGAAAACACTGAACAGGCCTGGCAGAGAAAGGAAGGAATCAAACACCCTCTCTCTAGTCTTCTCTGCCAACACCCACCCCCACCCCCTTTTGAATCTGCTAGAACTGTGAAATTATGCGATACGGGTATTTACGGAGCTTTTATTAACGGGGATGGAAGCTAAACTATTTAGGGTCACTATATCAACTAGCTTCATCATTTAAAAATATTAGACCAGCACTCAAGCTCAACTGATGGGACTTTATTACAGTATATATTATAATGCATGCATCTGAAAATTATCTTGGTCCTTCCTTTTCAGGGTTAATGATATCTAATTCAACTCTTCAATGAAAAAACCTCCATGTGAAAAGGAATGTGTATACAGAAAACAAAGAACTTTCTTTAGAAACTCTTTTTAGAATGATAATCATTAAAGTCACCATCTAATCTTCCTAACTGGCTGGTGTGTCCATCCATGTGTTAACTTTATAGAACTGATCACCTTCACTTTCAAAGCATAATTTAGTATTTCTGCCTGAAACTGTACTTCTACCTTGACATTCAGTCAGTCTTTGTAATGATTATTTCCCTTCACAGTTCCCCTTCATCTTTTTAAATGAAGTTAAATATGTAAGGTCTTACAGTGAACAGTTTTGAATGTTAGACAGTCAACACTATTTCAGTAAAATTTTAAACACACTATGCCAGCCATGGTTTCTTTTCATCTCTACAAATAAAGAACTCTCTACTGTGCAGAAGGAAGTTGTATCCAGACTCACTTTTGTCCCTTACACTTCAAACATGTGTTTTGGTCCCTGGGAAAAGAGCACCTGGTCTAGATGTACACAGGAAACCGGGCTAAGGTATCAAGCTCTGAAGATGGCCAAGGGGGCCTTCTGCTGCAGGTCTGGGTGGGAAGTTTCCGAGTTTAATGACACTCAGAGCAAGACTGCTCAGTGGTACTCTCACGTGCAGGGTCTTTTTGAACGGGATGAGTCACCACTTGAATGGTCTCTTGTGAAAGATCCAACCAACACATGAGCAACAACAGGCACAGTCTCAAGGGTCTGAAAGGTACTTCTCTGGTGAGGGGTTAACTAGCAAGGACAACCTTCACTTTCCTGTCCCTATCGCTGCCACCAGCGTTTCCCAACCTCTCACCATCTCCTAAGAGTCACTTACCATTAAAATATGGTTTAGACTGGGAACAGAAAAACTAAAGTAACATAGTTAATGCCAATTCTGCCTCCAGAGTTCAAAGCCAAAAGTTTTCTTACTTTTAGATTTGTTGAAGCTATTCTGTAGAACTCGCAGGTAATGTAAAATCATGTGTACTGCTATGAAAATCTGAATGCACAGATGCGATTTATATCTTAGTAGAAAACCAATTTAGCATAAAGCTTCTCATTCCATTAGATTTTCTTTTTAAATTTCTAAAAGCAATATTCTTATGTGTGAATCACTGAAAATACCAAATTCTCTCAAAATGGAATTTTAAAAAATCAGCCGCATTCTTATGATTAATGAGACTGAGCCATTCAATTTTCCCTAATAGCAATGCACTCTAAAGTTTAGGCATCAAGAAGAAAATGCTATGCAACTCAATTCTTGCCTTTTTGCATTTTTTTTTTTTTTTTTTTTGCTAGAAGGCCCTTCCCTGTTGAGCAAAGCCTCCTAACCACATTGCTTCAGTACAGAGAGCGGTCTCTCTGTGAGAGGTGTCTCTCTCCCATTCTTCAGACGACCAAAGTGCCCTTTTTCTTGGATTGTGATTATTCGTCACTATCCTTGACAACTGCACTTCACAATCATCTGCCAATGACTCTGGTAGTTTTCAGTACTGATTATAAGAAAAATGTCAACCATTTTTTTTAAATGTTAAAAACCAAAATTATAGAAATGTGTCCTTTTGCCCTATAATCTGACAGGTTATGTAATTATTTCCTTTACAGTCTATGGTCGACTAATAGAGCACAAAGCAGTCCCCATATGCCCAGAGACTATGTTATTAGGAGAGGTGGCTGGGGTTTCCTTATCAAGACGGCTAATGAGTTTTCCACAGGAAATGAAGGTCTGCTAGCTGGTCCCAGCTGGCAGCCAATCTGCAGGGCACAGCAAAGGAGATACCTTCTTCACATCAGCTATCCGCTCCTTCTTAGAGGCTGGCTTCTCCTTGGCCTCCGGAAGGACTGGCTGGGATTTGGAACCTGCCGATTCGCTCTCGGATTCCGACGGACTCTCTGAAGATTCGGAAGTGCTGGACTCGCTGCCATGTCCACTCCCCGGATCACTGCCCGGCTCGCTCTCCGACTGGCTGCCTGAGTCTGAACCTGAAGCTTCTTCAGATGCTGAGTGACTTTACAAAAAAATACATATATATTTAAAGAGATTTAAGAACTGCCACATAAATCTGTTTTTAAAAATTCTCATGGTAAAATGACAGTGTATAGCAATTCTGGTAATACAAGATCCAAATTTACTTTTATATTCTTACATTGCAAATAACATCACTACTATCATTCTCAACATCCCTAATTAGCTACCATTTCCTGAGTGTTATATGATGCCAAATATCAGCTAATTTACATAAGAGTAGCTCTCTTACAGAAACTCACACAGGAATATTACTTTCTCCTTCACCCAGGTGAAAAAAAAACCTGAAGGTCAGAAATACTTAAGTAACTCTCCCAGGTGACACAGATAGGATTTGAAACCAGGTTGATCTGTCTGAATCCACTAAGTTTATTTGTTTAGTATCATCCCTCCCTCATCAAGACCAAAACAAAAAAAACAAAACAGACAGCAATACAGACCCAAACCAAACCAGGGCAAGGTTAGCCAAAAAGTAAGAGTGCATGCAATCTGGCTACAATTTTGCAATCAGTGTCCTCAATAACAGGTGCACATCAGAGTCTGGGCAGCTCCATAAAAAAAACATACACATTAACCCCAAACCAGAGGTCCTGCCTGGGAACCTCTTGCAGGGAATCCCAAACCTGGACCACCTAACAGAACAAAATAAACACAAAGAACATTCTGATTCTAAAGATTGCTGCTGGCTACCACACACCCCTCCCTCAGGCAGGTGACAGGAGAAACCACAACACAACAGGAACAGAAGGCTGCAGGATGATTAGCATCAACCTTGGGGCCAAGAAGGAAATACACCCTCCCAGTTCTGAAGACACTTTAAAGAGAAAGGACCTAGTGGTGGGCAGCTCACTCAGCTCTGCTGCTTAAAAACTAGCTTTTCGCGTGGCCGATGTGGATTGAGCGTTGTCCCGTGGACTAAAAGGTCCTGGTTCAATTCCCGGTCAGGGCACATGCCCAGATTGTGGACTCGTTCTCTCTCACACTGATGTTTCTATCTCTCTCTCCTCCTTTCCTCTCTCTCTCTTAAAAAAAACAAAAAAAATCTATCTTTTCATTCAGGAGTGGAACAGAGAAGGGGAGGCAGAACCTAAAGTAACAGTAACTTAACATAAAAGTCCTTGAGTATAGCAACTAGGAGATAAAAGACACATAGCATGAAACCCCAAATAGTCAAGAAGGGAGGCTAAAGTAGGACTGACCCCAAAATCCTGTGTGAATCATAGTAATAAGCACAATACAGTATGGGGCCTTCCTGTTAAGATGAGGAAGCAATGACAATAAATGGAGGGGGGGGGCGTCTCTACCTTGGAAAAGGGAGAACTGAACCATTTATTAACTGCATGATTATCTAATAGGTGCCAGGCATAATTCTAAGTGCTTTATATTTTATTATTTTGGTTATTCCCCAGGAAGGCAGGGATTCCACCCCAAGTCTGGCTCTAAAGTGCATATTCTATTTTACAACAGGGACACAAAACCTCAGAGACTCAGCAAATAAATCTTATCTCTGTTATGCCGTGCCGCAAACCAGTCAGGCTTCCCGGTAACAGTGACTCAGCATGGTCAAGGCCTCCTTGTACTTACTTGGCCCTCTACAGTCAAAGCTGACTAATCACTCATTCTCCACCTGTGACCAATGAGAAGGTGATCACCAGGCAAGAGAAGAAAGAGGAAAGAAAGAAGAAAGAGGACAGCACAGTCAGAAAGCAGACTCTGGCATCCATGGCTTGGGTCTCAGTCCTTGCTCAGCTCAGGCCTGTGCTGTCCTCTGGGACATTATCAATAGGGTCTTGAGAGCACCAAATGACAGCTATGAAAGCAGCAGTCTACAAATGTCAAAGCCTTACCCAAACATTAGAAATTTTAGAATTTCACATCCAAACTCAGATTCCCCTTCTAACACCAAGCTCTTCCCAGCTATTACCCATGGGTGAGTCAGGGCCACACAATTCATGGCACTAACTGGAATTTATTAACAGTTGGGCCTCTACCATGTGCTCATAAAAAGGTACAGAGAGGCAGCTCCAGAAATGTCCTTATAAGTTAGGCATTTAGAAGGGCAGTCTATGTGAAAGAGGATATACCTAGGGATATACCTAGAAGCTGAATTTACTCTGTCAGAACAGCTAAGTAATTGGAGAGACCTGAAGGATGAGCTAGTAGGGCCCACACCTCCTCCCGGCCACCTTGGGCATGGTTACTGACAACATCCAATCTCAGCAAGTCCTGTAAAACCCCTCTGATCGCTCAAGCTCAGCACTTATACATTCTGTCCCTTCACCACAAGAACTTGCAGAGCAGAGTAAGCCCTGGTGCTGCTCACCTCCTATCTTGATGCAGCGTATGCATCAAGCTAATTCTTGAAGCCTCAGGTATTACCTTCTCTAGGAAAACATCCTTTGTGCTCGCCAACCCTAAGCTCAGTGCCTACTAGGTACTCCCATAATTCTTTGTCACAGGATGTCTGCCATAGCAGTCACTACCCCTGGGAAATGAAAACAGGTAGCCTGACTTCAATCTCCTTCAACCCCATGCTCCAAAGGCTCCCACTTTCTAACACATCCCGGAACAGAAAACATTTTTTTTTTAATCTATAAATACCTCCATATTTAAGGCACTGATTGTCTAATCAGTGGATATTTCTTGAAATATTACGCAGATTCGCTATTAGTGCCTAATTATAATACCAAACACTAGCAATGCTAAACTGCAGTTTGCATAACTGATTTAAAGTAGAAGATGTGAAAAGTCCATAAGACTGACAAAAAGGGTCAAATCAAGTTAGTTGATGAGAAATCCTTTAACTAAGCTTTCCCCTAAACAATAAAGTAGTAAAATTACCTGATTTCCAATGGCATGAATAGTTATAAGGCAATTAAAAATGGAATTTTCAGGAATTATCCACCATACATACAGAATCCTCATGAAAAATAAGTGTCTGAACCTGAAACTAATACAAAATAATATTGAATGTAAACTATAATTAGAAAATAAAATGAAAAAGAAAAATAAGTATCTGAAAATTACTTAAAGTCAAAATTGGAAACAAGTTTCATAATATTTTACTGAAAAATCAATACTTGTGTCCCTCAAGTCGAAACTGGGATTTTAGATTCCAATAGAAAAATGAATGCTTATGAGAAGTTTGACACGGTTTTCACTTGTGAATAAGAAGTATTTGGTATCTATTTGAAATCCCTGAAACTGGCAAAATGGGGTGATTAAGTATTTCTCACAAATAGACTTTGAAGCAAGCCACACTAATAGCTATTGTTCCATTTCTATCTTTACAATCGCCATTTCCCAAATGGCCACAAGAGGGCAGCACAACAGCACGTCACTGAAAACAAGCCTGGAGGGTTCTCTGCCCAAGAGCTGCCATTTCATCACTTGAATAGTGTTTGTTTTCCTAAACTTAACAAAATGGCTGAACTGCTTGGCAGAGCAAGTTTTTGTTGCTGGGCAAAGCAAAATCTGATAAAAACACAGAGCAGTCTACACTGGGATTTCATAAAACTTATTTCCAGACTAAGCTCTACCAATGCTAGAACAGCTAGTATTTTTGGAGCACTTATGCACCAGGCACATGCAAAATTTCTCCTTTAATCTTTACAACAAATTATTCTCATTTTACATTTACAGCTGAGGCTTAGCCCAAGTGTGGGTGTATAATGCCATTCATCCCCACCCCCAGTCTGGATGATGGAATCCACACTACTTAACCTCTAAAATGGTACTGCTACCCTACTGTGTCATTCACACATTCTTCAGTTCAACATATTATTAAACTGCCCAAATTTGATGCAGGACAAGTCCTTCTAATCACTTCTCTGTCAAAGATCTTTAAGACCTCCTTCACCTGTGGCTCAACGTCCATGATTCTGAAGATTAAATCATATATATTATAAACAAGGTTAAAAGACAAAGAACAGAGAAATGTCAATGTATACACAACAAAAAAATTATCCATACAACATATGAAGACTTATAGCAAAGAAAAACAAAAAACAATAGAAAACTGAGCAAAGAAAATGGATATGCAACTACAGAATTGAAATGGCCAATAAATTTATGAAAGGTCATTAAACCTCACCAGCAATATGGGATATATGCATTACACAGATTACTTTACACTCATTTGCATTGCAGAAATTTTAAAAGTCAGAAAATACTAAATGACGGTGAGTAGGGAAAACAGTAGTACTCATATGCCATTATTAAAAAAGTAGTCAGTAGAAGCTTTGGAAAGCACCTTGACATTATCCAGTAAAACTCAAAATATCCTTTGGAGCCTTGGCTGGTATGGCTTAATTGGTTGAGCATTATCCTATACACTGAACAGTTGCTAGTACGATTCCCAATTGGGGCACATACCCAGGTTTCGGGTTGCATCCCAGTAGGGATGTGTTCGGGAGACAACCAATCAATGTTTCTCTCTCACTCCCTTCTTCTCTCTCTAAAAATAAGTACAAACATATGAACCATGCGATTGAATCCATGGGTATATAATCTAGACAAATGATCAAACTTGTGCAGGGGGCAGGATGTATAAAATTGTTCAAAGCTCTGATCCCAAGATCAAAAAACAGAAAATAATCTAAATGTTCACATATGAAAATGTAAAAATCAAGTGTGAAACATTCATACTGTGCAAAACAAACAACAGACTGGGGATGAATCACATGTATAACTATTAACATGACAATGTCAAAACTATTATATCTTTTAAACACAAAACACTATGTAAACCATGTATGTTTTAATGTTTTGACATGCCAAGTTCATGAGAGAGACCAGGGAGAAGGGGTAAACTATACCTAAGTTGCTTAAAACTTTCATTGTATTCTTTGTACTTTTCTGAATTTCTCAAAAAAGAGTTGTTTCACCCTGGCTGGTGTGGCTCAGAGGTTGGAACATCAGCCTGAGGACCAGAGTCTCAGGTTCGATCCCCGGGGTTGTGAGGGAGGCAACTGATCAATGTCT